AACAACTCGGGCATTTTTACAAACCAGTATTTGGGGGAGGGGTGGGGTTGAGAGTGAGTGGAAATCACAAGGAAATGAGCAGGTCTTGCCCCCATGAACAAGATTTGCAACCACACAGCTCAGGAGCACATCCTGCTTCAGGCTGAGGGCTGGATCTTTGAGCCTCACTGATGTCAGAGATGCGGTCCTTTGCTATCCCGTGGAAACCCAAATAAACTGGATGAACACAGAAGAGTTTCACAAACCACTTCACACGTGCTTTCACAAATCTGTTCAGATGCTCAAGTGACCCAGAGACAATGGACATCTCTCACCCCAATCAGAAACTGTTGATATAATTGGAACAATAGAAGCTTACTGAACACTGAAACTGAATCAAGGGGTTAGGTTTTAACACTTAGAAACCTCTAGTTTGTTGTTGTTTTTTTTTTCTACATTGCCCTTTTACACTTACTGGAACATGATTTTTGTGGGCAAGAAATAAACTGGATGAAAAAGGAAAATACCAACTCTCAGAGTCTCAGTCACAGAGCATACAAAGGGCAATGTAGTTCCCCTTTCCCTCCCCCTTCTGGTTTTTCAAATGTTTTAAATCCTGATACTCAAGATTTAAGGGCATGCCTTTGGACTTTGTGTCCCTACAGGACTTTTCAGAGTCCTGGTGATTCCTGAAAACAAGGAAATGATGAATTAATCAACATCCCAGCCACTCTGCAGGAGTACGCAAACTCTTCATTGTCTCCTTTGGCTTGCACTTGACTCCAGATTTCTGTACTAAATGGCAAGAAGGATTACCTGGAGCAAACATCTGAGTGTGAGGAGAGGCAGACATAATGTCTGCTTGGCCTCTGGATATCTGTTCATAAGACAGATGAAGGATGCATCATTTCCTCAGGCCATTCTTCCTGCACCACTGAACTTCACAAATCACTCCAATTAAAAAAAAAAAAAAAAAAAAAGAGTGGATTCATGTTTTCTGTATCTTTACAAACCAGAATGCTTTTTTTCAGAAATATAATAGTATTTTAATGTTGGAAGCAGTGTTTTGACTTTCACAATAGCTTGTTATTTGAAAAATGTTCTATGTGTTAAAAAATAAATGTTTTAAGAGGGGTGTGTTTTCATCATAAATTAAATGTTTTGCTTTCTGCCAGGAGTTCCCCTTCCAAAAATGAAGAGAAGTGCATTTTTATCTTAAATCAAAATACTTGAAAAAATACTGTTTGGCTTGCATTGTTTCAAACTGAAATTAGGCTTTGATTTGAATTATTTCTACAGTTCTAGTTCAAACAGAACAAAAAAACCCTCAAACCCTAAAGTACATACTCAGACAAACGACACTAAAATGTCAAGGTAATGCATGAAAAGGGGTTACTAGTATCACCTTCCTGATTGAGACTTCATTATACTAAAAGGTTAAATTAGGCAGGAGACAGTGAATGCATTTTGAGGAGACAGTGAATGCATTTTGAGGTGTCTGGAGTTTGTTATTGCTACCAGGGCTAGTGAGAAAAGTTGCAGATATAGCATAATTCCCCTGATTAAAATAAATCTTTAACAAATTTAAGTGTAAGGAAACACTGATATCTTAATTTTTCTTTTCCAACTTCTGCCCTACATGTAACAAGGCTCTGCTGATAAATTAGTGATACAGTTTGGTGAATAAAGGAGACTTGATGACCTGTATTACAAACTTAAATGACACCAAATGGCCTATGTAAAGCATATTTAAAGCAGTATAAAGAGGAGTTAGTAGCCAGTGGTTTTATATAGTGTCTACACACATGGCCATAGCACAGAAAGCTAAATAATTCCACACCAGAAACATACTTCTGCCATCAGGGATATGACAAAGACATGCAGAATTTTGTTAGGACAATATGAAAGGGAAAGTATTAATGGAGGCTAGCCTCTGCCCTTTCAAGTCCATGAACAAAGATCAGCTTTTCCAAGTGCAAGTTCAGAGCATGTAAATTAAGTTCTTGTGCTGGACTGCAGGGTGTAGAGTTTCTGCTTCCTTATTTTCCTTAAGGTCCTCTCCTATTAACACCAATCCAAATGTGAAATTACCAAGAGATGTGGCTACATAAAAATAATCCCATACTAACCAGATATATGCTATTTTATTTAACTCCAACACAGCTGTGTTTCTAATAGGGATATACATAGGCAAGAATAAAAACAAAGTGTGAGGTCTTAGAGACCTCTTACAAGAAGAAACCCTGACAACAGTACCCCTGTGTTACCATCCTCCCTTTATTTTCATACTAGACTGTGAATGCAACATAACAGTCTCCTGCTTTTTTCTGTATTGGGAAACTTTGATTTGTTTGTTTGGTTTTGGACTCAAAATTATTAATTAAAATCTACTGCCAAGCCAAACAGGACCCTGTGTGTTGTCACGTGTAATCCAGACTTCTTACTGCATTACATCTTAGAAGGTTTCTCAGTTAATAAATAGAAACTACAGATTTAACTATCTCCACACGCCACCATGTTCAGCTCATCATCTCTATTATAAGCAATGAGTAGTTTCAAGAGTCATTCCTTGCTAATTGCTGCCCTCTGATGTTACTATGTATATTACCAGGAGTAAATTCCTTTGTTTTCTGTCTTTTCAGCACTTTGAACATTAATGTAGTCTGTCATCCACCCTTTCACTCCAAAACTCAGGACTGCTGAAGAAACTTGTTTCAGACAACAGTCTAATTTTGATGAGTCCCTTTGAAAGACTCTTTGCATTACAGCTGCGCTGCTTTGCTGTTTTTCAAATTCCAAAATATGTTGGCATGTCCACATGCATTTGTTCTTTCGAGTCTTCCTGCTCTTTTGCTTCTGAAATCTAGATTTGATTTTTTTCAAGATGAGTTTTAAGGTCCCTTCCAACCCAAACCATTCTATGATTCTATGATGAAATCGCACAAGGGAATATGTGGTAAAGAACTTGTTCTCCCAGTTTAATACTTAGTATCTAAATAATACATGTTTAGGAATCTGTGATAATCAGGAATGGTTCTTTATGGTTTATGGTCTCTTTCAAGACTTATTGTGTAATTCTGTGCACCTGGTGGCATTTCCAGCACAGAGTGACAATGATTAATGCTTTTTGAGCAGATCCTTTTGTAGTGTTGGCATTACACACTGTTCTTTACACTGCTGTGTCAGCCTGAAATATTGACCTTGGCTCGGTATTTCAGGGCCAAGGTCAAGGACCAAGGGCCTGTCAAGCATCTACTCAGAATGATACTTGTTTTAATCATACTACTTTCATCCTGCTTTAAGGGATTTTGATGCTTGAATCTTTATGCTAGGTATTCCTGTATGAGGTACTGAGTTTTCTCCAGCTTGTTTTCTTCTAATCTCGTTATTAAGTATGTCATAATCTTTAGTATTATATTCAGTCATCTTAGGGGGTTGGAGGTTTAAATTCCCCTTCCATGTTCATTTTGTCTGGCTTTGGTCTAGTATGTTTTTCCTCAGGTAAATCAAATTGATTCATTTATTGTAACCATGACTGCATACTGCTTGAGTTCAGCTTTAGGCTTTCATATTTTGTCTTACTCATACTGCATGGAGTTGTCAACTTCTTCATGCTGACATCCTTAGAGTGTCATCTATTATTCATTTCATATCTAACACTTCTTGTATTATTTCAAGTTCTTATTTCTGAATTACTTCTGCAGGTCAAATTTCAAGGTGATACCTTTGAAGCATCATCTTAAAAATAAAGTGAAGAGGGATAACTTGCTCTTTTTTTAACAGCGTAATCTTTCAAGAAAGCTTGTGAATTATATCATCTAGGGTAAGAAAGGTGATGTGACTGTACTTGCAGAATGAGAAGTTTCTGTGGTTGCCAAATCTGACGTGTAAACCTCAAGTTTTTTGCTTCCTCAGCAGATTTCCCTGGAAAGCATGATTTTTTTTTTTTTTTTTTACATTGGTGGGGTATAACATGTAATAGGCCATTAAAATGAACTGCTTATCCAACAACCACTAGGCAGATAATTTTAAACAATGAACAAATAGGCACATACAGGATTAGTTTTTCTGTGGTAGCTAAGAACAGATTTTATTTTCATTACAAAACAAAGGGAACGAGATCTCAAAAAATATGTGTTAAGATTGCAGGCTATCTTTCACAGGCTTTACTTACAGTTTACAGATCTAGTATGAACTTTCAGTGTGAAAATACCGTGCTCTGTTAAATCACATCATCAATTTTTCTGCAGTCTGGTAAATCCCTGAACACTCTTTTGGCATGCCTGGAGGTCAGCACAGAGTTAAAGCCACGCTGAATATCCTGGCTTTGCTCTCAGTGGAAAGCTGGACTGTGTCCCAGGGACAGTCAAGCACAGTTTGAAACCACACTTGCCATTCTCTACTCCGTGCTAGGTCAGACACAGCGATGAACCAGGATCAATTTACTTCTGACAATGCACAATTTTCCTACAATTTGACTAGTCAGAAATACTGTCCTTGAAGGGTAACAGCAACAATCACACCCCAAATGGTGGCTCTTTGTATCGACAGTGCTAACTCCCTCCCTTATCCCCGCCAGCAGCCGTTTCACCCCGCGGCTGGCGCGGGGCGAGGTGGCCGCGTCCGCCTCCATGCCTGCCAGCACCAGCAAAGCACGCTCAGTCGGGCTGAACCCGGGCCTGGAGCAAACCGCTCCTCACCCCAGGAAGAGCCTGGCTGCGGCAGGAGAGCGTGGACAAAGAGACACGGGGTAAAACACATGGGCAGGTGGTCGCACTCCGGGCTTCTCTCCCTGACAGAGGCCGACGCCGCGGCGGCTGAACCGGACCTTACGCCCACTCCACCATCTCCACCGACCGAACTCCGCTGAGGGCAGCAGCGTCGCTCTACTGTACTGCGCATGCGCCGCAGAAGGTGGCTGGAGGAGCCCCGGCACCGCTGAGCTTGCGCGAAAGGGCGGTGAGTTCTCTCCCGCGCATGCGCGGAGCCTTGCCCTCACCCGCCCTCCTACTTAGCGGACGCCGCCAGTGTCGCCGCGGGCGTCGGGGCGCGGCGGAGATGGTGTGTCCCGCGGCCTCCGCCGGCCGCCTGGGCTCCGCGCTGCCGTTCCTGCTTGTGCTTTTCGACCTGCAGTACCAGGGTGAGTGGAGCTTGTGACGGGGAGCGGGGGAGTCTGCGGCTCGGCCTTGCCCGGCCCGGCGGTGTGTGGCAATAGAGGTGGCCGCCGCTTCCGTGCGCGGTCCGCTGGGGCAGGTCAGCCTCAGATGGGGTCGCCGCTGGGCCCACGGGGATGCCTTGTTAGGGGAAGCCGCTGGGTGATCGCCCTCTCTCCTTCTGGGCCGTCTTCGTCGATTGCGACGATTAGGAGTGTTCGGGTGTCGGTCTCGGTTGAATTGTGCTGATGGAGAGCGGAGCGGAGCCGCGGCCTGGCCACAGGGAGCCGGCGGGCCTGAGCCGGGCCGGGGCGAGGGGAGGCGTGGGGCTGCGAGCACCATGGCGGTGGGGCCGCCGTCCTGAGAGGCGAGTATTTCTGGACAAGGTGTGGGGAAGAAGGAGGTGCAGAGCTGCCACCTCATCAAGGCGGTTCCGAAGGGTGTGTAATGAGGGCACCGTCACTGTTCGTAACCTGCTTGGTTCTATCCGAGCTCCTGGCGGTGCTGCTGGGGGCTCGGTGTGTGTGTTTCGTATTCCTTGGCCTGCTGTTGGGGTGTAAGCTGCTGTGAGGTCTTGAAAAAGTGGTATTATCGAGTGCAACTGTGTGACGGTATTGGCTGCTTCTGTACTAGCCTTGAATTTCTCACTTTTGGAGGAATTTTGTGCCATTCCCAAGTAAAAAGGCATTTTCCATGGTCCTTCTCAGCCACAGCCATTACTAGTGCCAAACCTACAAGTTCGCTGAGGCTTTTGACAGCTGTGTTATGTTTAGTTATGTTCTTGTTTTATTGTTAGGTCTTTTTTTTTTTTCTCAACGTCAGTATTTGAAGTTTAGCAGAGAAGGTTATCTGCACTCTTTGCAGCTTGTTCACTTTCAGAATACCCTGTCAGCAACACCTGTATGGTCAAACTTTTATTCACAGGCTCCTGTTAAATGTACAACTTTGTTATACAATTGTGCACTTAAGAGTTTCACCTGAGGAGCGTTCTTTAACTAGCATTGGCAGACTGAAGTGGAACTGAAGCTGTCAATAGTCAGAATGATTCCATAGGCCTAAGACCTGGCTTGACATGAAAAGTTTGGTAGATGTTACTAAATTAATAATTGCTTTGGTCATTTGGCAACAGGCACATACTGTGGCAAAGATGCTCTGTAATACGAGTCTACATACTGTAGTGTTGATTTGCTTTTTTTGGATATGTACTCTAGTAGTGTCAAAGGGAAAATAATACTTGTGGTCAGAGTATACTTCTCCCTCCCCTCCTTCTCCCTGTAAATTACCCCCCACACACACACCCCGGCCTGGCTTTGCAGATTGTGACAGTGATGCTCCTACTGAGGATTCTTTATTTGGAGTTGCCAGCCTATTTCAAGTATATGGTTTAATGGCCATGAGAACTTACTAAAGCCCCTTTTCCTAATTTGGGATATATTATCTTCAGTTAATAAAGATGAACAGTAATATAATGAAAAGTGGTGGTTCTGGATCTTATTTTCTGAACTTCCTAACCCTCTTAGTTCATGAATTCATTTTCCAGAGTATGTAGTTAGAGAATTTAGGGGGTTACATTATTTAAGTATCTGGATTTTTTTTACTGTTACTGGTCTTTGAACTCAAATGTGTTCATATTTAATTTACATCTTGCTGTGGGAGTTTGCCTTTTGACAGCCAATTCATGAATTGGTGGAACAGTCAGCCTGTGTTAGCTTTGTATCTTTATATTAATACCTATGAATACTCCTGTCTGACTGAGAAATCAGTTCAGTAAAAAGGTTTTTGAATACTTGGTTATGTGGCAAGTCGCATTTGAACCCTTACAGTTGTGTTTCCTGGATTTCTCCTCTTTGAATACCCTGACTTGTGCTGAATAAGCTCCCACTTGATACAAATCAAGATGTATCCTTCATGGAAGTTTGTTTGCACTAACGGCAACATAATGAGGTGACTGAGGAGGGTAGAGGAAGGTTGCCCACTCCTTCTTGGTAGTGAAAAAAAAACATAATAAGGGGAAGAAGAAACGGGCTTTGAGCCTAACAGAGCTCAACTTGTTATTGTCAGACCACCAGCTTTAAGTGTTTCTTTGCCCCACACCTGTATTTCTATCCTGAGTTTGTGGGTTCATTGGTTTTTAGTTTTTTTTTTTTTACCCCAAAAACCAGAGGATAATGGGGGAGTGGCTTTTTGGTTTGCCAGTCTTGGCTATGCGTACCAATTTTCTTTGCAAACAGAGGGAGTAAAAACCTGGTAGGTGAAAGTTACACATGGCTCAGCTAGCTCTCTTAAGGCTCCTTGTCAGCATTTATGTATTGCTCCTCAAACTGGGGTTGGATCCAATTCTTTATTCATTCTTGTCCTTGAAAAGCAACACACGTAAAAGCAAAGCCCAAACCTGTTTAAAAAATAACAGCAAACTTAAGACTTACTATGCTAAACACAGGGTCATTCTGATCACAAAATGCCCCCCCTCCCCCCCCCAATCTGTTACTTGCATGACAAGACAAACATCAAGCTCTTTATTTTTAAAAAATACAGAAAAGATGACTGTAATTAAGATTAGTCACATACGTGTTTCTCAATTTTCTTTGAAACAACTCGATTTCTGATACACAGTTCAAACTAGTTCCTGTTCCCCAGGCTGGGGGAAAAGAAGAGTGTGTAGACAAATGTAAAATCTTGAAACAGTTTTCAAGTTAAAGGGTATTCTTAAGTTTTTTACACTGTGGATCTGACTGATTATATAAGGATGTAGTTGAAGTTTGCATGCTCAGGTATCCATGTATTAGCACCAGTTATTCTAATAAAACAAAAATCCTACCAGGTAGTTAAAATTTCTTTGAAGTGAATGTATTTAACTGGAAAAACAGGTTAGCTGCACCTGCTTATCATCTCCTGTGCCTTCTGACTGACTTTGAGGTGACAGGGCTGGAAACAATTATTATCTGAGAGAAGTTTGTTTTTGTTTTTGTTTTGTTGGCTTCTTTTTTGACTCTTCCATCCTTGCATCAGTGCCAGGCCTACAGACTCTTGAACTTATCCACAATATATGACTTGATTTGACTGCTGGGGCTCTTGTGTGTGGTCATCTGTCATCCTTGGTGAATAGGTAACAATTAGGCAGGCTTTAGAAATAACATTCAAATTAAAATACTTGAAAGCTCTAAAAATAAATAGTATACTTGCATATTTCTTGCATAAACTTAGTTTCTTGCTGGAGCATACAAAACTTCTTCAGCTGCAGCGCTGGGCCCTTCATAACCAGCTTACTAATGTCTGTATATATGCTGGAAAGAACTCTGTGGGTTTGGTTGTTTTTTGCCTCTGGTTGAATTTGAGTCTTCATGTTCATTCCCAAAGAGTGAGTAGATACCCAAATAGGTTACACAGAATTGGAGTCCTTAGACTTCTGTGCCTGTGTTAGCAGTTTGCAGATGGTTGCTGTGGGGTGGTTTATTTAAAGCGATTGTTTGCCTACAGCCAGAAAATGAGTAAGCATTCATGTAGTTTTATATGAATAATCAGCCCAACTATCAGTGTACAGTGTACAGTGTTCCTGAGTAGTTATGGTAAATGTCACTTTTCATCATGGTTACACTGTTTATATAGGCTGCTTCTGGAGATTCCCACATCAACTTAAGATGTTCAGCAACTTGTGTACTTTTAATGTATGTCTAGTATAATTAGTCTTGTTCTGCAGCGAGCATACGATACTTCCCAGTTGGCCTTATTACTCTATCTGTGTTGCTTCTGCTTTTATTGCTTACCTGCTTACTACTAATGGTCATTTGTCTCATTTCATTAATGTTCAGTATTTTCAAGGAAAAAAAAGTCTCTCTTGCCTAAAGTATTATGTAACTGTAAAGCTGTACTGAACATAATGTGTTTGAAAGGTATAAATTGTATAGGTACATCTTACTGTGGAAAATCTATTCTTGGAGCTGTCCTGGTGTGACTAAATGTGAAAATAAGGGCACTCCCTCAGATGCTTGAGACTCTGAAAATTGAATGCCATGTTTAGGTGGATAGAAGGCTCATCAAAGAGTAATTTACAACCCACTTCTAGGATACTGCTCCAAACTGACAAGTTTTGAAAGATTTCAGGTATTCATATGTAGGGAGAGACAGGAGAGACAAAGCTTAAGAAATTTGGTTGTTTGTTTGTTTTTTTTTTTCTCATGTTAAATACTTCAGTATGTTCATGACTTGATACCTGATTCTTTGCTAGTGTACTTCCAAACTTGTGGGCTTGTTTTCCGGTTTGGGTTGTTTTGTTTTTTTCTTCCCTTCAATGCTTGCTTTGTCATTTTGGAGGACATTGGACTTATTCAGTGATAAAAACTTCAAGCTGGCAAAGAAGCAAAATGGCAAAGAAAATGTCTATTTTTCTGAAAATTGGAGATTCGCATAAAAGCTGCACTGAGGTAGAATACTGTGTAGGGAAAAATTACTGTCAAATACTTCTCTATTATCAGTGGAGCTATTTATATTTTCTTCAGAGCTATATATAATGTAGAATGGATTTTAAAATGCATTGTTTAATAAGAACCCTTAATTGACTCTAGGATAATAATTACTATATGAATGTTATCTATTTAAACCAAAAAAAACCTACTGACCAGGAACTTGGGGATTATTTTATAAAATAACTTTCATAAATTAAAAAAAATAAATGTTTGGTGTTACTGTTCTGAAAGAAATAATTGAAGCCTCTAGAATTTAGTTTGCTGAATTATTATCAGTCTTTTAGCAGGTGAATCTTTTTCCAGTGGATACAGAGGGCATTAATTTTCTACTGTGGAAGTAAAAGAATTATGAACTGTATTAAGGAGTAGGAAAGAAAAATTAAGATCTTGAGTGCCAAGAGCTCCTGGGTCTAAAAATCTTAAGGATTTGGTGATCCAGACATCAATGTTCTTTTCATTACAAATACTTTGTTGTTTAATCACCTGTCAATGTGAGAAGTTTTGATATGCTTTCCTCCAATCTGTGTAGTGTTAACAGTTTTATTCAGACTCTAAGAAACAGCTTCAAAGTGCTGCTGCATTTTTGTATTTGAGGTTAATTCAAGTGCCTGTCTGAATTAGCTTGATACAAAACCTGACTGAAAGAAGTTGATTCCCACTAATTGTATTTATTCAGGATTTTAGTTTGCTACCTTGCTTAAACTTATGCATAAGGTATGCTTTTATTAAAAGATAACTGTTTATAGTGTGAAAATTTTAAGTCATAAACTGGTAAGTTGTAGTGAAAGTCTGTCCTGATTTGCAGATTGCTGTAAGTGCTACAAATGAAAAATCTCTGTGGCTGAATTGATGGATGTACAGCATGTGCTTGAATTCAGCTACTCATTTCTTCTCAACAATAGTCTTTCCCTGTTCATTGTACAGCAGCAATTCATTAGCTTTCAACTGAAACTGGCAGTTTGAAAACATACCACTTTAGTGTGATTTTTCATACTTCCAGTTAAATGAAAAGGGGGGGGGAGGGAGAAGAATCTTAATTGTTGATATCAAAACTTGTGCCCTGGAAAGAGTTTGCCTTGGAAATGATAAAGTAAACGAAACAAAATTGCAGTAGACTAGAAGCCAGTCACTCAGCTAACTGTTCTCAGTTGAGTCCTAAGTTATAAGTAGGGTCATGAAATTTAACTTCAAGCCTTTTTCTTTGCTATGTGTGCATTATAATTTTTTTTAGATGGTTTTTAAATTGAAAGTTCACACAGATTTATTTTGTCAAACTGTTTTTATAGTTGATATATAAAGCTTGGTGTGCAAAAAGTATGTTACTGAATGTACAGACAGGAGAAGAAATGCCTATTTGACGCCTTCTCCAGTATGGTGCTTTACAATGCTTATCTATTTACATTGTAATTTTAGGGACAGTGTTTAAGTTGCTGATTGTTATTAGTACAGGAATGTGTGACTGCCTTTATATCAGTAACTGCTTGTTATATGTGTTATCACTGTATGCTTTTGGTATAATCATACTAGTTATTCAGAACCTTGATCTTGCCTTTCTTTAAGGAGCTGAATGTGGAATAAATGCAGAAGTAGAAAAGCAACTTGAAATGGGAAAGAAGTTATTGGCTGCTGGACAGCTAGCAGATGCTTTGTCTCACTTTCACGCAGCTATAGGTATGTATCTCTGGAAAGTGATGCTTGCACTGAAATAAGTTTGGATGTTTCGGTTGGATTTTTTTGTCTTCTCACTGTTTGCTTCATTAAATATTCTGCTTTCTTGCAAACTGCATTCCATGAGTCACAGAATTTTGGGCATCTTTATGCAGCAGTTTGGACAGGAGCCAAAAGAGATGTAGTAGAATACTTATGCTTTGGTTTTAATAAAAGAAACTGATATGTGAACACTAAGTCACTGCTGTTCTGCAAGCTAGCTGTATGAAAGCAGTGACAATTGATCATGGCATTGTTTGATGAGGTGTTCCCTGTATCTAATCCCATCAAGATGAGGTTTTGTCTTTATGAAGTTTTTTGAAGGTAGTTTTTGAAAGGTTGAGTTTACCGTGCTGGAGAGTTTACCGTGCTGGAGAGAAGAAAGAATGGATTAAAAACCCAACATTTAAAGTAGTTCTTTTTTGTCTTTTGGTGTATTTTTTTTTTTTTTGGGGGGTGTGTGTGGTTTGGGGGTTGGTTTGTTGGCTTTTTGTTGTGTTTTTTTTTTTTTATTTTTGAGGTGGGTGATACCTCAGTGAAACTGATTCTACAAGTTTGAGATGCTGAACTGGTAGTGAAGAATATATTAACTGTGACTCTCAAACTCAACTAGTGATGTTCAACTAGTTTTGATGTTCTATGTTTTCAACAAACTGAGGAGTTAAATGTTTGCTTCTGCAAATTTCAAAGCAACTTGGCTGGTTAAAATCCTTTAATTGAAGTGTAAAGACAGAGCACTAGTAAAGAGCAGTCTCATTAACACTAATTTCTCAATCGCATTTTTTTATATTTTAAAAGTTGTTGGGCTTTTTAATCTGTACAAGTGCATAATTTTCTCTGAGAAGAATAATACAAAGGTGTTACACATCAAGTCATACTATTGAGGCTTTTCTATTTATGTCTAGGTCTAATAGTGATGTGTAAATGAAATATTTGCTGATTTTTGAGTTACTCATATTTTCTGTGAGTTTTCTAAGATAAACCTCTCTTTCATAAAGGGAGTGGAGGGGGAACTTCCTCTTTCTCTGTGATATGGAAGCTCCTTGCTGTACCAAAAGGCTCCTTGTTCCACCTTTTGCTTGTGTGTTGCTGTCAAAGCATTCCTGTGGGATCCGAGCAGAGTTAGTGTTACAGCATGTCTTATTCCTTTATTATTGATTCGCAAGCTTTAACTTGGATTTGGTGAGAAGTCCAGTTCAGTTTGTGGCCATTCAGATGCTGGTGGTGCTGCAAAAATTGGCAGTGGAGTGAGGTGCCTGCATGAAAGAAGCAGCTGATAGAACTATGGTGTGACCACCTGTGTTGTGACCTTGACAGGATTCTTACCTGTATGTTGATTTGAGCCTGATTGCTTGAACTGTGATCAGACTTCTTTGTATTCTGCTTTTTTGAAAAGATAGTAAGCACAGTTTGCCTACTGTGTTTGTAGAGGAGGGGAGAAGAAATTTTTCAATGCTAATTTGTCTGTATTACATTATTATAGACAGAGAGGTAAATGGATAGTTTTGTTTTGCCTGCCTGTTTTTTTTTTCCTTTTTCTTTTTGTGGTGGTTTTTGTTTTTTTTTGCTTTTGTTCAAACATCTAAAGTAGAAGAAAGCTATTGTCCATAAGCTCATGGCTTATGCTTTCTCTCTGGGTAAATGTCAACTGCTGTTCATTACTGTTACTGGGGAACTGAGACAAAACCATAGTCTGACTGTCAGAAAGATCATAATCCTTCTGGGATGGAATGTGCTTTCTGGGTTTGCTCCTTTCATGTCTTTCATCCTTTGTGTATTAATTAAGTTCCTTAATTTCAGCTATTCATTTGTGCCTATTCTACATATTTAGTTGTATGCAGTAGGACTTAATACATCTCTTTTTTTTAAAGGTAGCAACATTTGAATTTACTAGATGTCCATAATGTTGTATAAAGCATGGGAGTTGTAATTAAATTTCAGTGCTGGACATTCTGACTTTCACAACCAAGACATTGTAGAGGAAGGGTGCAGATACCTTTTCCAGTGGTAACTGAACTAGCATTTTTTAATAGAGGTTGCCAGCTATGAAGTTTGGTTACTGACCATAAGATTTTTGGCAGTGCTGTTTATTCCATTTGTTTGAAAGTTCAACTTTAACCTCAGATGAGGTGAGGACGATAAATACTTGTTTCCTGTCACAGGTATGGGTGTTCTTGTCTACATATTCTGGATTGGTGATTTTTTTTTTTTCTAATAGCACAGTAGAAGTCTACTGTCTATGGTTGATTGGGTGCTCTAAGTTACACTTGAGAGCCTGTTTCTTCAAAATACTGCATAGAGGAGAATATTGAGAAAAGTCTTATTCAGCTTCAGAAACTGATTGCCTCCTGTAAGGGGGTACATACGTGCTAGCCTCAAGATTGTTAAAATAGCTGGATCTTGGAAGTTTGACCAGCATACAGTGTGGGATATGTGGGCCTTGAAGTTAGCCTTCGGGTTTTAATAATGTATGTGCATTTGTCTTCCATTGAGAGGGGGTGTTAGTGTCCACTTTAGTGTTAAAGAAGCTGCTGCTAGTTCAATAGATGATGGGTTTATGTGTCCATGTGGACATTGGACTTACATATTGGTAATTTTGGAGTCATTTGCTTGCATCCTATGTGATTGACGGACTGGGATGGAGAATTACGCATTAATATGCTTTCAAATGTAGGCATGCAGTTGGAGATAAAAGGTTAGTATGTAGTGGCTGCTTTGTCGTACAAAGCTGAAAAATGTGTACGTGTTTCATCTTCAGTACTCTTATTTAGCGTTTACTGTAATTCTGTTATCTTTATTGTTACATAATGAAACTGCATAGTGCTTGCATAATGTTACGAATGTTATGCCTTGTTTATAAATACCACTTTTTTCCATTGGCTTAAAAGTCAGATAACTTTAGTAATTAAAGTTTTGCTGTACCCAAAGTTTCAGTTGCTTTGAGATAGTATTCTGATTACTGTTCCTTCACTTGCAGAGGGAGACTCTGATAACTACATTGCTTATTACAGAAGAGCCACAGTGTACTTAGCTATGGGCAAATCAAAAGCAGCAATTCGTGATTTAAGTAAAGTGGTTGAATTAAAGCAGGACTTCACATCAGTAAGTATTACTGCAATTGGAAAGTGTTCAAGCATAAAAGCCCCCTGCTTCAAATTTGTTTTTTCAGATTTTGCTCAACAGAAATAAATACATTATTACTCAGAAGGCTTTAAACAGGATAAAATAATAGCAGTGGTGTATGTACTTTAATTTGTAGCTATGCTGAGTACAGTCTAGCCAGTTATTCTAACAAATAGTAGTAGTATAATTAAGTTCATGTTCCTCATGGGTTTATGTTGAACATTTCTCTTCTCTTGCTTGTGGTTATTCTCTTCAGTCACCAAGGCTATGCCCTCTGAGACAGAGAAGTGGAAGAGAGCACACAGATGCCTCTTCTGTCTTAATCAGCATTTGATGTGAAACATCTCCACAGGAATTGTCCTAATCTCACTGCCTTCTGTTGGGATTGTTGCAAGTTCTGATTTACTTATGCCTTTCTTGCTCCTGCGTACTGTCTGGGAGACTGCCTTGCAGTTTGAACACTGATAGTGGAGTTATCTCTATCTGATTCTTTTATCTTCCTTTTCTGTGGGCAGTGCCATGTCCAGTGCAGCTTACGTCAAAGGAGTAAATGTTAAATTCATTACTGTATGAAAATATTGTTAAATTTTCTAAGTTGTTAGCTTGTCTTTTTGCATAGCTTCTATTATTTTGAAAGTTTAGTGGAAGAATTAAATGTGGGAATTATATATTGTGTATTATTTATGCTAATTTCTTAAAAATCTGTAAGCAGTTATAATCAAGTAACTGGTGTAAGGTAAACATTTACTTTGTTTTGTGCAACTCTTCAGATGAATTCTTTACGTGAATTTCAGCTGCTCATAAAAACTGTGGCTGCTTTTTCTCCATCACTTCTGGTGCAGTGAACCTTTGCCGTCAAAGAAGCCTTCTAAGAATGTCAGATCAAGAAGATGAGGAATGGGTGTTGTGATCTGTTTCAGTTTGTTAGCTGTAGTAAAATTCAGCTTTCTTTTTCCTGGTAAAGGAAGCTGAAGTTTATGTTCATAATTTGCTGAATTCCAGTTTGTACATCAAAAGAAATTGTTTTATTTCAGGCGAGATTACAGAGAGGACACTTACTGCTCAAGCAAGGAAAATTTGATGAAGCAGAGGATGACTTTAAAAATGTGGTAAGTTGGAGGCCTAATTCGAATTACATCACTGCTTTTAAGGTTGGGTTCTGAGTCTGAGGAGTTCCCCATATTTTATGTGAGACATGACATTAATAGTCTCCACGATCAGAAAGTGCTCAGAGTCTCCATAGAAACACACTTGGATATTCCTCACCTAAAGCTCACTTGGGTTGGTGGGGTTGGGTTTTTTTTCTTTTCATGGGTATTTTGTGCATTTCAGCCTTACATTGCAAAAATAAACTGATCTAGAACAAAATTCCTCAGAGAAAATGTGAAACTCTGTTCCCTCTCTGCACAGAATTTCTGTAAGCATGAGAATAAGATTCATTCTTATTCTTACCCTTCAAGAGTTGCTAGTTTGAACAGCTTGCATATTCCTTATGCCAAAATAAATAGAATTTGCAAGTGTAATTGATGCTGCCTTGTTGACTTTCTTTGAAGAGTTTGATGGAGAATGCAGCTCTGCATTGCAGATTACAGATGGTTAATGGAAATCTTACTAGTGAGTATGTATGACAAAACCAGACCAATTGAACTGTATGCTCTGCGGGGCAGTTGGGAGGAATTTCTCTTGCAGGTATAAATGCACCATGGTGTCTTTGTGTTTGTAGCAAAGCTGCAGTAGCAATGGCTCCTCTAGCTGCTGCTGCTTCCTCAGTATGTTTCTTAGGAGTGTGTGGTCTGCAGTTGCGCATCGGATTGCAGTGCAGCCCTGCCCTTTGCAAATGCAGGAGAATGTTCAGCTCTGATTAACAGAGGACATAGTTGCTGCCATAGCAACTACATGATGTTATAGTGTGTATGCATCTCTTTGCAGTTACTGTTTCTTGAAGTATTGCTTAATGCTATGTAATGGAAATGCTACAGTCAGTTGTCAAGGAACTTGCCATTTTCCAAACCAACTGCAAAAAATTAAGATTGCTGCCTTTAGTCTTTGGTATTTTTTCTCGTAAATGAGAGGGGAGGAAAGAAGGAGGAAGTCCGTTAGGGATTGAGTATCTCTTTAAGTGATCTCAAGGCTTTTACGTTCAGACTCTTATTTTTTGCTACCAAAAGTGGTAGGGGCAATACTAGCCACAAGGAAGCTTTGGCTCACATTGTAATTCAGTGGTCAAGGAGCCAAAAAAAATAAGTTGTACCTTAAAAGTTCTCTCTACTGCTATTGTAGATACAGTGAAAGAAATACCAGTGGGATCTCAAAAGCTTTTAGGCTAAAATTAAGTTGTGGACTTGAATACCTCAAACTGTGTGTTTTACATGTGAACAGAGTATGTAATTTGATTATGCTCTTTAGCTGAGTAAATGTAGGTCAGGATCTGAAGAGCTCACTAGCCTCTCGCTTTGTTGCCCAGATATCACCTAACTGGAATGCTTTCATTTTGACTAAGCGTGTAGCACCTCAGCAGGTTGTGTCCAGATCTGGAGCTAAATTGGGGAAAAACTTGGGCCATCCTGTATTAGTTGTGTGCAGGCTCTGAATCTGCAGTTACTGTAAGTCAGTAGGCATGCAGCAGCCTGGTCATATATTTGAGTCTGCAGAAGATGGGTATTATGGAAAGACAAGGTGGAAATGCTGTATTTAAAGATAAAACAAACAAACAACAAACCCCAAAACTTAGAACAAACCTTCACCCCATCCATTCTTTTTTGCTGAAAGTCTTGCTTTGAAGAAAAATAATCCACTTTCTTTACTGTGCAGGGGTGCAGGATGTTACTGAGAGTAGGTGGTCCTGAGACCATCATACACGTACAGAAATGAATTGTAGGATGTAAAAATGTGGGAGTTTTTGCCTTCAGTGTTATTTTATTTTCCTGAGGAAATAGTTGCATAGATGAGATGGGTTTTCTTCTGGTAAAGCCTTCTTTGAAATAGATTATATACCCTTGAATGATGGTAGATGTGTTCTCTCGTGTGACTTCACATAGGAGACTGTTTGGGTCAGGTGTTGACTTCAAGGGAGCAGATCAGAATTTAAAGTATTTCCCACTTTTGAGTTGGAGAAACCAGGTCAGGGTGTGGAAATTAGGGAGAGTAATTTTACTTGGACTACTAAAGACAGACATGTAGGAATGAGATGGTTTGTAATTCCCTGTGTGATGCTCGCATTAAGAGTCAATGTCAGCAGTGTTCCTTTGTATGCCTACCAGAACTGCAAGGTGACTGATGTAGGGACCTCTCTGTAAAATGTTGTTTTCTCCAAGCATATTCCAAAGTCTGAATCCCTGTGGAGACTCTGAAAAGCATTATTTTTTTTTCCCATCCCTCCTCTCGAAGTCATGTTCTTGAAAGGGATCTCAGTGTTTCAGGAGATGCAATAATTTTTGAGGCAGAGAAATATCAAGAAAAAATTAGCACGTCCATATGGGGGGGGGGGGAAATGACAAGTAAACTTTCCCAACTTGTAACAGCAGTTTTGTGTAGAGCTTGAAAGAATCATTGAAACTATTCTTTACATATAGTAGTAACACTATCCTTTAATGTATAAACATGAAAAGAAAAAAAAAGTCATATCCTTAAATTCTATTTGCATGGCTTTATAATACATGGGGAAAAGTTTCAGGAGCACCCTGTACCTCTTCGAAGTTACCTGATTGCTGAGCAGAACAGTTTCTCGGTTTGGGTGTTTCTGCCTCCTGTGGCATACTAGTACTGGCTGTCTCGTGAGGCAGTGCCAGTGTGAGAGCAGGCAGTGGGAATGCCTGACTGGAAAGGATGGGAGCACTCCTTTCAGGGGCAGAGATTCTTCAAGCCCCATGATTCTTCATGCATTGTTTTGAGGTGCCTTTATTTTTTGTGTCTACTTTGTACTTCCCTATTGGCTGAAATTAATCATGAGGTTTGAGTAGAAAGTGTGATTCAGACTTATGCCTCAACATAAAGTGTTAGAATCATAGAATGGTTTGGGTTGGAAAGGACCATCTAAAGATCATCTAGTTCCAACCTCCTGGTCGTGGGCAGGGACACCTTCCACTAGACCATGTTGCTTAAACCCCCGTCCAGCCTGACCTTGAATGCTGCAGGGATACTAACCAATACCACATTTCTAGGAACCTCTCCTTTTAGTCAACAGATGCATGAAGCTGATGAAATTCCTTATATGGACCAGGACTTCTTCCATCTAGTAATATAGAATCACAATTTGGTAATCTTTAAAGGCTGCTTAGCATTTTCCTTTGCAACTCAGTTACCTGTTTTGAAGTCTAGGACCTAGAGGGTAACAAAGCTTACAACAAATGTCAGCATAGGGGTCTTAATTCTGGTGTTCAGAGTCTTAAGGATGTATCGAGGATTAAGAAGTCCTGTGGGCACTTCAGAAAGTTACTGCTCACAGCATATGAATAGTATTTACTTCTCTGCTCCAACTTTGGTTGAGTGTTCATATGCTTTAATACCAAGTTCCTTCTGTTTTGGTTAGTAGTTTCTGAATAATAGAAGTCAACAGGACAGATCTGCGGGCACATCAGTGCTCATATCTGTAGCCTCAATCTACTGGAATATTTTTTAACTGCAAACGTGATTTTTAGTGAAAATAAAAGGATTATTGATATGCTTTGGTTGATGGAAGGCCTGAAAAGGTGACAAAAGCAATGCAAGTCCTGGAAGCCCTTTGTATATGCCTTATAATGTCTGTGACCCTGCTTGTGTGCTAGAGAAAATGCTAAGCATTTGAATTGCTGAATTCAACACAAAAATAGAACAAAAATTCTGCCTAGTCTATTGGAAAGTGTGGAAAGGACCAAGTTGTCATATTTCTTTTAAGTTAATCTTCATGTTTTTGAGAGTAACTATAATGCTTACAGTTGCAGTTTGTTGCAATAAATACTCTAAATTTAGGTGCCCTAAATATGCAGTTCTGTCTCCTTTGGAAACATAACCATTTAAAAAGCTGGAAACTGAAGGTGCTACTTCCAGCTCCACTAGATGTCAGCCAAGACCAAGTGACTGTGCACTGTACGTCTGCAAATTGTCTTGTAGAGAAGTCCTCAGCTGTTGTGGATAATAGTTTTCTGTGGTTGGTTGCTATATGTAATAGTATTATTTTTGGATGTAGGTGGAGGAGACCATCTTATGCCACTTTAAGTTAATCTCATTTGAGTAAGTTACTAGGGAATCTTGGGTTGGGTATTTGAAGCTGTAGTAACCAGATCAAAGTAACATTAGACTTCCAAATACATTCCTCTGCGGTACTGTGATCATCTGTAGCTTTCTAGGTAAAGACTACAAGGTATTTCCTTGCTTTTTTTCCATCTGCCTAACATCACAGTAGTGTTACCTAATACATTGCTCTGCCAATGCAGTTTTCCTTTGTTCTTGAGCATGTGGATGTCTTAATTTTAGATAACACAAACAGTGGAGGTTTCTTCAGTTCCCCTGAATGTTTTTCACAAGCCAAAGCAATTTTCATTGCTTGTGTATTTACACATTTAAGAAGGAAGAAAATAAAACAGCCTTAGAATGTGTAGATGTATGCCTACATTAGTGGCACTGGGCCACTCTAGAAACAGTGTATCTGTAACATTTATTTTTAACAATAACTTGATTTTAACTACAGTATTTATGAGTTTTTTTTCAAATTGATAATGTCTTTATAATATATACTAAGATACTCAAATGTTACTGGTGAATTGTTTGTATATTTTTAATCTGTGTTCTGAGTATGGATTTAGAGTTCTTTGTTGGTGTTTTTTCTTAAGGTGGTTGTAACTGCTTCTTCCTTAGAATTCCTGTGCTAAGTGCCCAACTTCTTCCTGTATTGTTAATGAGCCATTGCAAAGAAAGATGTAGTACTATGTAGATGGATAGCATGACAGATTGTTAAACTGGTGAATTAGCGTAGGAATGTCTTTTAACCCTTTGCTATGCTTCTGAGAAAAGATCCTGAAGCAAAGAGTTCATACTAAATTTGATTGCAGGAGGTACTTGCTCTGTTTATAGAATCACAGAGTGGTTTAGGTTGGAAGGGACCTTAAAGATCGTCCAGTTCCAATCCCTCCGCCATGGGCAGGGTCCCCTTCCACTAGATCAGGTTGCTCAAGGCCCTATCCAGCCTGGCCTTGAGCACTGCCAGGGATGGGGCATCCACAGCTTCTCTGGACAACCTGAGCATCCTCCAACACACAAGACACAAATGGTCCTATGTAGTTTTAACATTGGCCTCACTTCAGTGTTTTGTCACTGCTGATAAAGTTTGGATGCCCTGCTACTAACAAATTTTTCTGAAGTAGTGGTGCATTCTTATTTTTTTATGTTGCTTTGTGTGTGGTTGTTGTTTCTTCTGTGTGTAGTTAGGAAGGTCATATTGATGGAGTTGTGAAATGCAGTGAAATATGGCAGTTTGGGGGGGGGGTGTGTGTGTGTGTGTCATGATGTTGCCTATTGAAAACCAGCATGGATTGTTTACCTTGTTAAAATGCTTTTCCCATCAGAAAACTTTTGAATACTTGATGTTTGACTGCAAATGCAACACAGCCATTCCAAGGCTGCCTACTTAGAGTAGAAATGATCTAAACGCTTTCTGTATGCCAAGAAGATGCTGGGTTTCATGAAGTGAACTACTAATACCTTTTTTTCGACTGTCCTAGGTGCAGTAAGGTAATGTTGTAAAGTTTTGTACCTTGAGATAAAGTTCTAGAAGAAGCTAGCTTCCTCACTGAGAGTAACAGGGAAAAAGATAGATACATGTGTGAATGCTTTAAAGCTCAACTTAGTTGAGAGAGGAGGATGATTTTGTTCCCTTTAATCTTGTTTACTGGGGGGAGGGGAAAATGGGGGGAAGAAGGGGAGTGGGGGTTTTGCTTAATCTAGGGTGGGTTTTTTCCCTGTATTGAGACTAGGCTATAAAACAAAGCAGCACCCATAGTAGTAAATCTGTGATAGAGAATTATTTATAGTAACAAAGCTATTCCTGTATCCTGGTCTTTTATTTTCTGTACAGGAATTGAGTGGAGGTTTGGGGTGCCGGGTGTCAGTAGGAAATGAAAGCTGCTGTTAACAGATGGCTAGCTCTACTGCAATTTAAATGGCAACTAATTTACAGTTCTAATCCGAATGTAGTAAACATCAGACAGCAAAGCATGTACTGAGAATACACTCACCAGTAGCAGTCTGCTTGTCCAGCAGAACTGAGCAGAGCATAGCTTCTGACTTTGTGCCTTGAGGCCACTAATGAAGCATGTAGAGGAGCATTAGGTTTGCCTTAGACCTGTATTAAATTCAGCTGAAGGGTGTTTTATAATACTTTGCTCCTTTCTTGCTCCTTTGATACTGTGTTCCTTTCTAGCATACTTAGTGTAAGCAGTTGTTCTGAGTTGTCACCCCCAAGCTTACTGCTCCACAGGAAATGCAGAAATAATGAATCACGTTTCAGTTATTTGAAATAATGACAGTCCTCTGATCACAGGGCAAAAACATAGGGGGAGGAGGGGAAGGGAGGAAAGCAAACCAAAATGAGAGTATTAAGTAACTACATCATGTTTTCAGCCTTTTCCTAGGAGCTGAATGAAAAGCTTTATTTAACATTACTGATTAAACCATCATAGCAATGCACTAATTACCTAATAAGTTTCTGAGTGTATATTTTCATCATACTGTAGCACACAAACACTTGATGGCTTTAGTTTAAATGATAGCTTGAGAAATTTATTTCTTTACCTGGATGATTTGTACTACCCAAAATTATCTAGGATGTTTCACTCAAATGGTTGTTATTACTGTTGGGATTGTCTGTGTGGTTGCAGAGTTGCTTTTCATACTCCACTGACATTTTTCTCCAGATAAGTAACAAGAAACATACGGTGTGTCTGAGTGCAGTGTTACTGTGAGATAAGCTTAAACGGAAGCATAAGGCTTGTCCATAGCAAAAGCTCTTTATTTTTAAGAGAGGAAAATGCTGAGAAATAGAGAGAAATTAAGCACGTCAGCTGGAACTAAAGAGTTCAGAACTTCAGAGAGCTTTGTAGCTTTGGAACTTTAAAATTACAGGGGCAGAAATTTGCCTCTGCTACAAACTCCAGATCTGGGGGAGAAGCAGGATGCACAGCATCAGGGGTTTATAGGCAGAGTTTCTGCTGTAACCAGAAGAAAAGCTTTGTGAGACTTATATTGGGAATTAGCCTACAAAGTAGAAAAATCTTTGATCCCATTCCTTTCCTTGTGCTGCAAGATGGTGTAGGGGATAAATGATGATTTTCATGTCCAAGTACAACTTGATTTTTGCCAGAGTAAAATAAAACCCAACTGCGTAAGGTTCAGACAGGCCTAAAATGAATCTAAGGTAGAGGTGGGACTTGTGCATGCTTTTAATGTGGTGTTTAGGCTTTTTCCTTTCATATCCTTCAGTGTTAGAACCAAGGGGAATTTTGTTAAGGTGTTCTGAAGGCTGATTTTGAATTACATTACATGTAGATTACATTGAGAATTGCGTTACCTTGAAGCACAAAATCTGAGTGTTTGAAGAACTTACTGATGAGAAAAAGGGAACAGACCACTTCGAGATAAAGGAGGAAAGAAAAAGTAGGGGTTGATTTTGAGGACCCAGTAACTTTAGTTAACATTTTGTTTAAAAAAAAAAAAAAAAAGAAATGGTAGTGCAAATTTTTTTTAGAGCAAACAAAATAATAATAAAAATTCAAGTCCTGGTGGTCTGTCCTTTTTAAAACTTTGATAGTCATTCTGATTGGCAACAAGTATGGAGCCAGTGCCGTATCCAGGCTAATCTTACAAATAAATTCCTGGCTTCACAAGGGAATGACAGATTCTTCCTGGCCCATATCTGTCTTTACAGAATCAGAGTCATTAGGGTTGGAAGGGACCCCTGGAGATCATGTGATTGAACCCCCCTGCCAAGGCAGGGCCACCTAGAGCAGGTCACACAGGAATGCATCCAGGTAGGTTTTGAATGTCTCCAGAAAGGGAGACTCCACAACCCTTCTGGGCAGCCTGTTTCAGTGCTCTGCCACCCTCAGCATAAAGAAGTTCTTCCTCATGTTGAGGTGAAACTTCTCACATATTAGTTTGTGGCCACTGCTCCTTGTCCTGTCATCGGGCACCACTGAAGAGTCTGACACTATCTTCCTGGCATCCACCTTTGAGATACTTATATGCATTAATAAGATCCCATCTCAGTCTTCTCTAGACTAACCAGGCCCAGTTCATGCAGTCTCTTCTTGTAAGAGAGATGCTCCAGACCCCAGTCATCCTTGTGGCCCTGGGTCTTCTGAGTGGTAGCGGAGGTGCCTGTGAGGTTTTGGGATTTTCAAAATTTTCTCTGAAAATACAGAGCTCCCTAAACAAATGAAGGCAAATGCAATATAACACCTACTTACTCAGAGAGGGGGGCTTGAGAAATGGGAGTCTGTAGAAGAAAACTTCAGGCTTGTTTACAGCTACGTATGAAGCAAAAGGCGTAGATTCCTAGCTGATCCCAGTGTTGAGCCTTTCCTCCATGTGTGCATCTTAACTTACTGCTGTAGCCACTTTTTATGGGGAAAATGGAAGAAACAGCTTTACAGTAATGCTGTCTGAGACATGTTACAGTTATTTCTGTCACGAATTTATGAATACATATTGTGCTTAATGTCCGGTATGTGATTATACTATGTGGATGTTTCTGCTGATGCTGAGGAATGAAGTGTATGATAACTGTAGAGAGATGAATTAGCTAGACTACAGTTGAGAGATCCATGAGACTTCCCGTGGTGATGGGGGGGACTAACTTATGTATGATGTGTCCAATGGTAAGCAATCAGGCACCGTGGCAGGAGGAACTGGATTTGTCTCACTTTCTACAACTTGTATTGAAGCTAAAAATGCCTGTCTTTTTTCTGAAGTTTGGAGTTGGAAACATTTCCAGTGGAATTTTAAAACTGATTTGGCTTTATTGGCAGCTTTAGTCAGTTCTCTGTGATATGATTATTTATGAGACAAAAAGACATCCTTGAACAAGCATTTCAGTCTCTCTCCTTCTTAATGCTTGCAGCTCAAATCCAGTCCTAGCAATAATGAGGAAAAAGAAGCCCAGACTCAGCTGACAAAATCTGATGAGCTACAGCGCCTGCATTCACAAGCATTATCTGCCTACCAGCAAGAGGATTATGAAGCCGCTATTTCTCTTCTTGATGAAATCTTGGCAGTAAGTGTGAAGTATAATGGTACTGTGAAAGGGAAGTATGAGCTCCTGTCTGACATCTGTGTATTTTTGTTTAATAACTTTTTCACTGATATGAAAACACTTGGTGTAACTGGCCCAGTTTTGCTGAGCACTGTGAGTCCATAATGAAGTTGGAGAGTAGCGAATGCTGACCACTACCTGCAGAAAGTCAAAATAATAGGTTTTAGTTTGGGTTAAAGGGAGAACTTCAGCCAGTCTTATGTTGCAGATAATTTCCTTGATCATACTTTTCTGTTTTTTTCAGTTTGGTGTTCTTGGGGAAGCTGGGATGTAAATTCTTCTCAAACCACTAAAGTTTTGCCAAATATAGAAGGTGTAGGTTTGTCATCTAGATTTTTCACTGCCTGTATGCAGGCAGGTTTTGTCTTGAGTGAATGAAGTAACAAAAGACTAAAAACATAAAGTTAGAAATGTAAACAGCTCTCTGGTTTACAGCTTGTTCCGTAGGTATCTGTGTGTATTGAATCTTAATCAGTATAGGTAGGCTGATCATATAAGTGTAGATAATTCATCGTGGGCATTTTGTGTGTCATGTAGATACATATATTAGAAGACTGTTAACTGCTTCAACTCTTCACATGCAAATTAACACAGATTTGGAATTTGCAGCATTATGGCTTTTGCAGAAGAAACTGCCAAAGGGTGGGAGTTTGTTTATGGGGAGGGAATGTGGAAAAGCATAAAAGCCTTGTTCTCTAAAAGGATGGCTTACAAACAAATGATAAGACCCAGAATAAATTCTCACTAGGACAAATTATGATTAGCATTTCCTTTTAAGTAATTATTCTTGCTATATTGTGACATTATTACTTCTGTATATTTATCTTTTAAAATATGGATACTAAGATCAAATCTTGTGTGGCTGAATCATGCCCTCAGATTTCTTTCTAGAGGACATCTGACAGCTTGGTCCTTGCTGTTCATTACCCTGAGTCTTTTGGGAAGATGTAAGAAGTTATGATTCTGATATCCTTCACTGGAGGCTCAACAGACTGTCCCAGTTTAAGCAGTGCCAACAGATTTAATTCATCTCCCTGCATGAGCTCATTGAATCACTTACAAATTTTTCAGGCCTTTGTTTTCTATGTGGGCAGGTGCATCACAGCATCCAGCAGGAAGCAGAGATGCTAATTTCATGTGCTCTGCATGCAGCTTGAACCTTATGCTATTGCAGGTGGCAAAGTGAAATTAAATGGGGTTTTTCTTTTGCTGGGGAGGAAAAGAAGTGAAGTGTTACAGACCAAAAACAAGCTTTAATTTTGATTTCTCAAGGTTTGTGTTTGGGATGCAGAGCTACGGGAACTTCGAGCTGAGTGTTATATAAAGGAAGGAGAACCAAGCAAAGCCATTAGTGACTTGAAAGCTGCTGCCAAGTTAAAGAATGATAACACTGAAGCCTTCTATAAAATCAGCAGAATATATTATCAATTGGGGGACCATGAATTGTCACTCAGGTAATTTTCCTGTTTGCTGTAACTGTTATAATTGAGACACAGTATGATGATATAGGTCATGATAAACCATGAAATATCTATGTTGTCTGGTTTTTGGATGGAGTAGCACCTCTGTCTTAGATCTGATAAAGGAAGCTCTTTTCCAGAAGCTAAGAGTCGCAAGTGAAGACACCATGTTTATTCTTGGCAGACCAGCCATCAGTGGTCTTACCTAAGCACTTAGGTGCTTACCTAAGTGGAAGCCATAGCGCAAGTCTGTCAGAGTTGCTTACTTTACTGCTTTTCTCCATCTCTAAACTTGCTTTGGTGAAGCTCTTTTTTTTTTTTTTTTTTTTTTTAACCTTCAGACTTTATCCAGCTGAAGTTTACAGTGGAAACAAAAAATGTATGCATTAGGTCTTAGGGCTAGGCTAGGTTTTTATTTTGAAGAGTAGAAACAAAGGATTACAAACTTATAAACAAAGAAAAAGTCCAGAAGCATCCAAGTGTAAGAAGCTGGGGATCCAGAGCTGCCAATCTTTCATTCTTATGGGCAGTGTCCAGTATTGGAGTACTTTTTGACAACACCCTACCTTTTTATTCATTTTCACTTAAGGTGTTATTCCCATACATTCCTAGTCAGTCCTGCAGATTACTGCACTTGCCCAATCTAGACTCTTAACTTTATGCCTAGCTGGACAAATGATATAATCCTTTTTGCACATGAGTGGTTTCTGTGCAGCTCATCACTTCAGATGCTCTACCTTCATCTCCAAACTCCTTCCAATATGGTTTCTACTACAGAATCTCTTTAGTAAGATTTCTTTTCCCACCCACTCCCTGAAATCCACACATGAGCACACTCTGTTAATAACTTAATCAAAAAGTTTTTACAAGTGCAATTGAGAGAGCTGCTGAAGAATAGAGTAGTATCAGTGTAAAGGAATAAGCCTCTCCTTTATTCTTCTCTGGCACTTTTCTATTTCTTGCATCATAAGATACAGTATGAGAGTTGTATAGCTCTTGGACTTGCTGGCTAATGAATTGTGTCCTTCCCTTAGTTTCTTCCGTTTACCTTTACAGGCTTAATGATTTTCAAATAATAGGTGGTTTTGTGTGTGCTTAGGAAGAAAATGAGATTTTGTGATCTCCTTCTAAAAATAACACCTTGGTTGTGCTATGATGACTCTATATGGTACAAAACTTCTGTTCTTTCATATGATTGCATTCTGGAGGGTTTTAAGACTTTGGCCTATTTTAAGAGGTATCTGCCCTAATCAGAGTCTGATTAAACAGTCTTTGCGGTGAAAAGTCAGGCTCAGGTTTGGCTGAGATTTCATCAAAAGAATGGGTCTTAGCTGAACTTCATCTGTTTCAGGCAGTATAAAATATACTTCTACATGGGTATTGCAATACAGCCGAGTTAAATATACAAGAAAATCACAACCTATTGCATCTGATACCTGATGACTATTAATTTCATTCCCAGGGTATATTTTTCTTCCGCTGTTTAGTCAGTTATTAGTGTAACACTCGTCAGTCTCTGTCTATTTGGCAGTACAAAATAATTATACCCCAAACCAGACAAATATTCTTGTATGTTCTGGAAGTCTTTTTTGTTTCACTTTAAATTCATTTTTTAATGAAGGGAGAGATAGTGTAAAAGTCATAACTGTTCTGGACAGCTTATAGATGTTACATTGCACCTCTAGATGAAATTTCATTATGTGTGGTGATGTCTTCTGTTTCGGTTTTTGTTTTTATTTTCCATTCCTGTCTCCTTGGGAACAGTGAAGTCCGGGAGTGTCTGAAACTGGACCAAGATCACAAGCAGTGCTTCTCTCTGTATAAACAAGTAAAGAAACTCAATAAGCAGATTGAGTCAGCAGAGGAATTCATCCGAGAAGGCAGGTAAGTGTTCACTGCTATATTAAAAACAAAGAGGAAAACCAGCCACTGCTGAGGTGCCAACTTACTATTGATTGAGGAGTTAAGTGATGCTTTTTGCATCTGACAAAGTGGATAACAGAGCATAGCGCTCAAATTACTATCAAGATAAATATTGACTTGCATAGTGACAATTCTGTTCGCATTCCTTCTGAATGCCACTGTCTTCTCTTTGCGTGGTTAGCTTCTTTGTAGAGAAAGTAGTAAGACTGAGATAGGGATGATACCTGTCAGCTCTCATATATTGTTTCTTGGCACTGATGTGGCCACACCTGAGTGCTGTGCTTTCCAGTACAAGAGAGATGAAACTGCGGAGTGAGGAAGTCCAGCAAAGTGCCACTGAGATGATGGAGGGACTGGAGCATCTCTGTCCCTTTGAGGAAAGGCTGAAATAGCTTTGACTGTTCCCTGTGAGCATTCTCTTCTACAGGGTGGTCTCATCAATGTATATAAACACCTGAAAGGAGGATGCAGAGGGTGCAGCAACCTTTCAGTAGTGCCCAGTGATGGGACCAGGGCAGTGGATGCAAGGGGAAACGGGAAACTCCATTTGAACATAAGGAAATGCTTCCCAGTACCCCCTTGTTTTCACTGGTGCAGGTTACCTAGAGAGGTTGTGGAGTCTCCCTGCTTTGGAGATACTCAGAATGCATCTGGATATGGTCTTGGATATGGATATCAGGTCTGGATATGGCAGCTTGCTTTAGGTGGCCCTGTTTTAGCAGGGGGGTTGGACCAGATGACCTCCAGAAGTCCCTTCCAACTTCAACTATTCTGTGATTAAAAGCCCATATTTTTAGATTAAACCCACCTAGTAATTCTACAGTCCCTTGCCAGCAAAAATGGATCTGACTAATGGGCTTCTTTAATGCACTCTACTAAATGATAGACAATGCCTCTGTATTCTTCTTTCAGTTTTGTGTGTTACCAAGCACACAACATCCAACTGTAATCTAAGGACCCCTAATACGTGATTAAACATTGTCAAGGTGGCTTTTCAAAATGAAGTATAGGAATGTGAATTAGCACTACTGAAGACAATTTTATTAAGTTAGCAATCTGTTTGGAGTCTTTTCACTTCAGTCTTCTATTTAATCAAGTATCAGCACATTTTCAGGGAGTGTTCTTTGGGCTTGAATTTCTCCTAGGTTGTAGCAACCCATGGGTTCAGTCACATGCTTGCATTTTTAGGTGAATGTTCTAACCAATTTCTTACTCAAACCATGGAACTTAAGCATTTTTGAAACCTTCACAGCAAAAATACCTTTTACTGTGTGACTTGTGAGAAGGAGGAAGGGAGAAAACAACCATCTGATCCAAGCTGCCATAAAGGACTTGTCTTTTTGTACCAAGAAATGCAAGCAATACAGTGCTCACAGCAAGACTCCAGTTTTAGCCATCTTGTGTATCAGGGAGGGAAATGCTTTTCTCCAAGTACAGAGTGGTGTGTTGGACAGGAGGCAAATCTAGAGACTGTTGTCTGTGCACAGTGAGGGGTAGTTTTTACCTTCTGCAAAATTGTGCCAGGCATAGTCCCTGCTCTTCTGTCTCATAGCACAGAAAAGGGAATGGGGATGTAATTGAAGTGGCTGAAAGGTTTTTTCATACTGTTGTCTCACACCACACCTTTAAAACTACTAAAGTTAAGGTACATTTCTATAAGGATGTAAAAGTCTGTGAATTTTGAAACTTGTAAATACATCACACGATGAAATTGTTACTGCATATCATGACGTTATGCTTATTTTGGTTTAAACAGGTATCAGGATGCTATCAGTAAGTATGAGGCTGTAATGAAAACTGAGCCAGATGTCCCAATTTATGCTACTCGTGCCAAAGAAAGGATCTGCCACTGCTTGTCAAAGGTAATACTGGTTATATCTGTCTGTAAACTTCTTTAAAGCAAACACCACAAAAATAAACAAGCCACAGCACTATATGACTTCTGTTGTACTTTCTCCTCCCTAGAACCAGCAGGCTACAGAAGCCATAAAAGTTTGTACAGAAGTTTTGCAGCTGGAGTCAACCAATGTGAATGCTCTGAAAGACAGAGCAGAAGCTTATCTGCTGGAAGACCTTTATGAAGAAGGTACAGTTGTATGCTGTTTGCACATAACTTTTTTGTGTGCATTTAAAACACAGTCAGCCTTTTGCCTGTTTTTTAACATGCGCTTTGATTCTATACTATGTTGTTATCCCTAATCAGCACTGGTAGTTGCAGATTTCACAAAAATACCTGCTGGTAATTTTGTCTTGATGAGTATAAGTGGAATGTACTTGTTCCATTTACAGTGCAGTTGTCTTTACAACAGTGGGCTATGTTCAGGATGTTTTATGGGACTGCAGCTTACTTAGCTTACTTAAACGCATTTTATTTAATCAGCAGTGTCAGACAACTGTTTAAAAATAAAAGGTAATTACAGTTAGGGTGATATAAATCCGTTTTAGTAACTCTATTTTAATGTCTTCATGTGGCAGCATGAAACGCCATTCCACCCCCTAGCATGTACTGAGGGCAGAGGAAGATGATAGCCATTGCTTCACCTCTATGGGTCTCTAGTGCTGTTAAGAGCAGTAAACTGATGCCACTCCTTAGGCTGAATTTTCCATGCAGGGTTTCCGTAAAATGCATATTGTTACATGGTCCCATCTGCAGCCTCAGGAAGTAGGGACTGAGTAGTAAGTGCCATCATTATGTTGTTACCTGGCTTCTTTGAGTGCTAATGTGCTATTAAAAAAAAAATCTTCAAAATCTAATTTAGTGAATCTCATTTCCACAAGAAACGAGGCTTAAGAGGGAAATTTGGACAGTCTGGCTGTTCAGCCCCTGAGCTCAGTCATGCAGCAGTTCTTGAAGCATTGGGCTGTTTCAGTCAAATGTAATGAAAGAGAGGACTTGTAGGCTTTAAATCTACAGAAAAGTAGTTCCATGATTTTTAGTACTTACAGAGCAATTTTTCTGTTCTGTATTCTGGTAGTGGATCTTTTGCTTTACAACTGAAAAAAAAGTCTTTCTGATTTAAACATTCATGAGGCAGCTGTTCTCATTTATAGCACGCAGATTTATTTTTTTTGCCTTTTTTTGATAAATTAAGGAGAGATGATATTGCTCACCTCCTGAAGCTTGCTTCAAATACGAGATACCCATTTTGTTCTCATATTAGGCCTCCTTGCTCAAATCAAAACACCATATAAAGAGGACTGGTGTGGTTTCAGACAGTCCTTTTCATCAGGCCTGTAGACTTTGTACATCTGAAGTGACCTAGTCCCCCTTTGCTGAGACTGGCAAGCCTTCTTTCCCGCTATAAGAAAAATGGTGAAAGCATAATTCAGAGAACTGATGTACAAAGGGGGGTTGCTTAAAAAACCCCCAACATACCCAAAGTATGCAGAAAAATCCTTTTTCTCTTAGGCTAATGGTTTTCCCTCTGTTGATTAGAACTGCAGTGTCAGCCTAAAAGTAAGACTCAGGAAGATTTCACAGTGATAAGGTCCCCTTTAGGCATTTCCCAGTCTTTTTCTGTACTTCAGAACAGTGGAAGTATATTCAGTGAGTGCTGGGAAAAGTACATGTACAAATGAATAAAAAAGCCCCTCAAAACCCAAACAAGAGTTTAAGGTACAGAATACAGATCTACAAGATAAGCTTGTGCAGAGGTTTTTGGTGTAAAAGGAAGGAGTATCAGCAAAAGGAGAACCCAAAGGAAATTTAAGGTTGTTTCCTCCCTTCAAGATGTATGTATCTTCAGCTTAGAGGAGGGTGCAGATGGGCAGGCCAAACAGGCCCTGCTGTGAGTCCTCTTTGATGTACGTTTTGCTTTTTACTAATGGATGGAATTGATCTGTTTGTTTTCTTGAAATTGATGAATCTCAGTTTGGGTCTTTCTAACATTATCTTCAGTTAAATCCTCATCTGTTTCTCGTTCCTCTAGGGTGAGAGAATCTGGCAACACTTGCAAACTGGAAGGGGGGGGGGAAGCTTTGTAATGAGGTGCACAAATGCAGCTTGGTCTTACGATGGAGCAAATGCCTACCTATTATGGGATGTAAGGAAACATGGAGGGGACACACCTAGGATTTGGGACAGCTTATTTCCTTGGCTGGAGCCTGCTGGCTTGGCCTGGCCTGGTTCTAAGTGGACAACCACGCTAGAGTGGAGCCGTGCTCACCTAAATCCCCACGGTTTAGCATATCGTCTGCCTTTCTTCTGCCCTTGACAGTAGTGAGATGATTGTAGTTACACTCTGCCTTCCAGCAGAGCCTCCATAAACACTATTATAGCCCATTAATGTTAGTCTGCCTAAAGGTGCCTCCATTTATCCTTAAGCTTTAACTGCTGTAAAAATGATGGCTGATTTCTCTCTGTTGTAGAGAACAGTAGAGCAATTAAAATTGCCTTATATTTAAAGGGGAAACTGATTCTCCTCTCCAGAAAACTTCAAGCTAGAGGCATCCATTTTCCTGTTTTAAAGCCAGAAAAATTTGAATTACTTGTAATTCAGAACTTTGAAGGCTATTATTGTTACATCTTCAAGATGCATTTCAGTATGTATTGCTGAGTTCTGATTCCCATCAAATGGGTTTAATTACTTTATAATCACATGGGATCCAGGGCTTGTCTACAGAGACAGATGTGTAATGACTCAGTTTCTGGCTTACCTCGTAAGTACAGGAGTCTGTCTCAAGTATACAGCATGAGTTTTGTGAAAGAATTAAAAACTCCACCTTTTTCTTTTCCCCCTCTTCCCTACCCTACTGCTGCAGAGGAAAGAGTTCCTATTTCAGTACAACTGTAACTGGTTCAGGCATTCCTCTAATGGTTGACATGGACATAGGTTGTCTGCAGTTACTGGTGTTTGATAGTAAATGAACTCTGCATGTGGAATAATGGGACTCTTGGTCACTGTTTTAGAGTTGGTAGGCAAGATAGGAAAGCCAGCTAAGGTATTTAGAGATATGATGTGCTTACTGTTTGAGAGATTGTGAAAACTCCTGTATTGAAGGAAAGAGAGTTAGATTTGACTAAAGTATTTGTATTAGAACTGGTACTGGTAACTGGTAGTTCCTTTTGTGTCGTGGGATACATGGGGCAGGATGAAAGGAAGAAAGGATGCTCACTGAAACAGCAAGTCAGTGATTCTTGTAAGGTATGTGAGGGACTAGTACATTTAGAAATAGGGACTGAGCAGAACTGATAGCTCATTTGATACGAAATAGGAATATTTCTCATGTTTTCATAGCAAACTGCTGGTGGTCAGGAAGCTTGTTATCCTGCTTCCACCTGCTTCTAGCCCTCACCCCTCAGGTGGGGAGAGCATTAGCTCTCTGAAAGGAGAAAATTCCTACACTGGAGAGTACCATCAAAACTGAAGTGTCTTCCAACTGGGAGAATGCAAAATGTACTTGCCATCAGGTGTGCTGGGTGCATTCCATCTGCAGTGTGCAGCACTGAAAACCATGCCTTCCTCTGTGCTTAATGCTTGCAGCCTTTAAATAAAGGAGTCAGTCTTGTACTGTCATTGCGAATCCTTGACCCTGAGCAGCTTGGTTTCCAGCAGCGGTGTCTGCTGTAGACGATGTGATGCTCAATGATGTTGAGCAATCTGATCTGCATTTGGCAGACATTGTGGTGGGACCTCCCATTATTACATGAAGCAGATTAAGCATTCTGGTGCTTAAAATCATTGGAGTGGTAAAGCAGCATGATGAAATCCCTGCATTTTCATTCTTTTTATCAGTTTTGACAGCATATGTTGGGCACACGCATTAGTGTACGCTCCTGTTTGTTGGGGTTTTTTTAATGACTGGACAAATGATTACAAATATCAGCAGAAGCCAAAATGCTTTTTGAAGCAGCAAATGACAGTGTCCAGTGATGTGAAAATGAATAGAAATTGTTTTGTTTGTAATAGCACATGAAGCTATTGGGGCACTGGAAATACTTTTTGGATTATTGTGTTGTGGTTTTGTGGTGTGTTTTTTTCGGTAACCAAAGCAAGATTGCAGTGGTATCAGATGTCTGGGTAATACAAATTCATTAGCACTTCCTGCTGTCTTGCTCAGAAACAGTGAAAAACAAATGTAACACCTGCTGAGAAATAGCATCTGCTTGGAAATAATCTGTTGCAAGTACTTTGTCTAACTGGGGAAACCTAGGATCTGCAAATGAGACTTTGAAGATTAGAACAGTGAAAGAAGAGCAGTTTCATTAAAGACTTAAAAACAGTTGCTTCCCTTGATAAGTCTTGATATCAAAGAATTTGTCAACTTGGTGTCTTAAGCATTCAGTTGCCACTTACAGTAGTAATATAGTTTACTTAATGTGTTGACCTGAAATGTCTTAAAAATTCGTGCATACGTTACAGTACCTCTTGCTTTCATTCCTGAGAAATGCCACTTCTTGAAATAAATGCGAGAGCATGCCTTTGGGGAAAACCCCAACCTTAAAACATAACTGCCTGCCTGTTATGCAGAGGCATAAAAGGCAAATATTTGTCTTGCACTAACAGTATGAACCTCCTTGTAATCTGAAATCCATCTTTATCGCCATTAGAGAGGAAGAGGCTTTTTATCCTCTTGATTGAGGTGAACAGGGAGAAGAAGGAATATTAGTATAATATTACTTGTTATGCATCTTCACTTGAGCAGCAGTGTGGGACTAACACTGTGCAGTGGGCTCTTCAGATAACAACTCCTGAAATTTCCTTCTTGACTTCTTTTTCATCCCTGTCCTAGATGCTCATTGCATTCATCCATGTGACTGTTGTAGCTTCTAGAGAGTGTTCTGACGCACTACTAGTAACCTCCCTTCTTCCTTCCCAAAAAGTGTGAACCCAGAGGAAGAAAAATGCCTAATTTATATGTGAAAAATTATTCTCCTCTACTCAAAGTTATGTAAAACCCCCACCCCAAAACATGGAAAGTTGAATTAAAAGCTCTGCTGTTTACACATGGAAATAGCACACCCTCAGTTTTGATGAGTGGTTGAGTTCTTTAAATTGAAGTGTGTAAAAGAGTTGTGTAATCTTTCTTTTATTTACTTTTTTTACTAAAGCTATTAAAGACTACGAGACTGCCCAAGCCAATAGTGAAAATGATCAGCAGATTCGGGAGGGGCTGGAACGTGCCCAGAAGATGCTGAAGCAATCACAGAAGAGGGATTACTATAAAATATTAGGAGTAAAAAGGTGAGATAGTAATATGATAATATGAAAGTTGGTTATTAAACCAGTACATCTAGGGCTGATCATTTGAATTTGTTCTGCTGAGTGTTCCTGTATGTTACTACATTCATTTTCCTCCTGTAGCAGTTTAGCTTAAAAGTAGCATTTGTTTGTAGTTCCTGTTGGACAGAATAAGAAAACAACATTGGGAAGAAAGGAAATAGGTCCCTTGTGAAGAAACTCTTAGTATAGACGAAGGGTCAGGTGAATGAATTGGTGATGAAATGAAGACTGGAGAGAAATACTGAAAGCAACAAAAAATGAAACTGTGGCAAGTAGTGTGACAGACGGGAAGGGTTTGAAAGGAGTAACTGAAAGGTATCTAGAATACTTATGCCAGTAACCTTGAGAAACCAACGACTTCTTTCTAACAAGAACTGAGCAGATGTCTAGTTCTGAACTAGTATTGCTCATCTTTCCAGTTGTGAACTAATTTGATCTCTACTCTGTATTTTTTGTTACCAATTGTAAGTTCTTCAGACTGGGAACTGTATTCTGCAGGGTAGCTGGCAGTAGCATCTCTCCAAAGAAAGTAAATGGGTGGTGAAGGAAAGAGTAAGTAATCTTTGTTTAAAGTTGCAGCCTGCTTCTTCTGGTTTTTTGTGTAAAGAATCTTCAGTGCCACTCCAGAAGGCTGACGAGCACCTCATCATTTTCCTGATGCCCTTAGTTACTGTCTCAGTGTTTAGTGAATCTAGAGGTTTATTTTAATGTGCACGTGACAACTAGAGAATTTAAAGTTACGATTTTATCCATCCAGGAATGCTCGAAAGCAGGAGATAATAAAAGCTTACAGAAAGCTGGCATCGCAGTGGCACCCTGATAATTTCCAGAGTGAGGAAGAAAAGAAGAAAGCAGAGAAAAAATTCATTGATATAGCAGCTGCTAAAGAAGTCCTCACTGACCCAGGTAATGAATGTTCTTATAACTTTTTTTTTAATTACATTTCTACAGTAATGTAAAATTCAGCAAGTGTAAGTCATAAGCATTGCAGCTTCCCCTTTTCTTTCTCCTCTTACCCATCTTAAGAAGACGGTGCAGTAATACTTGCATCCAATCTGTTGCATGAAGTCAGATGTAAAGCTGGAATGAACTACTGTGTTTCAGTGACTGTAAACTAAAGTCTCTTTAGGGTATCATTTTGCAGAGATTTGCAAGATTGATTAACTCTGGAGTTCATAGACTCCATACAATGGTTTGAGTTGGAAGGGACCTTAAAGATCATAGAGTTCTGCCCCCATTGCCACAGGCAGGGACACGTTTTATTAGACCAGGTTTCTGAAAGCCCTGTCCAACCTGGCCTTGAACACAACTTATCAAGGACAAAATACCCCAGTTATTTGTTGGGGTAGTGCAGCTGTCCTGTTCCTGTTGAAATTCATACCTGCCCTGTGGGACAGCCAGGTACTGTCTTGCCTTGCTTTAAACCAAATGACTTGTTTGAAGTTTTTCATGCAGTGTGTTCATGGAGTTAATCTCTTCTCTGCCAGTGTCCTGGACAGCTTGGAAAAACTCAGAGTAATTAGGTTCTACAGATGCTGCCAATATAAGTGTTAATTGCAGCTCCCTGGCTGGGGCAAGGGGGATGTCTGTGTCTGTATCAGTTATCAGCCATCAGAGATGGTTGGTGTTCTTGCCCTAGCTACTGTGTTGTGATTCCACCTTGGCTTTGTTTCCTCTAGAAATGCGGCGGAAATTTGATGCGGGAGAGGACCCACTGGATGCAGAGAGTCAGCAGGGTGGGGGAAACCCCTTCCACAGGAACTGGAACACATGGCAAGGATTCAACCCCTTTGGATCAGGAGGAGGACCGTTTACATTCAAATTTCACTTCAGTTAGAGCCAAGACTGTTTCCGGTGGCTGCTGCTGTTTTTTACTTAATTCGGTGAAAAATAAAAGTCTCTCAGTTCAAGACCCCAAAATCTTAATTTCTGATGTTGTCCGTAACCCAGAGTCTTACTGCACTGGAAGAAAGTTCCTTCTTTCTTTTAGGTTTCAGAGGCTTTGCTTTGTGATGAACTTGCCAAGCTCATACCAGTTTGGTTTATTACTGGGGGGGTTGTTATTGCCTGTCTATTTGTTGTGGTTATATAAGACACATTGATTCCTATGGATGGAAAAAACAGTAAGAGGCTACTTAGGACAACACTTAAACATAAATTTAGGACTCAAGTATATGCTTAAAAGTAAAAATGCATGTAAATATTTTTCTGGATTGGGGCCTAATAAACATGGAAAAGGTAGTTACAATAGTCTCTACGTTAACAAACCGTTAGTTGTGCTGGGCAGAATGATCCCTCTCTCAGTATTCTTAAAAGGAACCCATGGGGACCACCTACTCCTGTATTACTGTCATCAGTGCCATAGGTGGCGTGGAGAGGCTGTGTATGAAATGAGTCCCAATAACTGCCCTCAGAGAAGATTGCTTGTAAGTAATTGTGTTTGAAAATGTCTGCTCACTTCAGTCACTAACCTGGAATAAATTGGGGTCATTGCCCTGGCGGTAGTTGTCAAATAGGAAAGTAAAAATATAGATGTGATATGTTTTTAAAGACCTTTTTGGGATGTGATTTGAGATGTTTTGGTTTCATGTTTGAGTAGTTTGCACTTTATCAAAGCACCTGCTTGAGATCTGACCAGACAATTTGATGTGATGTTTCCCTGACTGTGTAGCAATCTGTTACTTCTCTGTACATCAACTCAGAGCCTATACAGGTGGTGAGGGGAGCAGGAATAGGGTATTCATTCCAGCCTTACCCTGTAACATGACTTTAGTTCTGCTGGGTGCTGGCACGATGAGTTAATACTATGTGAAACCGAAGTCATTTTGTTAACAGCCACAGTGCTGCAAAAGCAATTGTGTGCAAAAGGAGGGATTCACTTCCCATTAGCCAAGAGTCTGATTTATTTTTTCAAGGTGCATGTAGCTATACTGGTTTAGGGTGACTGACGGAAATGTGTGAATGTCATCTGAGAGGCTACGGGGCAGTCATCCTCTGTAACAGAGTTGCAGCAGCAGTCATGCTTTCAGAATGCAAGAATTGCAGTTGATCAGTGTTGTTTTGATTGGATTTTAACTGGAGAACAGTAGTCAGCTGATGGAGCCTTCTTTCACTTCAGCTCGTGTTTGAAAGCATGAGTCTCAGTAAAACAAATGATGTTGGCACATAAGGCCTTCGGTCTCAAAGCTGCTTTTTTTTTTACTTTAATGGGAGTTGCTGTTGAAGCGTAAGCCCTTGCCTCCCGCCTCGGTATTTTTACAAATGTAATTGTGAGGCCGTGTGATGTCCTAAAATACCTTTCAACAGCCATTTAAAGGTCAGTGTTTGTTCAGCAGAAATTTATCTTCACGCCGAAGAGCGCACGCGCTGATTTCCAGCAGTCCATGGTACAAAACCGCCCAGCAGCCTGTTGAACGCCAGTGCTGGCTGTTTTCCAGGCTGAATGGATTTCTAGAAATTGGACTTCTGCTTTTGACCTGTCTGAAGGATTCTTGTTTAAACTGTAGGACGCTGATCCCACTGTTGTAGGCTGCTGTGGTTCTCGTGGGACCTCCAAGGCTCAGATGTAGGAACTTGATGCACAACAAATAAGCTGTGGGCCCTGGTGGCAGCCTCTGTGTGTGTGCTTCTGGCTCACAGCAGGTAAAAATCAGGTTGGCAGCTTCCACCAGGAGTGGCTGTTCCAGGCTTTTGTCAGCACTGGTCCCTGTGGGCTGAGTAGCTGGTGCTGCTCTGGGCGTTGCTGGTGGTAGGTGTTTATGTGTCAGCTGTTCCCCCATATAAACTCTTGTATTGCCTTGTCCGCTACAGAATGGGCTGGTTTAAATTAGTATTAAGGCTCCAGGGAGACCTTAGAGCAGCCTTCTACTACTGAAAGTGGCCCACAAGAAATCTGGAGAGGGACTTTGTAAAAAGGCACAGAGGGACAGAACACGGGGGTACGGCTTTAAGCTGAGAGTGGGGAGATTCAGATTAGACATTAGGAAGAAACTCCTCACTGTGACGGTGGTGAGGCACTGGCACAGGTTGCCCAGAGAAGCTGTGGCTGCCCCATCCCCCTGGCAGGGCTCAAGGCCAGGTTGGATGGGGCTTGGAGCAACCTGGTCTAGTGGAAGGTGTCCCTGCCTACATCAGGGAGGTTGGAACTGGATGAGCTTTAAAGTGCTTCCAACCCAAGCTGTTCTGTGACTGAATGACCAGAGTGAGAGGCATGTCATGTTTGTACATGCAGGAGTGTTGTTTGGTTTCAGGAGGTAACAAGAAACGCTGCAGGCAGCTCTGCTTATGCACTAGGAAAGTGCTTGGAATGATAAACCTACTCTTAAAGGTCTGCCTTCGTGCAGCCTTTTTGTTGTCATCCCATTTTAAAACCTTAAGCTGAGAAATTTCCTGGATATTTTTTTTCTTGTTTTCTGTTTTATTCTATAGGAATGGGTTAAGATGGTCCCTCATATGTAAAGGATCAGGACAAAGTGCTGACACCAGAGTGGTGCGGCTTTGTTTCTCTAAGGCAGCAGGCAGTTGTGAGCACTGCAAGCAGCAGGAACATAAAGCATTACATTTGTTTCTTAGAATGAATGGAAAAGGGAAAACTACATATTAAGGGGGGGGGGGGTAAGCTTGAATGTAGTCAGTAGAAGAAGGAAGATGGCTGTGCTGCTTATAGATTTCTTCTGTGGAAGACAGTGTCATAAAAACAAACCGAAACCCAGCACTGGTGTGTAAGGCACTCTGTTATTAAAGTTACCACTGAGAAGCAGTGTTACTGCTTGGGTGCTGCTCTTCAGGGAGCAGATGCTGGCTTGTAGCTCTGAGGGACTGCTGTAAATACAGGGAGACAGAATTTGTGTGCAAAAGAAAGCCTCTGTGTTTCCAGGGTCTCCAGACATGGCGATCTGTTTCCTGATGTGACTTCAGAAAGCAAAGTGCTGGTGCCATGCTGAGTGTTAATGGTGCAGGTGATGCACTGGGGAGCAGAATTTGCCTTTTTATTTATTTGTGGGTGTCTGTAGTGCAATAATGTTCAGTAACTGAACATTGAAATAGATGTCGCAGTAGCTTGTAAACCCTGAGGTGTGCATGAAGAATCATTACAATATTTGGCCTTTGTGTAGATGCAAACTGTCTCTGTTGAATTCTCTCTTCCATTTTTAGTAAGCTTTTGTTTCCAACTTGTTTTACAGTGAAGGGGGAGGAGGGGGAGGTGAGAAGCTTGCTAAATGCTTAATACTGATGTAGTAATAAATCAGTATTAAACCAGGCTTAAAGTGAATTATAAACTTAAGAGCTGAACCTTGAGACATGCAGAAAATGTCAGCTGAAACTTTTATTATTTTAATTTAAGCTTGTCATAGTTTCAGTTTTCAGGCCAGTGTTTGGAACAGGAATTACTCTTCTCTTTAGGGCTGTGACTTGTAGGACCTTGGCTGGAAACTGCCTGGCAGGTTAGCTGTATTTAAAAGTGCCTTATTGGAAGATACTGTTTGTCTGCTCTGTAATCCATGCTTTTATCCATAAAATAACAAAATAGATGGAAGAATAATTCCCCCCCCCAGCAAATCTCAAAGTAGTGGGTTTATGGTGTAAGAAGAAGTAAAACTAGCCAGAGATATATCAAATGTTTCAAATGATGAAATGTCTTTATATCAAATCATGATTCTAAAAAGCAAGAACTGTTTTTTCTAGAACTGTGGGAATTATTTTATGGCATTTTTCACAATAAAGATATTTATGATGACAAGAAAGCACTTGTCTGCTCTTCTTCTCTCATCCTGCTCCCGATGGCTGAAGTTAGAGCTGTGCAGAAGTCCAGGAGAAGGCTGCCAGAACCCTGGGTTGGGGGTGAAAGTAGGATTTCTTTAGTAGCTACTGTGGATGTTGTCAGGGTTTAACAGGTAACGTACATCAGGAAGCAGTCATAGAATGGTTTTCCACCCATTGGGCTGGGCAGGTTTGGTCCCCACTATACAAAGATGCAAAAAGGTTAAAAGGAACCTTACTGAAAAGTACTTTCAATGCTAAAGCTCTGGCTTATGAACAAGATTGTGCTAATGTCTTGTTTGTCCATTTCCTTTAAACTTAAAGACAGTAAGAAGAGCAAGACCTAGAAAAGACACTGTAATGGTAAATTGTAAACTCTTTACTTGAGCAGTTCAAATGTTAATTTGCTTATTTACTAACTTCAACCCAGGTTTTGGTAACACTCCTGTAATCCAGGATCTATTTTCTTCCCTTTCACAGGGCAGAGCACACAGATTAGAAACCCCAATGAAGCCTTCTGCCTCTCCCAAGCTCTCACCCCATCACAGAGCACAAACACTTCCCTTTAGATTAAAGACATCTGAGGTCTTGTTGCAATTTTTGCCTTGGATCTGTTAACCAAGTATTTAATGGTTCTTGTAAATACGCAATAGGAGAACAAAAAACAATCCTTTTCCTCTAGTAGCACCTTTTAATATTTTGTACAACATACACAATCCACTGGTTTGGTATTAAAAATATATGCTGCTAATGATTCAAAGTGCTGCTTTAAAGACAGCTTTGAGAAGTAGTGAAGATACCTGCTGGACCTTCTTTGGTTTAAAAGAACAGCAAGTGTCTCAAAAGCGAGTTCTCCTTGAAAATACTGTTATGCAGGAATAAAGTGCTATAAACGGCTTTTACGAATATATACAACACAGTAGAAAATGCCATGAAACCTCTGAACTCTTCAAGGTATCTTCAGCAACTGGTAGTTCTAAAAATCATATTCTAATCCTTTAAGTGATCTCAGGATCCAGTAGCTTAAAGAGCTATTTCTTTTTTTAAAGCCTGTAGAAGTAATGCAATTCTCAAAAGAGCAGGATTCTACAGATCCAATGAACAAGAGATCCGTGCATAAATTGCCCACTTTTTCTACTGCATGGTTCTGGGTTGCTGGCTGGGCTTAAACCATGACACTAACAGACTTTCCACACAGATAATCATAATTAAGGAGAACTGAGTTGTTTCTTACAGATTAAACTTTAACTTCTGGCTTAAAAGGAAAACTTTCCAATGTCTGCTTCAAGCATTCCAAGGCAGACTGATGTAAAACACTGCAGCAGAGTAAAGCATCAAGGTGGTATTGTAAACTTAAACACAGAAAAGGGGGAAAAAACAAAGCAGCAAGCAGCTGAATACGGTTTGTTTTTTTTTTCTGTGATACAGAGTATCGGTCATCTCTTTCTTTGTTACACACAGCAAACGTATATGCACCATTACTATACGTTCAAAGTTAAGTGTAAGACTATCTATGTGGTATAAAAATACCAGCTTCAAGAAGTTCTGTGCTGCCTGATACCCTAAACTAATTATGTTGGTGAACAAGCATAACAAAACAGATACTGCAGTGAAATAGAACAGCTAAAGAGAACTGACATTAGGATTTATGCATGGGTTACACAGGAAGGAACTAACTTCCTTGGGTACTTTATACAAAGAAAATGCCCACAACAAACCTTTCAAAATCCATCTGTGACATGTTAAAACTGTTTGGAAACACATAAAGGTAATACCGTGAAAAATATAAAAAGCTGTGCAAGAAATCTGCACATCTCATATTCCTAACACTTGAAAAATAGCAGCAAAGTATGATTTTAAATACTTGCTGTCATAGTTTAACACCAGCCAAAAACCTGGACACTTGCTCTTACAGAGAGGCATTTTAAGTAACAACACCAGAGGCCAAATAAAATACAGAAAAAAATACTCTTAGTTTTTCTTATTATTTAGTAAATAATTTGCTAGTACGGAAATATTATCATGCAAACTCATTGTGGATTCACCCACTCAGTGCGAATTACCTTCTCTTTTGTCACTTCAAGCATTTAGACTGAAAGACTGCATTAAGCTGTTCATACAAGAATGTACTGTCACATCCAGTCTCTTGAAACCAGCACAGCCTAACCAACCGAGTATTTAAGGCACTAGATTTCAGTTTAAGAAATAAACTCCCTGTTTTTAAACATCTGTATTGCAAGAACTTTTCACTGAAATTTCCAGGGGATCGAAATGTCAGTAGCCCATTAAAGCAATGGTTTTGTGAGTACAGACTTCTTAGAAAATCACGAGCCACCACTGACTGACAGTCAAAATTACTCACTGATTTTATTATCAAGTCTGAACAGGATAATGATCATCAAAATTTAATGGAAACAGCGTTTAGGTACTGACCTTCTGATGCAGTACATGCTGGTTGGAAAATCGTCTTAACCAAAAAATGGACTGGACTGTTATGACATACTGTTGATGTGACCAAAAAGAGCCTAAAAATCAAAAATTATTATTTTTTTAATAATTGGTAAGAGCGCAGCAATCCTGCATAATAAATGGGAAATTACATTCCTTGCTTTAGTAAGCTTCCCTGTTGACTTAGGCCACACAAATCTAAATTACACAAGATACTTCTTATGCCTGATCTTTGCTACACTGCCATTTTTTTTCCTTGTGATCACAGCATTTCTCCAGGGACACACACCAAAATTCTTTCTCTTTAAAAACATTAGCTTAATGCATGTAATCTGCACAAACCAGTTTTTACGTACATATTTAACGTGTGTGTTTTTGTCCCAGACTGAAACAATCTGTCTTTGAAGAGCTGAACACATCAGTCTTTGTATTCAAAACCCTCTGGGCAAACTCATTTAGTGAAGGAAAGGAAACCCAAAGCATCAGGAAACCTACTCTATGCTGGGTAAAAAAAAACAAAACATAAGCAAAGTACCCACGGATTTCTCTTCTGGCTTTGTATTTTGTTGAAAACATTTTTAAATAACACTGTACGTTATAAAATATTTGATTTCATGTTACAGAATGTAACAAATAATAATGCCAATGCAACATTCGTAACTTCCACTCGGTCTTTCACAGAAGACTTTTTGAGCTGTCCCCATTGCTGGGTAAAGGCTGTACTAAAGTTCATCGTGTTTAAGACCTGTAAACCAAAGAGAAAGAAAATTATCTTAGATTATGGCATGAAAGAATAGATTTTATCCTCTTAGTGAAACTAATGTAGAGGAGCGTCGTGTGCCTCTTAAACCCCACTCAGTTTCTGTAAGAGCAAGGAAAATGACACAAATACAATATTTGTGCCTACAGACCCTGATCTTAATTTCAACTGTATTAATAGTTGTTAAAAGGTAGCAGATGAATAGGCATGCAAGTTACCTTTTTGAAAGAAATGATTTTTCTTCTCTTTCTCAATTTGCTCTATTAATGTTCGTATCTCAGAGTCGTAGTCAACCCATTCGGGAACTATGCGGGCAGCAGCCTTTAATTTTGGTTCTTTGGTTTGGGGGTTGTTGCACTGGAAGTTTAAAACATACCAGATGTAAACAGAGCAAATGTGGAAATACCTCTTTTCCAAGGAACTGATTAAATACTTTCATTAGCATTTACAGTTTCACTGAAGGGCAGCAAGTGAGGTCAGTTAAAAAACAAACACCACACAAATGAAACTGTAACTAAACCCTGTTTCAATAACTCGAAACATTTTACTGTAAATACTTTAATTTTCCCATGTGCTCCTGCCTACCTGGATAGCAGAAACAGGGCTAGCACAAGACTACTAAGATTCAGACAAAGCTACACAGGGAGAAACAAGTTATACATTAGCATATTGAAACCGAATCTGATACGGGGCTTTTATTATGTTTGTGAGGATTCCTCTGTTGTTGTCTACAAAAATGTATTGACTGCTTCCATAAAATAACATAAATGGAAATCATAATAAAAAGTGATACATAATAGGGATTGAAAGAAAGTTCAGTAACTTTAGTTCTGGTCTTTAGTGTACAGAAAAGCTTATTTTAACAACTGTAAAGACACAGAGAAAACAAAACAATTTACATACTGAACATCTACACCAGATTCCAGCCGTGTGTTTTTCTTCAGAATTTTGTGTCTGAAGTATCACACTGTGCTGGTGTTGCCAAAAAATGAGAATGGGGAAAATCAGGATGGAGGCAATTATCATAGAATGGTTGGGAAGAGACCTTAAAACTCATGCAGTTCCAATGCCCCTGCCATGGGCAGGGGCACCTTCCACTAGACCAGATGGCCTTGAACACTGCCAGAGATGGGGCAGCCCCAATTCCCCTACATAGTTTCTCTCTCAATTTCAATTCCCAAATAAAGACACTTTCTTCTTTCTAAATATGGATAGTCTCCTCAGCATTACACTTAAAAAGCTCTCTTTATCTCCTGTTTATAGTGGTGAAACGGACAGAGGAAACCATGATACTATTAAGTTCGTCCTCTACACAGTTGGCTCTGGAGGAACTTCGTAGAGAGTTTAACAGGGTCACACAATGCCCAGACAGTTAACAGGACTTCAGAGTTCCACTAATCCAGCTGACTATGTTAAAAAGATAAGGAAGATACGTGTACGAGTGTGAAAACCCCAATCCTGTCCAGTTACAGACAGCAATATTTCATTCTGGGGCACAGTTTTCAGCTTTAAGAGAAGTAAATTTAGTACAGAGCAAGCAGAGAAGGTCTCAGAGAAAAGGAGAAAAGTTGCTGTATTGTAGGGAACAGATACCATGTTAAAGTGCCTTCCAGCAAGACTGCCTCCATGACATGACATGACATACTTGTATATCTGAAAAGCCACAGAAATTACAGCAAAAGGTTTTTAATGGATAAAACCAATATAACTTGAAATCAACTCACCAAGTCTATTGTTTTAGCCTTCTTCTTGGATTCATCATCACACCAGGTTTCACACCAAAGCCATTCCTGAGGGAGAGACTTAATAGCTACTTGATGAATCATATTATTGGGAAGATCCTGCACAAATTTTGTAAGATCATAAATTAGCACTGAATGTAATGTAACTGGTTATTCAGCAAGTACATAGAAGTAGAATACCTCTGCCTATTATTCAGCTAATTGGTCTGTTTCCTTCTTCTTATGTTTCCTTTAAGTGCTCCCCCAGTTCTTCTTCAAGTAGATTTTCAAGCAGATTTAAAACTCAGTCATGCTTATTTTGATGGCCAATTCCACCTCTGATTTCTCCAGCAATTTCACCTCTGATTTCTCCAGCAATTTCTTCTTGTACTTAAGATCTGTCCTTCCTTAAACTGACATAAGCAATACCACTGTCTGATACCTGTGGTTCAGATATTGCATGTCCCACTATAAATACCTCTAAGCAGAATTAGACTGTGTGAAATGATTAAAGCAGAACTCGACCATCTTTCCATTCCTCACATTTGGAAAAAAAAACAAACCTCAAAAGCATTAAATCGAGGACTGCACCACTGCTCTAAATTTAGACTTCTAGGAAAATGGATTCCTGAAACATGAATGTGAAAAGGAAAAGCAATTACGCTGCTATTCTGGCTCTCATCTTCCTTACTTTACTTAATTTATATTGTTTTTTTTTAACCTTTATTATGTATTCAAGTCCTCTGATCATGAACACTCTGAACTACATCTTGCAGAATGGAAGGAACAGCATTTAACTATGAGAAGAACCTCAGGCAGCCACACACTGCATGTCCTCTGGCCACAGTTAAAAATAGCAGATGTAACTGGTAGATCCATTCGTAAGCTCCTTCCCATGTGCAACCCCTACATTATATATAAAAATAAGTGCCAGAACTCAAGTATTAGTCACATCTTATTTTGCCCATTCTTGCTGCTAAATGTGACAGAAGAAAATAGCACATACAGATGCATTACAAAAGGCATATAATTGAATTCAAATATATACATTACCACAGGAAAATTACACCAAATACAAGGATACTGAGTACACAAGGCATTAAACACTAATTTATATGCTTTACTTTTTTAAAAACCTTCAAATTATGATTTTTTTTGAATATAAAAGAAATGGTTTATCACTATCTCAATTTCAAGAGAAAGGAGACTGCTTTTCTGTTGTGCCTCTCTGACTTTCTAAAGGAAAACATAATTCCTGCATTACTACAGTAGCTCTCGGGGCTGTGAATTTACAAATTGTTATAGGAGTAGAAAGCAGAAAGACAACTGCTGGTTCCAGGGTGTAAAATAAATAGAAGAAAACCAAGTTCTAACCAAAAAGTTGCCTATCCTTGCAAAAGAAAGTGATTTAACCTCAAAACCAGTAAAATACATCTACAAGATCCAAGAGGAAATATTAATGAATCAGAAAAATAAAGAATAAGGGTAAAACCGGACTATTTTCACTGTCAGTGCCCATATTTTTGTTCATTCAAGATATGTAAACTACTGAAATCTTTTTGTCTCACTTTCACATTTAAAACTTGTTTTTCAGTTTGCTTTACAGGCTGTTTTCACATTCACCCAGATAACCTACACAATGTTAAAGGGGAGCTCCTCCACAGCAGCATCCTTATTAGGGAAAAAAAAAAAAAAGCTCAATTTAAAAATAGAAAAAAATGCCTCTTAATAAAAGAATTAGTCTTACATTATATCCTGCTGGTTTTTATTCTTTAGGTAAAGAACAGATGGTTAATTCTCTTTTAAGTGAATTGCTATCAGTGTAAGTATTTTTCTTGGCATCTCTACATAGACACATGCTTCTCCTTCAAGAGTACAACACAATACGCTGTACCAGTAGTCTAGTTCTTATCATGTGTAACTTTTCTCCCTAGGAGGATTTTACTTACACCCCTTAGCATTTTAAGTGACTTTTTTTCCTTCTATCTGCTTCTATTTTGTGGTTTATAGTAGCATAACCTTAACTACCATCCATGGAAGTAGCTGTGCTGGCAGGTAGCAAAGAGCCAAGATTGCTTCTTCACTGAGAAGGGGAGTAAGCACTCCAGTCAGATGTTTAAAATAAAGAGGAAAACAAATGATCATGCTGTGTCCTCTCAGCAGATATAAGCTGTTCAGGACTCTTGTAAAATATATTGCACTGTGGCTTGTATTTCTGGGAATGCTGCTGTTGTTTGGGGTAGAGTAGCAGCAATGAAGGCAGAATGTGATTCTGTATCAATAAATGAGAAAGCAGAATACTATGAAAATATTACTTTGACGTACTTCCCTTTCCAAAGTATTTCCAATTCCATTCTGCCAGGATTTAGCTGCCTTAATGTCTGCGCTCAGACCTGGCTTGCTGAGGGAATGCTAGCTTACCCTGAAGTGGCTTTCGATTTGATGCAACAGACTTTTAAGGGATATGTGCTATCATGTATTAACACTGTAATTCAAAATGCAAGAATCCTAAGATTGAAAGATATACATAAGTAATGTTTTGAGAATATTAGATAAAACTAATTACTCTTTCTGAAAAGCAGCATTACTGTCGAAGCCCTGTAACAAGCCTCTGAATCTTAAAGGTTCTTCTGAGAGACACCTTGTGCAAAAAAAAGGGTGAGACTATGTTTGAAAAACACACAGCTATAGCACATCAGGACTCTCAAATGTGCAATACAGGGCCAATAATTCCTTCTATTTTCCAGAAAAGAGAGGTAAAATCTGACTGTTGCTATCAGTCCTTTGCTCTTAACAGTTACAGCTTAAGGCTACTCCAACTCCCTGTGTCCAGGATAGTTCCAGTTTGTAGCACAGATGTATTTCCACTTTTCTTTGTCCATTATCTGCTATCATCAATTTTTAGTTGTATTTCTGGAATAAATGCAAATAATGTACTCATGTAAGAGAGTGAAACTTGCTTGCAGAGTAAGTAGGTGGAATGCAGGCACTGAGAGACTTGGGTTTTGCTACTGTGGGATCCCTTTTCTGCTATAGGCAGATAAAAACCTTTTAGTAATTCCACAAAGAAAATGACAAAAGCAGGGACAATCTCACTTACGAAGCCTTCTGAAGTTCACCCAAAGACAGACATAAATGCATCGCATTATTTACTCAGGCAGAAACTGGACGACCTGTGTTATCAATCTTCTACCGAGTTAAAGAACCTCAACTACAGGGGAAAACAATAAATTTAAGCATGTTCTGTACATCTGGGATCTACTTCTTGCTTGTGACTTGCACCCTGAACTACCCCACTTACCTTTAAAAATTAATTTTATAAATGAAGCCTATATTCACCCCAGGGTGACCATGTACAGCAATCACGAGAGTGCATTAGTAGTTAGCTAATTTATTAATGGATAGAAAAACAGAATGAGGAAAAGGCTTTTGCTAAAGAAGAATGTAACAACCATTATCAGAATATAGGATTATCACTAGAAAAACACAAATGCACATAGAACAACTACAGATTAAAGGCAGCAGTCCTCTATGCTGTTTTTCCTCATTTTTTTCATATTAAGCAATTATTTAAAGTAATCATCATTTAGTGTTCAGTTTTCTGAACTGTGCTCATATGCACACTTGAAAATGTGTTAAAATAGAAATAAAAGGTAAATAGTTCCGGAGTTACAAAACATATACATTGAGTTATATCATAAATCCATGCATATTGAGGAAGATAAAGAAAACAAGCCCCAAATTGTTCGGAGTCATATTTACCTGATCTAGATTTGACAGACTGTTTGGATCTTGACTAAGAGCTTGGTACTGGCCCCGAAGCCTATCTCCAGCTGCAATCTTTCTGAACTTCTTAAGATCCACAACATATAAGGCACTACAAAGAATAATAAAAAAAAAAGAATTAAGATTTGTGGAGTTTCACCTTTTCTTTTTATAACATTAATAAAAGCAACAAGAAACCAAAACCTCTTCCCATCCTAAAGGAATATATGTTTTAATTAAGTGGCTGAAGCCACAATAAAAAAAGGGAAATCAATGTCATCAAAATTCATCTGTTATTCACTTCTTACTGCGAATGCATCAGCATTCAAAAGCAACTGCCCTATATCATTCAAATCAATATAAAGAGACAGATTTTAATCAAATTCACAAACTGCACAAAAAATACATAAGGCATTATCCTACCTAATATGGTATTTCCTTTTCCCAAGATGTGATGCCCAGTATCCCGACTTCCAGAAACGGTATCCATCCATTTCCTTACGGCTGTCACAGAAAGGTGTGTATCCATAGGGAGCTCCATTTAGATTTAGATCTCTGAGCTCTTTTAGGTCACTTCTCACAATCTAAATAACAGTATGTATTTTAATAATTTAATAATATTTTAATAATTTAATATTGTATTTAAAGCGTGCATATGAGGGCAGTTATTGCAGCAATCTTCCTGAAGCTTAACTATCATTTAAAAAAGCCCTGAAACACTCCAATAGTGGAGTATATAGAGTGTGGCACTGAATGATATTTACCAAATTATTATTCAATGAAAAATAAAGTGTTTATTCTGTGGTCATCTATGTAACACATTTAACAAGTAAATGAAATAAAAGGAGCTAAGATTTTAAATTTGTAGATCAGTGTTTCTGGTTGCCCAATATTGAATTCCATCATGCAGGAGTGTCACTTTCAAAATCTGCTGAGCATCTTCCTTCAGAAAATCCTTCCTATCTGTTACATCACTTGGGCACTCCAATATTATTGCATCATTTGAAAAATCTTTGTATCTAGTAATAAAATACTTTTAAAAATAGCTTATGAAGATACTTTATGAATGTCCTTTATTTACTAATCAAGCATTCTTCCATCAAATCCCACTAATCTGTCAGTGGTAAAAAAAGGTTTTAGCTGTTTCAGAGTACAGAGAAATTCTTACAGTAGTTAGGACAGAAAACCTAGTTCTGCTACTCTATCCAGATGAAAATGCAGGAAGTTGCAGTGTGCATTGTGGTATCTACATTTGATTTATTCTCAAGCTTTGGAAAAGGACCAAAACATTCAATATTTTTCTGAGGTTTTAATAACCGTTGGATAGACTCCTCAAGGTCTCATCTGAGAGAGCATGTTACCTTCAGTACATGCAGTGACAGAACAAGGGGAATGGCTTTAAACTGAAGGAGAGGAGATTTAGACTATATATTAGGAAGAAATTCTTCCCTGTTAGGGTGATGAGGCACAGGCACAGGTTATCCAGAGAAGCTGTGTCTTCCCAATCGCTGGCAGTGCTCAAGGCCAGGCTGGACAGGGCTTTGAGCAACCTGATCTGGTGGAAGATGCCTCTGCAGATGGCAGGGTGTTTGGAACTAAGTCATCTTTAAGATCCCTTCCAGCCCAAACCACTCTATGATCCTGTGATTTTTCATTGTACAGTATTCATTTCTGAGTGGTAGAATGCATACAAATTTAAGAAAAAGAGACAGGAGTAATCTTGGGAAATTTCAGCTGTCTGGAAGTTGTTCAAATGGTCTAAAGAAACCGCCTCAGACTCCTTCCTCAGTCCAAAGTCCTCTCACAATCAGCCCAAAGACTATATCACTCAAATAGGCTTTAGGCGAGATGCATCTTTAAGATCACACACATCTCTCCACAGGCAATTTATGGGAACTCAGTGCAGTGAGTGTATTCATTTCTACATGACCAAAGACAAGTTAAATTATTGCATTTCACATTCTGTAACACCATGGGGTTTGCTCTTGCAACTGCAATAGTCTTACGAGCCAAGCATCTGAATAAAATGGTCACAGAGAATGAAACTGGATCAATTTAAGCCAAAATGAATTCCTCATACATTTATACAATATTATTCTTTTCTTACCTGGTCAGCATCGACAAATATTATTTTATCCACAGCCAAAGGGAAAAGAACATCCAAAAAAAGAATTTTGTAGCCCCAGATAATTCTTTGTTTTTCTGTCTGTTGATAGAGCCAGCGGGGCCACTTATACTGTACTAACTCATACTTGAAACCATACTTTTTAGCCATGTGAGGAATTACATCCTAGAAGAAGAACCAAACAGTATTAGTTGCACATGGATGTGACACACAAGGACTCAAAAGGAAAACAAGGGAGTGTTGCAACAACATCGTGGCAGCTGCATTGGCCTGACTGAGTACAGAGCCTCTTATTTTAAGATGTTTCTTTAATTCTGGCAGTATCCTCAGCCACACAAATACAAAAAACATTTCTCTCAAGCTCTTGGAGACTATCAAGAAGAATAAATTATGATAATATTTCACTGAGCTTTGGGTTCCAGATAAGAATCTTATACACGAGACTTCTAAAACTGTTGGTACTGAATGCATTCAGAGATCATTTCCAACTGTGAAAATTCATTTTCAATTGCATCATTACTCAATTGCAATTTTCTTTAAAAACTACTTAAAATTTGTAAGAAAGAAATAATAAAAGAAAAACATTTCTCCTACCTTAAATGTTGGGGAGAGATAGTTTTTCAGAAACCAAAATTTAACTGGTGTTTTTGTATGACGTAGGACAGAAAGCATCATAATTCTGTGGAAATACAAGTCTATAATAAGCAAACAAATACACACAGGTCATTAAATTTCAACTGCTCTTAAGTGCTAAAGCTTTCTAACTTTGATTTTCTTTAACTCAGTTTAAGCAGAAATGTCTTTCTTTTTAAAAGCTTTGAAGAGCATGTGTTCAAGATTGCTTTGAGATGGACTTACTCAATCCAGATTGGTTCATCAATATTAGAAGGTACAATTTCAAAAGTGGATCTGTCAATAAGTTTTACTCTGAGAGGTGCCTGACAAAGTCAGAATAATTGCATTGTATTAACTTTGCTGCTGAGATGACTTATTTGGGAGATATTTTGGTTGAGTTTAATAGGTTGCTGATAAGAAAAACAACAGCAAAGAGAAACCATAGTTCAAGTTAAGATCCTCTTCAGAAAGACCTTGATAACTGTAAGAATCACTATTTTGGGTTCAATTTTTTTCCCACTATTGTAGCATTTGGCTGGGTTTACCAGACAGATATGGAGATGCCTTACAACCTTACAAGAGGTTAAGTCTATCTTAAGATCAAGGAATAATAAACTTTAAATAAGGCAAAGAGGCACACAGGATGTTTAAGCCTTATTTTTTACTCCTTTAAAATAAATAAGTCTTTCCTTTTATGAAGGTTGCTGTAGGTTGAGGGAAAGAAATGCAGGTGCTCAAACTGCATCAGATCACTAAAGCAATAAAATCACAAAATCTGACACCTGCAGAAAGTACTCAAATCAGGAAAGTAACAGAAACTGCTGTAAACAGATTAGGCAATACTTTAAAAATTCCTTAAAAGCAACCATTGCTTACTGAATGAACACTGAGCTAAGTAAGGCCATATGGTAGTCTCTGTAGTTTGGACTAAACATAAATAGATACAGGTCTAATGAAGTAATTTCTGTTATGTCTTTGTAAAGAGAGGCTGAGCTTCATCTGTTATGAACGTTCAAACTCCACACATGTACTCGTGGAAGGCATGGGGTACATTTTTCTTTCTTCAAAGGATAATGGTATTTTTGAACATCTATATGTTGCATCATTTTGTTCTACAAGAAAGATTAATTTAGTCCTCAGTGTATACAACTTTACTGTGATTTGACAATTTATTTATTCGTTACACCTTGTTAAAAGTCAGTTTAAGCTGCTTAGTTTTAGAATGAATGTATACTGTATTGCTATGAAATTCTTGTTTCATTTTTATCTTTCCTTACCTTAAAAAACGTTCATATAAATGGCCTGAAGCAACAGAAAAGATGTTAAGAATATCACTTTGCTTTTCCTTCTCTTCTGTTGGAGTTTCTTCTGAAAAGCTGAGAAAAAAACGAAACAAATTATTATTAAAAGTAAACATTCAGCAGAAAGAAAATACTACTGCATTACCAGTAACTTCATAAAGAATCAAAAGTAAAAGAATACACAAAAGAAACACTCATACCACTTAACAAAATCTTTTGGAAGCAACACTGCATACCCACTCACTAAGGACAAACAATAGCACAACTACAGTCTTTGATATTTTCAATCAAACAGAATCCTAACTTGGCAAGAACTCCATGTTTTATCAAAGCAAAAAGTCAGAAATACACACAGCCAGAGTATGTTGAGAACTGATTATTTGTAGCATTGGCAACTGTTACTCTTCAAGCTTCATTCATGCGCACTCTAAATCAGAACCACCAATGCATATTCTTGAGGTAGAATCATAGAGTGGTTAGGGTTGGAAACGACCTTAAGATCATCTAGTTCCAACCTCCCTGCCATGGGCAGGTGAGGGATGTCTTCATAGCCCCATAGGTACCTCAGCCAGTACCTTTCCCAGAATACTGTTGTAACATTTACTGGTCTGTGGTGATGGGACTTCCTGAGTATTTTTCATAATACTTTCTGCATTCTCCCTTAAATTCAACCAGTTGCTCTCCCTATAAGCGACCCAGTATCTTTGAGGTATGTCGTCCAGAGGTTTTCTGTTTCTGCTGTACAGCATTCTTTGCTTGCTTTGAATACCAAAGTCTCCTGGATTTTTTTTAATCATGGGTGCCTTCCAGCACACACAGCTAGGGAAAGGTGGCTGCAGTTTCCCTCAGATCTTGGAATTGCAAAGGCTGCCTTAGCCAAATTGGTTACACTATGGCTTGATATTGTTGGAGATTCACTCCAGTAGTCTTTTTTTGAGCCGTGCCCTGGATCTAGGGACTGGCTGAGGATTATACTGGGATCACTGTTTACTGGATAAAGTAGAACTGCTGTGCCTTTTCTTTATCTTTTTTAACTGTCTTTGTGACTGACAACCATTGCCAAGGCCACTGAAAATGGAAGAAAACCTTTTTTGAGTCTTGCAGCAGTCATTTGGGACCAGAAAGTCTTTAGGGTATGGAGAAAATAATGATGAAAAAGACATTCTCCCTAAATCCCTCATACTGACATTATCCCCTTCTTACTAGCTGAATTATAGCCCAAAGATGTTCTCCTGAACAATGGAGGAATCAGACTTTACTGCAATGGTAAATCTTGAATCCTTAAAGGTACTTATGGATAAAGCTACTGCAATTTCTTCTTTGTTTTAGGGCAAAGAGATCTGTGATTACTTGGATTAAGTTGTTTATATTCAAGTCATTAGCCCTGAACTGTTTCTTTTTCAGAAGGCATTCCCTTTGGTTCTTTCTCTTTGCAATTATACAGCTATGACAGTTTAGTGCTTGGCAGCATACTGCAGAAACAACCTGTGCTGGAAATCAGGCTGAGAGCAAACATGAGTGTTTTGTATAAAGTATATGGAATCTATTATGGAAACAATGTATTGCAAATTAGATCCTCACCAAAATAGCCTTGAAGATCCAGAAGAACAATTATTGTCACCTTGAAAGAGGGGATGAATTTATTGTGTTACTAGCATTTCAGATTAAAGTCTCAAGCTCATTCTTTGACATGAAGAAATCAAGTCACTGGGAATTCAATAAGTACTTTTGTCAGCACCCCAGCTGTCATACTTGAGAACTTAATCTTTTTCAGAAGTTTCTTGTGAGGAAAATCTCTTAAGTATTACAAAGAAAGAATGCTCTGAGAACACCCAGGCCACTGTTTCTAAAATAGATTGGTCAAAGGTTATCTGACTGAAATGCTCTCAAAAGGACAATTAACATGGCTTGGAAACTGATACAACACCCCGTGTTCTGATCCACAGCACAGATGCACTAGTCTATTAAAAAAAAATCACTAATTTTTTTTCTAAGCAAAGATGAAGCATCCTTTTGTGCCCTTATTCTCAAAAATCATATAAAAAATTTGTAGGAATATTTATCTTTACTTAATAAACAACAAATTCAAATTAAACACAAAATCAGCCTGAACCACACATCATCTACAGACAACATACTTATGAGCAACTGAAAACAAAACGTTACGATGCTATATGGGAAATTCAAAATACTCCAAGTTATTAGCTCCAAATGTAAAGCTTGAGATGTTTATTACAATTATTTATAGAACTCAAAGTTTAAAGTAAAAGGTATTTTATGGACAAATATCAAAACACTTCTTGAGCTTTCATAAATTCTACCTAGCAGCAGACAAGCAGCATCTTTTTGATGTTCAGTTTAATACATCTGAGTACCACATTACTGGCTGAGATTTTCACATCGACATTGATTCCCTGCCACAACAAAATAAAAATGCCAATGGAGACAACAAGCAGGAACTAGAAATGCAAAGGAGGGATTAAAAAGGTAATAAATAATAAGATGCACAAGACATTATAGTTTGTCTTTCTCTTTCATTTGTATTATAAATCCCTTGGAGAGTCTTTTTACATATGTGTATCATTATCAAGTAAGAAACACTTGCTATGAGTACTAATAAACATGTCCTGGCACAGTTAAAGTATACGAAAATTATGCATTACCTTAGAACTGATTCTTGATTTCTTTTTTTTCCTGTCGTTCCATCAGTAAGGAGATCTTCATTAATTTTATCAGGCCTTTTCTGTACCTAGTCATTTAAATAAATGTATTTGTGGAATTTGGGAAGTTAGTTGATAACAATCACTACTTCAGTTGTGATACCTAACTATGGTGTACTTACTAGCTAAAGCTTGACCAACATCTTACCAATTTCTATTTCAGTAAAATATTTACTGAACTGCATTAAACCAACAGTAAAAATGTAATTTCATACTTTCAAACTTGGTACAGAACTTACTGTAATAAGAAAAGTAATCAATTATGAAAAATTAGGTAGTGATTAATAAAACCAAACAGCATGTTCAAGCTTTCTGTACTACTTTATGCAAACAGTAATGAAAAGCGTAGGGAATTGTATCTCATTTTCTTCCCTCATGAGCTGCTGATCCAGCTACCACCTGGCACAAGAAGCGTAGGAGGGCATTGCACCATGCACAGACCTTACCTGGAGGGAAACCGATTCTCATAAGGAGAAAGCAACACATCTGTTACTGAAATATAAACTCTCCCATCCAACTTCAGCAATTTCTGCTGTCTTACCCAGACACTTAATAAAGGGTCCAAGTTAATTTTGTTTGCTGACCTTAATTTCCATGATTAAAAGACACCTAATTGGTTTTGAAACTCAAATAGCTTCTAAACCACTACATGTTTGAACATATTAAATTCAAACCACTTTATTTCACGTTTATACTTTCAAGCTAATGCTTCTGTTCATATTAAATCATCCATCTTCTTAGCTAATGCTTGTGGAGCCACATCCTAGGTATCAGTGAAGTCACTCTACAGTTCAACTGGATGGCAGAGCTTACATATTCCAGTTGTAAGCTTAGTATGTACCATTTTTCACATAGTATAATTCTCCTGTTAGGCCCACATGGCACCGTTTTTCTCTGTGTTTCAAAGGCAGGTTCATCAGGTTCCAGAGTTACCCTTTTTCTTCAGGTTTTGGACTTTCGGTTACAGGACTGGGGAAGCGACTCCTATATGTGGTTTTACAAAATGCCTTTTGTACTTAACTTTATCCTCACTCCTTCTTGATGTCTAAAATTTGGATATATCAAGGACACCTACACAAAATGTTATTTACAAAATAGTAGAAAACATAATGCTATGAGTTCTTTCTCCTTAATATAACTCGTGTTTCATTATCCCTTTTTTGATACATCTTTAAGAACGAAAGTAACAATTTCATTTACACAAATTTGGTAGCTTAGGGAAGAATTCAATGTACCTAATTTTAACTTCTCTGGTGTCTGGACTTCACATAAAATTCCTCCCCAGTCACAGGAGAGAACTGGATATCTCAGGAGGTAGTTACCCTCTGGTTTAAATACACATGTGAGCTGGGATAAGCAGTCCTTTGGACTCTCCTTCTCATTCTGCTAAGCAGAGAGGAAGATTAAGGTACCTAGACCCCACTCTTACACACCTTAAGCTAGATGAGAGAAATCCTATTTATGTTTAGCAGGTATTTAAGAATTTCCCATGCAATTAGTATAACCTGATTGGATCAAATTAACTACACTGATTTTACACACCCTTCTCTATTTAATTATAGAAAATCTAAATTATATATTTCAGTGTATATTTTCCAATCAAACAGCCTAAGACATACAAGTGTTAGTTGCATTTCACATAAGGAAATAACTCGGACAAAAAAAGGCATCTTTACACATACTTGGACTTTGATAATTTTGCTTCTGAAGTTGTTTAATACCACGATAACATCTATCAGGTCAGCTACAGAATCTGTTCCTTCATGGCTGTGAGGAGACAAAAAATACATGCAAATGCACTGGCTCATTAAACACAGGTAATAACACACATTTTAGAGCATAAGGTTTAGGACTGCTGGTATTTATAGAAATAAAATTTCTTTACTTGCACCTATTTATATCTTAAATTTAGAAACTTCCCGAGTTTTATTCATCACTAGACACTGTCACAGTGGTAGCCCTCACTTTTTAATTTGGATTTCACAGGAGATTTAAAAATGCAGCAACCTAGAGCAGAATGTTATTCTGCATTATACGGGTATATATTACATTCAAATATTAAACTACATTTTATCTGTCAAATATGGAAAACATCTTAGAAACTACTTTGTGACAGCATCAAATGTGCTTTTAAAATGAATCTGCTTTAAGAAGTCTAGGGAAAGCTTCATCACAGTGCTGAGATAGTAAAGACTGGCTTTCAACTGGTTGGCATTGTTGACTTTACCCCTAAAGCTGTGGCTGTGCAAGACACCACATGAACATTTGCCCTACTGAACACCAGTTTAAAGCCATTCAAGCACCTCAAAACTTTACTGCAGTCTACTGAGTAACAAGTATGAAAAATGTTGCTGTCACTCTATGATACAGTGTGATAATGTAATCCTCAATTTTTATAGCTTTTATACCTCAATAGCCCATATATTTTTTCTTTCATCTTTTCTGTCTTTTAACAGCATTATGTGGTTCCCTCTTGCTAAGCCTATGCACACAAAAAATTGTTTTAAAAATGTAATCTGCTACCTGATTTTTTTTTTTTGTTTGCCTAAAAAACATAACTGTTTAAAACTTGTTTCAAATCTGTGTCATACTGCCTATCTAAACATGTCAGGATTTTCTATAGTTGTCTGATTATTCTATTAAATAAGTATCAGCAAAATGTTCCTATGATTACTAAGTTTCATAGAGATGGCCAATTCCTGCTCAAAACAATGTTCTATATTATCTTGACTTTTCTGCTGATTGAAGTCTAATTTTCACTCTTAGAATATTGCATATATGAGCAGTTCGCTGAGAACAGTCTATCACAGGGATATACAGTACTCAACATAAAAGGCACAGATCTTAATTTTAAATAAAGTCTGTCATTAAAAAGCTCTAAAATAGTAAAACCAGAGCCAACCACAAACTGTTGATAGAAGAACTGGCAGCAGCTGGCACAGTGTTCCGAGTTTTGCCCTCAGGTTTTACACAATCAAATTTTTCTGTTATTCACTCAGCTACCTCAAAATCTCTATTACACATTCTGTAGCCAGCTCTGCAGCTCCGCCAATGAAGATGATTTTCCAAAGTCTTTACAATGTGTGTTTGGTTTAGCTGTAAATTTAGTAACATCACTTTGGCTCCTTATATCTCTTCTGTGGATCCCTCACTGCTGGCTCTATCTTTGCTGAGTGCCAATTGTTTTCCTCTGCACAGCACTCAGTGCGCCGAGTTTCCATCCCAGTATGAACAATGAACTGAAAATAGTGATAGTTGCCATTAGTTACCTTGGACACTTAACACTGGTCTCAAGATACAATTTATCTGTTCCTCCATTCACTTCTTCGTATACTTCCTACTACTACACTACAGTAACTTCCTGTCAGAATACTTCAGTTCCTAGTCACCCAACTACATCACAGAATAGGATAGCCACCCTTTTTTGGTGGGTGTCTCTGAAAAAATAGAGTCCATCACTGTTCTTTAATTTTAATTCAGTGTGATGAATTTTATACAGGACCTCTCATCTTTTTTCTGTCCCTGTGCATACAATATTCAGCATGCTGTGATTTTATTCATGTAAACAGATGTACCTTTCAAACAAGCGATCATGTGAGTAAGGTTTTGAATATAACCTGAGGATTGGAAGAACTGGGTCATGATTTATAAATTCCTTTAGCAAAACCAGAAAGAATCTTGTGTTTTTCCTGAAAGATACTGAACACCGTTAGTGTAACTCAGTTTGTAAACTGATTAAAAGTAGGCACAACTTTTTTTAAATCCAAGCACAATGTCTTGCATACTGAGAGCACTATTAAATACTTAACTACTTTATTGTTATATAATTGTTGTACAAAACTATGTCACAGCTTTTAAATGTTCCAAAACACCTACATACTTTTAAAATAAATACAAATAAATACCTACCTGCCTTTTGAAAAACCAAAACATTCAGCAGGAGCTTATATATATATATATCTTTAGATATAAACTAATTTCTGCAGTTTTATCTTGCAGTAACTACCTTTTTTCTTACCAACATCACAGAATTAAAGTTCCAATAATAGTGCTCAGACTGCTGCTTAAATATATCAATTTTCATTTCTGTAATATTTATAGTAATTTATTAATAGTGAATTGATTTACAAGTGTGACTGCTTCAAAATAGTGACCCTTGTTAGAAGCAGTGTTCAGGGGAAGGAAAAAAAAAAAGCAGCTTGTTTCAAAAGCTGCTGCATTTAGATAAAGTGAAAATTAGTTACTTGCATTTGTATTACATATAACTATGAGAGAAGCAAATAGGAACTGAGGTGTAGAACATGCTGTAACTTCAAATGCTATATTTCTCCTGAAACTCCCATTATAATGTACAGGCCTGTGATACAAAGAAAACAGCTCCTCTCACTCACAGGAGATGAGAACGTTCAACAGGAGAAGATATAACTAGTACGTCAGGATGGAGAATACACTGCAATACCTCTTGGCAAAATCCCATCCTATCAAATAGTTGCTGAAGTTCTGATAGCAATTTGATACTCTTAATACCGATATCAGTAAAAGTAATATCAAATATTCTGGTACAGCCTCCCAATCATACTTCAGCCATCATACTCTAAGCCTATGGCTTGTAATAATTAAACTAAATAAATGTTTTTGCTTAGATTCCTCATCAAGTATTAATTTTGCATAACTTCACTGAGGTCAGTTAAGCTTATCTGTATTACTTCTTAGGGAAAATCAGGGATCTTAAAAAATGGCAGATAATTGAAGTTTCCTTTGATCCATCCTAAAATGTTGAGTGGTTTGTTTCATTTTTGTTACATTTTTAAATTCAACTACAGCTCATTAAATTGTATTTTTAAACCATAATATCTTTCATAAATCACTTTATATATCTTAAGAACTGAATGTTATATTAAATTAAATTAAATTAAAAGATATAGCTACAGCTGGTGGAGATTAAGTGAACTTCTTAGGATACAGACTATGTTTTTCTGCTTTTTCAACAGATTGTTAGTGGTTTCTGGAAAAAAATAAATTGAAAATCACAAACAAATAGAATGACCCTAATATCCCATTAACGTTTCCCGATTCCTGAAACTGATGCATTAACTAAGTATTCAAAACAGCATTAAAACTAATCAATTTTTTTTTTTTCATTTTTTAACAGCAGCTGATGACTAAACATCATATGGGACCATGTGTTCCTGAACTCCACGTAATAACAAATATTTTATAAAAAATAGACCTGTTTCAGCCCACAGAATTACAGGAATGGGGTGGAGGGGAAGGAAGAACTGAAGCTGAAATAAATGGAAACTATACTGTTCCTCCAGAAGAGATCATATCCAAAGCTTCAAGAGGAAGCCCACATATGGTTCAGATCTATACTGTTACATAGAATGTGAGAAAAAATATGATTCTTCCAAGGAAGGAATACTTGGTATGGTGGCTAGTGTATGTTCCTCATAGGAAAACTGACCACGGAAATTACAGATCTATAAGCTATATAGGTGGCAACTAAATGCCAGTTACTGGAGTACAATGTGACTTCTTTCCATTTCCCTCTTGGTGTTTCTCCCAAGAGAGAGAAATGTGGCACAGCTGACGTGTAGCCAGGGTATGGAATTGAAAGGTGCTTGTATATCCTAAGGCAAAGCTGTAACAGCCATGATTCTTTGATGACTTAGGTGACTAAGAAACACTCAGAATTAACTGAAGAAATTAATTAGCTTTGAAATTAATATAATGCTCCTGTTAAAAAAAGATGCCACCCATCAACAACTGCATTCAGAGGCACCCTTAGGGGTGCAAAAAAATATAAGAGGGAAATTCATGGTACTTCCTCCAGCTTATGAAGATGCTGTTTACACTCTCAGAAAGTAAGCTATCTCTTACAAACTTTAAATCATCATTTGCTCCTGGTTCTAATTTTCTCATTTTTACTCATTTTCCTTCAGTACTGTCGGATCTTTTCAAAATCTGCTGCATTTTCAGATTCATTTATGTTTCCAAAAGATGGGTCAATACTTACGAAAAAACCCGATAGATCTCTTCAGATCTTCCTTTACGCAACCTCAGTGTCCAAGCACCTGGATTTGCTTTCAGCTGAAAATACCCCTATGAAAAAAAGGAAAGACAGGCAATTGTTCTGTCAGTATTTCAGAATTGACCGTGTACACATGCAAAAGTCAATTCTTCCATATTTGGTACTGCAGACAAGGTTAGTCTCATCACCTACTCTCATACTAGCCCTAAAAGCACTATGGCAGTGATAAAACCAACTGTATGTCCATCTGAATGTCTTTGATGTCCGTCTGAATGTCATTTGGTTCTAGCTGAAACTGAGTTGTATATAAAATCTCCAACAGCAAGTAAATGAGCAGGTAAAGAAACTGACCTTAGCTAAAAAAGCAGTTGTTAAACTGACCCTAAATTGAAAAGCTTATTTCTAAATCAAATTTTTGTCTGGAACAATTTTCCAGGTCAACACAACTCCTTCCCAATTTAGGAACACCGCATACAGCTATCATTATGTGAAAGCCAGACAAAGCATGCTTTGGAATGTGAAGAATCATTAAGTTTCGTCATGCTGAACAACCTCTAATGTTGAGACTGTCTTCAATACTTGTGTAAAAATCAGAGATTTACAGTTTAAGCATTTTATTCCTTGTGATACAGTATTTACAGAGAACAAAGAATAGTAGATGGGTAACACCTCACCTCTGTGCCTGGCAAAATCTTGGAGCAGATTCTCCTGGAAGGCATGCTAAGGCACATGAAAATCAACAAGGTCCTTGGTGAAAGCCAGCATGGCTTCACTAAGGGGAAATCCTGCCTGACCAATCTGGTGGCCTTCTATGATGGGGCTACAGAACTGATGGACAGGGGCAGAGCAGCTGATGTCATCTACCTGGACTTGTACAAAGCATTCGACACTGTCCCACACGACATCCTTGTCTCTAAATTGGAGAGACATCAATTTGACAGGTGGACCACTCGGTGGATAAAGACCTGGCTGGATGGCTGCACCCAAAGACTTGTGGTCAATGGCTCAATGTCCAGCTGGAGACCAGTAACGAGTGGTGTCCCTCAGGGATCAGTGTTGGGACCGGTCTTCTTTAAGATCTTTGTCGGTGACATGGACAGTGGGATTGAGTGCGCCTTCAGCAAGTTTGCTGAAGACACCAAGCTGTGTGGTTCGGTTGATAGGCTGGAGGGAAGGAATACCATCCAGAGGGACCTTGACACGCTTGTGAGGTGGGCTGATGCCAACCTCATGAAGTTTAACCATGACAAGTGCAAGGTCCTACACCTGGGTCGGAGCAATCCCAGGCACAGCTACAGGTTGGGCAGAGAAGAGATTCAGAGCAGCCCTGCAGAGAAGGACTTGGGGGTGTTTGTTGATGAGAAAATGAACATGAGCCGGCTTCAGTGTGCGCTCGCAGACCAAAAAGCCAACCGTATCCTGGACTGCATCAAAAGGAGCATGTCCAGCAGGTCAAAGGAGGTGATCCTGCCCCTTTACTCTGCTCTTGTGAGACCTCCCCTGGAGTATTGTGTGCAGTTCTGGTGTCCTCAACATAAAAAGGACATGGAACTGCTGGAACAAGTCCAGAGAAGGGCCACGAGGATGATCAGGGGACTGGAGCACCTCCCATATGAAGACAGGCTGAGGAAGTTGGGGCTGTTCAGCCTAGAGAAGAGAAGGCTGCGTGGAGACCAGGATGCTCCTGGTACCTGTAGTGTTAGTGAGCTTACAACACCGCAAAATGGATTTAAAGAACACAAAGCTCCTAAGGAATTCTCACGAAGAGTGGAAATAGTAACAACTATTTCTGTACTTAATACTTACCAGGTTGGCCATCACAATAGTATCAACCATGACAGGATTATTCTTTGTGCCCAGAGTGAACTGTAACCCTCGAGGAGGTTGTCCAGTTGTCACATCAAAGCAATGTCCTTCAAGCAGTATATATTCTAGTTCATATTCTGCTGTAACTGTCCCTTTTATCTGTGGAAGGAACATCTCATCAATAATTGACATCATTTAACTATGTGGGAAAAGCAACATATTACAATGACAAATGTGTTGTGCGGGATTTCCCTCAACTAAATTTAACTGTCAAAAAAAAAAAAAAAAGAGAAAAACCCTTCCAGGAAGAACTTCACTCAACTTTAAAATAGGTATCCAAGATAAAAGAGAATGACTCGCTGTCTAGAGGAATGTTCTCTCCATTGTTGAGGAAGCTGAAGCATCTCAGCCTTGGTAAGGTAAATCCCAACCTTTATTTTCACAATACCCCTTCCATAATACACACCTTTGGTTAATCAAACATCCTCAATATTTTGCATAATCTTAATGAAACAGTTCTAGTGACTTTGAAGCTGAGGGATTAAAAATGTAATTAAAAAACTGTGAACTAAAAAAGGGTCAAATATATTTTCATCTGGATTAATAAACGACCCTATATTCAGGTTTATTTGAAGATTTATCTAGATTAATCCTATTACTACCAAAAATATTTAAAAAATAAAAGAGAAATAGAAAGCTAACAGAATCCCTTAACTGTTTTGTTTTCTGGAAAACAGGCAAAAAATTCTCACAATATTTCTATTTCCCTCTTGAAGTGAAAGGCCCAACACAAGTTTTATAGTGTTTACAAACTATTACTTACACCCTGTAAATGAATGTTATCAAGATCACAGGAACTGTTTACTGCTTCAACCAACCAGCTTTCAGGAGTGATCATGTTTAGAGTCAAAAGGGGTGATTCTGGCAATTCTAAGAATTTTGCCACAGGTTCAGAAGGGAGGTGCTTGTTGATCCCATAAGTTAATTCTGGTTCCAGAACAAAACGATAGAAGCTGTTGAAAAGAAGTGTTAAAAACCATAATACATTTATGCAGCATGAAGTTCCAAAAATGAAATTCTTCTAAAATACTTTAAAACATCATGAATATTTACCAAATTAATGATGTTTGGAGCCAGAGTAGCTCCCTGTTCTTTTGGAATACTGACAGACAATGCATACAGCATCTCAAATGGGCTGGAAGATAAACACATACCTATTCACTTTTGATATTTTCTTACTGTGAAAGTGCATGGTTCCCATTAACATTCTGAATGGCTGGAAAGGTGTATATCCAAGAGGTGCATCTAAACATCTTAATTGTGAAATTTCTCATAATACGATTATAGGTAAAATATCCGCCAAAGTGATGGCACTGCTTAAACATTTCACTTAGAGGGAAAGGAATCTCTCCTGCAGAATTCACTTCAGTATAAGCATCTGTAACTGAATTAGTGAACCCTGTTCTTTGGACAGCTAAGACATTTCAGTTTAAGACAGATACTTTCACGGTATATTCTTAATTATAATGATGTCTCAAATGCAGACTCTACATTGACTCAGATGAAATTAATTTTTAAGTGCTCTTAACCTGTAAAAATCCTTGCGCAGACTGTGGGCTGAAAGAAGTGACCAAGTTAGGCAAACAATCTCCCTCTGCAAGTTGTTACAGAAAGACTCATGAAAGACTCTCCATTAACTTCTTTAAGGATTACTCATGAGGTGCATGTGATGGATTAGATCACTTCCCTATGATCCCATATTTGAGACCTTAGAATTTTTCTCTAGACAAGTGCAAACTGCTTAGGTAGTATTCAACTTCCACTCAAAGTAACTAATGCAACAAAAGAAACCAGAAATACGAACCACTCTTTACTTTTTAAAGGGAGATACACCGATAACACTTTTTCCAAACCAAACCAGATCATATACTTGTAAGAAAATCTATAAACTACCTACCTCTTCAGAGGTGCTTCTGACAGCTTAGATCTGCAGTTCAAAAACAACCTAAGTTTCATATTGATGATGTCTTTAAGTACCTACAGAAAAAAAAAATCTCTGTAAAAAATGGTTCTTGGTAATCACCACACTTTGAAAATAGGACAAAGTTATCCTTGTGACATGCTGTCACTTCTCAAGCTTCAGCAGAAATCTCAAACATTTTCAAGTTCTAAATATATCTGTGTATTAAGGGATGCTGTCAGATATTCCAAATAAAGATCTGACCTTTTCTAAAACTGCATGATTTAGCACATGATATTCTTAATAGTCAAAATGTTAATGTTGTCCCCTAGTGAAGCAGTATTTTAAAGAGCAGCTATCCCTATTTTCCAGTGCTTGAGTAAATTATCACCTTTCTTCTATTGCATTTTCCAGATTTTAAAGCACTTGAAAGTCTGTGAGTATAACACATGCCTTTTATTAATAACCAACTTAAAACAATGACTTAACTCTTACTAAAATAGTTGTATGCAGTAAATTGTTAAATATAGCAAAGCTCAGAGAATTACTTTAATACTTAATTAGTTAATGATTTTTAAATGTCAGCAGTAGATTAATGATGTATTAAACTATTCAATCAACTTCAAAACATTCCTGCAAGCTAAACTATTTCCACTCTTTCTCAATATCTTCATCTGTTCATTTTAAAAATACTAATTTTCTGGATGCTGTTATATCAGAACCATAATATTAGGACAGTAATTTTTTTCTTATTTTTGTGAGCAATCTATTTTAAGTTAACAAGGTTATTAATTTCCTTAAAGCACTCTTAAAAACCTTTATCAAATTATCTTAATTTCTGTAGTTTCTGATCCAAAGTGCTTATATGAAAGAATAAAGCAGCTGTGTCTACCTTTATGGATATGATTAGAAAAGCAAATATTAAAGCTAAGTTAAAATACTGATACCACTAAGGCTAAAATCTAAAATTACTGTAGCAGCAAGTACATTTGGAACAAAGCAAGTCAATGGTCATCCTTAAAACTCTCTTATTATAAACATTTTTTCTTTCCTCACTTCAACCCAAGGATACACATATTCTTCACTATAGTGCTATAACTTCATTTAGTCGTACACTGTTCTGCTCTAGTTTCTCATTCCCATCCTTTCTGTCACCTGAATACCATCACTGTAAAACTACTGAGACAAAAAATAACGACTAAGAAATGGCATAAGGGTGACGACAAGTGAAGAAGCAGGAAATAGGAACCCAACAGCACTGGAAGCATAACAAGAGAAATTATTATATGACATGGGCTAAAGGCCTCCAGAATCAAAACAGAGGTCAAAGTGACTCAAGCAATTATCATTTGGAATAAAAATCATGTGTAACCAGTACTAGTTGGTCTCATCCACTAAAACACACCCAGAATTTTTAACATCGAAAAAAAACCACTTCTCAAATAAAGATGTTGCGTCCAAAATGATGTGTACCTGCACTGGACTTTTCCTTCAAGCAAGACATAAAACTCGTCCCATCAGTTAATATTTTTATTTGGTAGTATCAAGCTTTCATTTTAACTGAGAATGGTGAAATGAAAGATCTGATTCTAGAGAAAAGGTAGTATTTCAGAGTCTTGAAATATGTATTTTTTTAAGTCTTTTACTTTGCTTCACATTACGCATGAAGAGTGAGTGGATGTTTCAACTTTTGATAGAAAACGCATAAGAGGATGTAAAAATGGAAGGGAAAAAGCAGTGTAAGAATTTATGAAACTTTCATAATTACTGCAGAGAAAAAGATAAAACAGGATGCAGGAAAAATCAAGTTACAGACTTCAGAATTGTAACAGACCATAAAAAGAAGACAAAATTTACATTTTTATGAGAAACTATAAAGGAACCAGAGGTAGAGTGATATTCTGCAGCTAGAGAAAAAAAGAATCATTTTAGGAGCTATGTTTTCAGGACTGATACTCTTTAGACGATCACTAGCTACACACAATGTAAGACTTTTAGATATGCCTGGCAGCATTAATCAACTAAGAAATACCCTTGCAAGAGCTGAAAGTTTTATAGTCCAATCTTCTTATGATGATATTACGGGACAGATTTAGACCACCTCATTTAGGTACACGGGAAAATAAGGTGATCTGGTTTAATGGAAAGAAGCATATGCCTCTTAAGATTTTGAGATGGGAGATCCTTTTCCTCTATATTATGCAGACAATCTCCTCCTTTCCTTCTACTGACTATAAAGAGCATTTATGGACTTGCTTTTAAGAAGTCTGGTCCCCTCTCCTTCTGAATTTTTTTTGCAAATAAGATACTTACAATGATGAATTAGATCCTCCCCAACTTTTAAATATGAATTTAAATAGCTAAATGTCTATTTTTAAAATACCTAAAGGTTTTCTACCCTGTTACTACACTGTACATGCAAATTAGAAAAAGTTTAGTAAAAAAAGTTTAGCAACAAATACGCAAATTAAAAGAAATGACCACCATCTTACAATCAGTAACTGAGCCATCTTCTGTGCTTCTCTTGTCAATGGATCCACAATAGCAACAACATCATAGAATGGTTCATTCTGTTGGGGATTGACTTTTACTACACTGTTAAAAAAAAAAAAAAGGTATGAGAAAATAAATGACATGAAAGCTCTAAACTCTATTTGTGGAAATAAGAAACATTTTTAGGTATGAATTTGTAATATCAGAGGCACTTTAGATTTTACTGCTCATGAAAATGTTTTCCTTGTTTCAACCAGTAACCATTACTGTTCCCTGTGATGCCCCTAGAAAAGCTAAACATTAACAGCAACTAAAGATTTAGCATTAATCTATGAAGATCCATACCGATTGTTGATTAAATACATGCCCCATAACAAAATTAATCAAATAAAATTTTGCTGTGTGTTTTCCTTTTAAAAATGGCCTTCCGGTCACTGGTCTACAGTTTCCTTTACTGATATCTAGAAGCATTAGATTTGACAAGTGCTGGCAGTGCCACAGTTTAAAAAAAACAGGGGGGGAAACAGCATCTGAAAAGTGTGAAACTTGATAGATCGGATAAGCTTTATGCATTCCAGAAAATAATTTAGTTTGATAAGCTTGATTAGACTAAGTAAAAAAAGACCCTAGTTGAAGTACTCTGGATCTACAGGAAGGAAATGTTAGTAAACATCACTTAAAAACATGCTATAAATACACAAAATGGACTATCTAAACCGGTTTTCCATACAATATATACCTAGAAATGTTGACTACCATTAGAGAGACAAACTCCCTCCAATACGTAGCATAGTACTGGCTCTTATTATTATAGCTTTGGAAAAGGTGTTAGCCATTTAAAACAGACTACTGAATACTGTTATACTGCTATAGTCATTTCACTCTTTGTATCCTCAACAACAGGGCCAGCCCATTGGCACAGCACACTACAGCACCTTTATCAATAAAACTAGCAGGGATTTGAAAAGAGCAAAGCTTTTTTATTTTGATCAGAGTTCTTATATTATGTTATTTTAAAAAATGTACCTGTCTGCTTCAGAAAGCTTACCCAAGCTAAGCTTAAATTAAATTCAGCTACCTCTAGTACCCCATTACGAGGACGGGATTCAAAGATGCATATCTTGGTATTTTAGGTCTCATTCATTATGATGACAACAAAAGATGATGCTTAGGGCACATCCATGTTCTAAATCGAGTATCAGAAACACAAGAGGCAAGTACAAGTACAGAAATAACACTAATGTGAGCTCATCAAGTTTAAGTCTGTTAGATGATGACAGTCTGTTCAGGTTTTCTTAAGGAATTAGGTGCCAGTGAGCCCTATTAATTTACATTTGAATGCAATTTAATTTAATTTTGAATTACATTTGAAAGCTCTGTATTTAGCTGTGGGCAAGAATGACACTACTAAGTCACAAACTTATACAGAAATAAGGATATGCATATTAGTTTTGCCAATACGACTTAAGGTACACAAATAGAAACAGCTGTGCTAGAGTATTCCACATTAATGAAAATTAGTGGGGGGTTCTTTTAGCTCTAATTTGTGAAACTATTTCTAACATTTTAGTAAATGTATGAACTCAAGAGTTTTTTAACTCCAGATCACTAATTGTAATCACCTTTTTTAGCAAAAGGTAAGACTGGAAAATCATTAGGCATTCCTAATTACTTTATTTATGCTAGGGCAGATGAACAGGTTGTTCATATAACCATAGAATCAACAGCTTCTTTTAAAACTGGAATGCTTACTCAAGTTTCTGAAGACATGTTGTCATCAGTACATTTTAAATGCAGTATTATAAACACAATATTATAAATGCAGTATCACGACAGAGAGAACTTACCTATGCTGTTCTTTGAGTAATTCAACATCCTGTCTCATCTCTGTTTTCAGCAAAGATGACAGTAGGGCATCTATTTTCATAACCAAATCACTGCCACTGTAGTAAATCAGGCATATATAATTTGTTTTTCATTAGAAGTACAACATTCACATTTTAATGTACGTCTGTCTGCATAACGGATATTTTAAAAGCCCACATCCCAAACCTGGACTCTCTAAAACGATTGTCACCTCAAGATTTGTAGCTTTGAATAAAATCTTTGGCATGAAAATAACCAAGAACCACTACTGCCTTACAGCTTGTGAACTGTACACTTCTAAAAATCAAGTGATGCAGAACTAGCAGAATTGCCATTAAGCCTCACAGTTTGCATGGTGCAATCTGGTGACATTTATAGCTCTTTATAGAGCATTCTGGTGTCTTTCTTTGAGCAACATGGTCTAGTGGACGACATCCCTGCCCATGATAGAAGCTTGGAACTAGATGATTAAGTTCCCTTCCAACCCAAATCATTCTATGTATTTTATCTCTTACTGGAATTTCCATAGAAACTTTAGTACAAAATCATATAATGGCTTGGGTTGAAAAGGACCTTAAGATCATATAGTTCCAACCCCCTTGCCATGGGCGGGCATGCCTCACCCTAGACCATGTCACCTAAGGCTTTGTCCAATCTGGCCCTGAACACTGCCAGTGATGGAGCATTTACCACTTCTTTGGGAAACCTGTTCCAGGGCCTCACCACCCTCACAGTAAAGAACTTCTTCTGTATACCTAACCTGAACTACCCGTTTTAGTTTGAACCCATTTACCCCTTGTCCTATCACTGCAGCCCCTGATAGTCCTCTTTCAGTGTCACCAAGTCTTTACATTTGATTAAATAGGTTTTGCTTCTCACTAGTTATCTCCTCGATATTTCTATCTCTTCTTGACTTTTTCTGGTAGTTATTCTTTCCGTTGTGCCAGTCCTTCCAAATGCCAGAAATGATATTTAGACACAGAAAGTCAATAGACATTGTAAAAATAATATAATTCTGCTCTTTTATTTGAACACAATCTGCATCCTTAGATGAAAATCTGGCTAGAACTCATCTTTACACTTCTTCAATTAACAGATGTGTGAATGTTGTCTAGCAAGGTGTTCTGTTGTCAGAACACCACACAGCCCATGCTTCTACATGCTCCTTTTCTAATGATTCCCAAAGACAATGCACTTCCTCACTTCAAATACCAATACTCAGATGTTATTGTGGTCTTAAGATGCACTGGATTTTATCAAGCTAAGTATCATTATAATTACTCTTAAGTAAACAAAAGCTAGAAGGTATTGTTTGCAGTTAGCTATACTCGTCTCTTGGTTCTAAGTACAATGAAAGTAGACGAAGTATTTGGAGTAATTTAGCAGATCTGCACCAACGTTATGAAGCAAGTTGGAGAGGACATATATATAATTCTTCAGACACACAATAATTTCCTTTATGCCTTGGCCTCATCACGCATATTACCAATGATAAAAGGGTGCACATCTCTTGAATAACACAAGGTGCCTTTTTATTCTGCTCTGTGCTGTAACAAGGAAATAGCAAAGAGGCTGTCAGCTGCAGGGTAAACGACACATGCAGCTGCAATCCAACGTATACAGTTTATATATACAGTGGAAAACTATATGTTAAATAGCATAATTAGCCAAGCAAAATGATGATACAAAATTCAGCAAATGTGCCATTTCTTCTAGAAAACAGGGCAAGGGTTTGAGTAGGTAAGTATACTAAGCCTGTCAGGGAAATGCTAAAAAGGAAATGAGGGACAGTTAAACTTGTCTACATAGAAGTACTCAGATGCTAAGTAAGAAGACAGCAAACACATAGCATGCAAACAACAAACACTTTAAGTGTTTTTAGAGTGTACATATGTACATATATAGTATGAAGAGTACTGTGACTATATATTTGAACCTTTGTATTTCCCATGCAAAAGGATTATTAATTTGTCATAGGCAATAAACATGGCAGTATATCATAAAGCCTCAAAATGCAAAATAATTTTACCTTTTACTACTGTTTCCCATCTCTTTGACAATAGCTTTAATCTTCTCTGCTGAGGTACTATATGTTATCTTTTCCAACAAATTAAAGTCTTCTGCATAGAATTCATTTTCATCTAAAGGACCCAGTACCTTAGGCAGAGATAAAGTGTTAAGCATAGAATGTCCCAATGACGTTTCTTCTGTAAGCAAAAATATACTAAAATTTTAAATGAATAAACAATATTCAATATGCACCCCCCAGCACTCACCAATATTATTAACTGTATATTACTAAACTGTAGAGGAACTATACAGGATTAGGTTTCTACAGTTGTATAATTACAGTTAATTATCAGTCATAAAGAACAGCTGCAATGGAAATATCTATGATATTCCTCATTATATATACCTATGTAAAGGACTACACTATTTAGAAAAAACAAATCTAAGATAATTTAAACTGAAATTCCAATCACTATCTGCCAACCACTCACTTTAGTTGTTTAATTCAGTGAACACAGTCTTTATTTCTCAAGGTTTCTCAAATGAAGCAGAATGGACAGAAAGTAAGAAAACAGCAAAGGATGAGGAATGTAGGATATGCAGAGACAAGAAACAGAACTACTTTTTTTTTAGTATCTGAAGGAGAAGAAGGTGCCTTGAAGTCCCATAAAACAGCCTTTAGAATGTTGTTTGGATTTTGTACTCATAGTCTACCAGGCTAAAACAACCCAAATCAACTTTAGGAGCCTAAAGGGCTCCCCATATGTAGAATATCATGATGTATATTTGATGTTGAGTCCCCTTCTCACAAATCTCAATTTCTTCCTAGAAATGAGAGGTTATCTAGTAAAATTACACTTTTGAATAATTAATATATTTTAATGATACATGAGATAGAGAAAGCCATAATGTGATTATGAAATACCATGCTACTTTTGTAGAAGTCATAATCAGAAAAAAAAATAATTTGCTCATAAATACAAAACTTCAGTGATGAAATAGCAAGGATAGAAAGGAAGGATATCCCATGTCTTTTTTAAAAGTAATCTTTTAAAGTGAAAACCTACTTCCAGATAGATGAATATATTATCAAATTTATCCAAGTATTTTAAAGAAACTTATTTCCTCCAAACTTAAAATATGACATTATTTGGGGGCTTTTTTTTAGGCATGGAATACACTAACAACCATTTATAAAATAACATTGCACACTGGGGGAGAACAAAAAAGCCAACACAATTCTTCTGTGCTTAATCAACAAAAATGCTTTCTGTGGGTTTGTTAGCGGTATTTCAGTTGTGTCTCAGAAGCCAAACAGGATGCGCAAGAGCAACTAAAATGGCAATTTAAAGAGAGTTTCTAGAAATGACATGCTGAAACAGTACCTCTATTTTTTCTAATGGTAGAGGAATAAATGGAAAATAGAAGAGATAACTCAAAGTAGTTTGTATAAACTGTATTTGTAATATAAGGTATTGACAGTCATTAACAAGTACTAAATAGTGAACCCAGTATTATGGGTTTTAATCACAGTTCAGCAATAGCCACACTGCAGTTAAGGCTATTAGTTTCAGAATATACATACAAGAAACTGAAACAATAAACATCCTGTACCTTTGTTTGAACGCCAAGAATTAAGACTAACAATTTAATACTTATAAACAATTCGGGTTTTTACAGCTTGGAATACTACCCCAGTCAATGTATTTTTTTTTAATTATATAAGCAGTATTTTATCCTATCTCAAATGTGTAAAATATAGGTAATTTCAGGATCAAAAAAATATTATTAAATATCATTTGTAATGCATTAAATATTAATGTATTGAAAGAATTTCGTAGGATTAACTCTTAAGTAGCTGTGGGATTGATGACATATTTGCCTAATAGCTTCAATGGAACAGAGATAATATACAAATTAGGAGTAAAACAAAATAAAAACCAAGGCAAACATTCATACCATTCTCTAACAACACACTGAATAAGTGTGAAATCAATATAATGCATTTTCTTTACCTTGAACCTGAAGTTCCAGGAAGTAAGTTATCTACAGAGAGACTGAGAGATGACTTAATTTCTTTCTTACCCTGCCATTGCTTATAACAGCCATTTGCCCAGGAAGCAGCTTAAGAACCTCCTGGCAGAACATCTGGTGGGTTTTAATTATATCCAGTCCTAAAGTGTTGTACTTCTTCTCAAAAGTATTGACATCCATTCCCTAAAGCAAAGGTAAAGCATGAGATAATTATTGCAGCAAAAACCAGATTTTGTAATAGCTGAGGTAATCAAAATTTTCTTCAAGTTATGTAGTAACATAAAAACCACCTCAGCCACAGTGTTAAGAACATGACTGATGGTGTGGTCATGGTCTCCCAACTAGACAGCATGCAGTTTTTACCTTTGGGAAACTGAATAACCATCAGAGGAAAGGTGAGCCTGAGTTTAAACACTTTTTCTATGATCCAGAACATAGCTGCATGAAAAAGAACTTTTAGGAAAAAGGCATAAAAACATGTGCATAATACTCTAAAAGCCTAACAGTCATTTTATGTGGCCATTGGATACAGCTTTAAACATGGTTTGGGATAGCAAATATCATCCAGTTAGACACGTAACAGATCAACATTCAAAGTGGGAAAAAAAATGCTGGAACTTTACCATGCTTACAATGGCACTGTGCCTCACCTGTCATAATTACCTTGCTGTATTAAATGCTACCAATAGGTTTTTCTTCATTAGAAACACACAGACCAAGCAGATAAGACTAATTCAGATAATACACTGCTTAATTAGCTGCCTTTATGTCATTCAAAATTTATCAGACAATGAAATAAGAGCACGATGCAATTAGTTTTCCAATATGGTGCCAGCAAGTTCTCTTAGTCTTCCAAATTTTCCTATTTAAAAACACTAAAATTTATAGCTCTATCTGAAACAGAAACTGTAGTTTGCAGCTGTTATTTGACAACTCAGCTCTACTTTACATGTGAACTTTCAAACCAATAACGTTTACATTTTAAACCAATGAATTTTCATAGAAACACACGATAAAATATTAGCCAGAAGTATACAATGCTCATTAACCTTAACCTCTTCAGTCTGTGCCTATTACTGCTTGCAACCACAACAGCAAGGTAAACACAGTTACTTCTTAAGTCTTCATTCATGGTAAACATTATACTGTAATTTTAAGTAAGTGAGAGCTTTAAAAAAAAGAAAATCAACAATTAAAAATTCAACTATTTGTCTCAATATTCCAATATCTGTACTCTGTATTCTTCAATACTCTCATATTTTCTTCCTTTACTTTCAAGAAATTCTCTATTCTTCCATCACATAAAAAGTTGTCAAAGACGCAAATCTGCTAGAGCAGAAACTGGAAAAGTGTTACAAACTTCATGGCATTTGGCCAAACACTATTATTCTCAACATCTCCTTACAATAAAATATATGAAGTGAAAAAGAAAACAGTCTAATTAATTTTGCACTCACTGGGACAAGGAATTTAGCAATTTTAGTTCCAGCAGCAAGGGATTTTGCTGTCTCTTCCCTACTGAGTTTACTTATGAAACTTTTTAAGTTGCTGTTGTTCTGGGTTAGAAAAGCTGTCAAAATTCCTCTTGCAACGACTGTGTTATCTTCCCTTATTTTTGACAAAGGGTTGTTCAAAATCCCAACTCGTGTATGACTGCTTGTTTTCTGTGAAGAAAAACACAGAATAATACACAATTTTAAAGTTCCATCTGCTGTTACCTGATGTATTCATATCTATTATAGTTTTGTGAAATGCCCTTAAGTATTTAAATTGTTGCAGCTCTTTGTCTTTAGAAAACAGACATCAATGCCTAATTCAAAACTTTAACTAAGAGTAAAAATGTTATTAGTAAGGATTTACCTGTTCCATAATATGTATTTTAAATGGAAGACACTTTTTAAAAATAGAATATTCTGCATTTTTAACATTTTAAAGACATACACAAGTGTTCATCTGCAAACTTCAGAAATGGCTTTGTAGATGTTTATCAAATAAAGCATAAAATAAATACAAGAAAACTTATCCACTCATCACTTTAATCTTAATAGCAGGCAAATCTAAAGATGCCACTTAAATTTTACTAGAGTAATGATTCTAAGGTATGATCAAATAGCATCAGCAGCTGAAGAAAAGGTGAACGGACACTACTGCAGTAAAGAATACACAAATAAGGAATGTTATCATTGGTATGCAACATATTTAAGCGACAAACTCTAAATTGCAGCTCTTGAGAAAAGTTTTTCAAAAAGTTTGAAAATGTGTAGTTTAAACTGCTCCTGAGAAGTGTGTTATTACTGGAAAGAAAACAGGCAGTGCACTAGGCTACATTACAAGACATACAGGAAACCAATCAAGGGAAGTTCTTATTCTCCTCTACTCAGTACTTGTGAGGCTGCACTTGGACTGCTGCTCCTGGTTTTGGTCCTGCCACTGCAGTAAGGACATTTTGATTCTGGAGAAGCTTCAGAAAGGTCTACACCAGATAGCAGTAATAAGCCCTAAGGGTCTGCGAGGAGATACTGAAAGAAGTCTGGCAAAGAGAAGGCTATGGAGAATGCCAACAATTACTTAATGGTGAGAGAAAAACATGAGAGGGCTGAACTCTTTGCACTAGTGGCAAAGAGTATAACAAGGGTCATAAATTTTGGCTTGACAGGAAAAACTACACTAGGAAGGCACTGCAACACCAGAGCAAATTGTCAAGTGAGGCAATGGAGTTGCCACCATGGAGATTTTCAGGACTTCTTCAGGCAAACCTACAGCTGACCTGATCTGACGTTGGCAATAATCCCAGTTGGAGTGGGAGGCCGAACCAGATGCCTCCAGAGGTCTCCTCCAGCTAAGACATCTCCAGTTTTTACAAATAAAGTAAAAATACATTAGTAGTTTTTGAAATATTATGTATTAACTGGAATAGTTAAAAGTCAGTTCCTTTCAGCCACTTCCCCTCCCAGATTCTTTCATCTTTTTCTTCAAATGCCAATGGCAGTCATGTGCAAGATGTGTCAGTGCCAGTTCTGTACCTACCAGAAATTCTACTAGACCCTGATCTGACAAACTAGAGGGCCTGGAAAGGAGCAGAGAACCTCCATGCAAAGCAATGAACTTAAAAAAAAACCTGTGTTTTTTTTGTCTTTCTGTCATGAAACTTGGTAATCACTAGACCAAGTAGTTTACATGAGGTTAATCTAAATCAAATTTATCAATGAGAATTAAGATAACCAGTTAAACTGCCATTTCATAGAAGATCCAACAAGCCTTGGTTTTTTCTAATGTTTTTCCTAGATTCTCCTTACTAACATGTGGGAGCTTGCCCAGACAGCTCTCACTTCCTAGTTGGGACCTACGGCATATTTTCCCTGCTGAAGGGGTGAAAAAATTAAACTAGAGAGGGAATACAACTGTCAAGCTCAGGTCACAGATCTAGCAATCAGATAAATGAAATGCTTTTCAGTAACAAGGACTTGTACTGCATATTCCTCTTTGCAGTTTTTTAAGCTTATTTTTAAAGACATATTTGGTATCACTCCCTCCCGGTAGCATACCCATTTTATAATTCCCTTAGGGTGGTTCCTGTTTCGTTCCTGATTAGTTAAATCTAGATGTTTTCCCAGTTTTAGTCTAATTACTCTTAACTTCCCCAGAACTGAGATTGTTTTTTTTGGTCATTTATATTTACATGACATTTGCTTGTATACTCTAAGTCCTATTATTAACACTGAGGAACCTAATCAAACTCTTAAATGTGGATAACCCTCCTAGCACATAAAAATACAAATTAAAAAAATTAATCTGTCTCAGAAGCATATGAACAGGATGCGAAAAAAAAGTTACTTCACAGCCACAGCTATGACATGCAATACAGAAGAACACTGCATAATGGTTCATATTATCCTAACTTCCCTGGCCCAGGTAACACACTAGGTTACCTCATGGGAGAAAGTCTGTAATTGGGAAGAAATGAGAATCCATAAACTAAATAATCATTTACAGGCCTGTAAGATGCCAGTGTTGCAGGAGAGTAGAGCAAAATGAAAGCACAGTCCTGTAAGTCTGCATCTGACCCACAAAAATAATTCTTATTACACTTTTGTTTAAGAGTGTAATTTTTGAATGTCCACAGTGCTGTTAAGAACATATTTGTAATTATTATCTTTACTGCTAGAAACTCACCAGGCTTTTCAAGGCATTAGAAAGCAGTTGTCTCCCAGCTGGCTTATCAAAATCAGCAGCAATCCAGATAGTAACAGCATATAATGCATCTTCATCTGAAAATTAAAGATAATCGTGCTTTACATTCTGGAGAATCTTCTCATGAATAACAGATTAGTTTTCTTTGAGATTTTGAAGTTCATGTGTACATTTTCTGACTTCAACTGTAAGACCAATCTTTGCCACATTAGAATCTTTTACCCTCTGAACTGAAATAAAATCCTTAGGAGGTAATTTATCATGCTAATATCAGAGAGTGACTAAAATAGTCAATCTGTTGTTGTAACACTGAAACAAGATGGCCCTAAATTGTAAACTAGCTCCAATTAACAAGACCTGCTTTATCCCAGGCTTCTTTTGAAGATTTGCTGGAGGCTGGTCATACAGCCAGAAATGAAAATAATTAAAATGAGTTAAGGCCATTCACTTTCCCCATCAGCAAAGGAAGAGTCCTTTAACCAAAGGCAGGACAAAATTTACAATTTCTGGACACGAACAGGAATATACTAAACACAGTCAAAAAAGTAAACTATTGTATAGATTTCTATGCAGAAAATCCCCCTTTTTCTCGGTCTATAGCATCTTGATCTTTATTCATCATAGAAGGGCAATGGTACATGAAAGGTTCTGCAAAATTTTCTGTAGAATATCAGTCTATTCAGGTCTATGATATATCCCCTAAAAGGTAATATGTATCAACACGAATTTTGGAGTGTTCTGCTGAGATTCTAGGAAGAGATTATTATTGAGTGTTGCTGTGGTAGAGAAAAACACTGAAGACAGATTTGAAATGGAGACTCCAGTTTAAAAGTTAGGGGTTTTACACAAGAGATTCAAATCTTAGAAATGAACCTACAGATTGAAAGCCAGTTATCATATGACAACTAGCTGGGATGTCCTTGTGGTTATAGACAGAGAATCAAATAGAGTCAAGTAATTTTATCCTTAAGAAAAACAAGTGAACAGCATTTCTTTCTGATAATGGAGTAAGTAAAGATTATTAATACTGCATAAATAAATACTTCAAATAAGGCATGAAATCAACTATCCCTTAAGTTGCAGAAATGCCCATTTTTGATACAGATATTATAAAGACTATACATTCATCACTTGATAATGCTGCGACCAAGAGTCACTTAAAAACTGAATGTATTCTCTTTAACATCCTCAAGTAAAACCATGTTAGTATGAAAATTGCAAAGTCTTACAAAGCTTTTTAACTTCAAATCTGTAAAACAAAAAACAACTAGCCACATCATCCATCCCATTTTGAAACCACAAAATCTAGAATAACTACCCTGTTAATTACAATTTATGTTAATAATATTAGGATATGATCTGGTTCTTGAAAGAAAATACTGGGATATCAGGAAATTTATTTATTTACATGTGATCCTTGGGGTACTTACTTACTTGGGATATTTTAGTGGCAAATTACAATGATTTGTAATGCCCACATATATGTATAAATATAACACCCATATAGAAAATTAATATACCAGTTTTTGTTAAATACTTCATGCTGTCTGAAATCACAGCACTTTTATCTTGTGAGTCCAAAAAGGAGAAAGTAGAGAAGTCGTCCACATCAAACGGAACTGAAAAATGTAAAATACAATATGTTAGACTTAGAAAAAGGAAAACCATAACAATGGCTAATCAGAGAAAAGTAGTTACCAGATGTGGATCTGAAATGTATGTATCTTTTCTCTGCTCCAAGAACACTGGGGTTTATACGGGAAACTACATTGTGCTGATCCATAAGAAAATCCATTGCATTCATATGATCATTTAACAAACCCTGTCATAAGAGAGAAAAATTAAATCTTTTAGCTTCAAGACCAGAAAGACCAAGTATGTGTACAATCTTTCAACTGAGATTAAAGCTTCTACATGCACCAAGTTACGGAAAAAGTCAAAAATATATACATATCATACATATAATATTTCAAAATAGCAGATAGATATTTTTCGGTGAACAACTTCAATACATAGTCAGGCTCTGGTTGAAAAAATTCTATATGATTACTACATGCTTAGTCGATCCTTCATTCTTGTATAATCTAAATACACTCATTCAAAACCATGACTAAAAATTAATGTAACAATGTAATTTCATTTGTGATATTAATTTCAAGCCATCTCATTGTAAAAAGCTAATATATAAATATGGCTCAACTGACTTACTTTCAAAGATTTCATCTTGCATTATTCAGAAATGTTAAACATACCATGGACACTGCCCTCTGAAAGATTCCAGTGGCATCAATAATCCTCTGGACAATAACGGTCTCTAACTCTGCAGCATCCATCTCTTCTCTGTTAAAGGGCACGCCATTAAACAGAGCTTGAGGCAATGGACCCAGGCCACTCTTTTTATAAAAAGTTGCTCCTGCCTGATCAGATCAGAAATATCACAGGGTTAAATAAGACCGTGGCTGACTTAAGGCTATTTTCATTTTTTTGCTAAGGAGATCATGAACTCTAATCTCCAAGCACTATTCACTGTCACAACTTCTCATAAGTAGCAGGGACAAAACAGGAAATGTTTGGAAACCAAACAGGGACTTATTTCTCAAATAGAATGGCAAAAGAAAGTATAGATCGATATATGATGTTTTGAAACTTTGGTTTTATCTTCTTGGTGAGAATCTTATTTTGATTAATATTCTTAGCAAAAACTATTAAGTAAATAACATTGGAGAAAGACCTTAAGAAAGTCAGTTTCAGATGAATAAACCAAGACCTTTTCCCGTAAGAAAGCGCGCCCCCCACCCCCCCAACTTAAAAGGCTTTTATGTTCAGAAGCAAAGCCTTATTTGATAAGAAAACATAACAAGCCGATTTTTCCTCAGAGAAAATTCAGTTAGACAAACAAATACAAATATATTGTAAGTAATTCCCACTTCCTATTCCTTCATCCTTCATGGTATTTTTAGGTATGTATTTCAGCAGAAAATTGCCCACATAATCAATTATAGATAAAAATGTCTTCTCTACAGCCTTTAAATGAAAATCCATAGCTGTTTTTCCCAAGAGAAATTATAACCAGAAAGTGTAATTAAAGGAAACAATTATTTGCCTAGAAGACCAGGCTTCAGCTCCTTGTCCAGAAGACACAGGTAAAACTTCTGAAGTCCAGGACAGGCCCCTTGACATGCTTATTAGAAAAAGCCTTATGGTCCTGAATGCAGCAGGCAGAGTAGTAATGCAGAAACCTTTTCAACAGTTCCACTAATCACCGAATGAAAATGGCTGAAGAAAATTTTTGACTCAAAGATACTGTATATACTTGCTTTAATATTTAGCAATCTTTCAGCTTGACAAATACTCAAATACTTGATATACAAATACTTGATTGTGTACTGCAGGATTTCTTACCACCCCTCCCAACATACCTTTCTCCCTTCATCATATTCAGAATGAATATTTAGGATGCTCTGAACATCAGCATGTGGGTATTCTCTCCTAAGAACATCTTTCACGTGATTTACTGTTAGAACATTTCCACCTTGCACTTCATGGTACATCTGTAAGAATTGTAACAGAAATAATGTGAAAAATTGTCAATCATAATATAACTAAATTAATAAAAATAAAAAACCATCTTTTTATAGTGCTCTAATAAATTTTATATCAGTATACTTTTATATTGGTTTTATTGCTATATTGCATTTTTTTTATACTGCTTTAGTAATTATCACCATCACACATATGCACAATTTTCCATCAGAGCACTATTCTGATTAATCTATTATTATACTTTTAGTCTAAATCTGAAGTGGCAAAGGAAATACATTTATGTGAGCTGAACGCAAAAGGTTATTTCTTCTCCACTGATTAGAGAAGGAATCTAAATTCCTACTATAAACTACCTAACCGTGAGTAGTTACCTGAAACTATATGGGATGAATCCAAGCCTGAATTAGTGAGTAATACTTTTTCCCTATGGTGACAATTTTTCCTTACCATTCCTATTTTATTCCATAGCATAAAATTTTATTACTTTCATCAAACTTACAAAAGAAATCTGAAGTGAAAATTTTTCAATCTATTTCTTTTCAAATGAGGAATAATACATTTCTCTCTACAGCTCTGAACATCTCAACCCTGTATTTTATTGATTCCATTTTTGCTAACTTAAAATTATATTTATCATTCCCTCCTCTTTATGTTATGAAGCAAAGTAAACACAAGAACACAACATTTAAAAAAGCATTCTGTAAATTGATGTTTTGTCATCTGGTCATGGATAATAGTCACACATGTGTATCAGCTCTCTAACACTTGTAGATTTCTATTTCTCTTCCAAGGCACTCCTAGTTATCTCAATTACTTTCATCTTAAGCTCTCTGCATTTGTCCATGACATTAGTTTCCAGGCATTCTGAACAGAAATGATAGAAAAAAAAGAAAAAAAATCATGTATTAATACAATATTCTCTGACACAATTTTGCCTGTAGAGTTTTCAATTAGACTGCTCACTTGATTTCCCTGCATTCATCTCCCATTCATCTCTGAAATACCTGTCTTTACACAAACCTGCATCCTCTCACACACAAAACCAGTCTCAATTATTAAGCTGCAAGCCTGGAATATTTCTGTGTTTTCTACACCCATGAAAAGCTCAAACATGAGCAAGAAAGAACTTATCTTGTTCTGCTCACCTTCTAAACTACAAAACAACCAAGGGTTTTTCAAAGCTTATAGGATTGCCAAAGTGATATTAAAATCCCTGTACTACAAGAGATACAGAAGACCAAGACAACCACATCATGTTAACACAAATAATACAGAACAATTTTTCACAAGAAAATACTGAAAGGTGTAAGGCATGCATCTGCTTTTCTAGATTCTTGAAAAAAGCCTGTAGACAGGTAAAATGACAAGAGCAAGTCATCCTGGATCCTGGATGAGGAAGAATTTCTGCAATTCCTTCTACAGCCTATCAATGCTATACACGTTTTTAATATTTTACTTCCGTGTACAGCAAATGCAAACTTACCAAGTTGTTATAAGGTAACAAAATCCTAACTATATAGAAAGGTGTCCTGGGTTCAGCAGTAGCAGTCATGTTTCTCCTTCTTGGTAGCTGGTGCAGTGCTGTGTTTTCACTTCCAGCCTGGGAACAGTTCTGGTGATACTGATGTTTTTGGTTGTTGCTAAGTGATGTTTACCCTGACCAAGGACTTTGTGAGGCTCATGCTCTGCCAGGGAGGAGGGGAAGATGTGAGGAAGCAGAGACAGGGCACCTGACCCAGGCTAGCCAAAGAGGTATTCCATAGCACAGCATGTCATGCCCAGGGTGGGGGGTAACTGGGAGTTACCCAGAAGGACACGGGCTTCCGGGTGGGACTCGTTTCTTGGCCGGTGGTATTGTATTCTCTTCCCTTGTTATTTTCTCTTATCATTGTTGTAGATAGTAGCGGTGGTGATTTGTGTTGTACATTGGTTGCTGGACTGTTCTTGTCTCAACCCATGGGAGTTGCACTCTTTCGATCCTCCTCCCCATTCCTCTGGGAGCGGGGAAGGAGAGAGCCCTGGGGAGGGGGGGGGCCTCGACTGCTCTCAGCCCGGCACCACTCACTGGGAGTGAGTGAACAAGCTGTCTGGTTAGGGTTAAAACCACGACAAAAGGAAATAAAAGGAATGAGTAAAAGGTGATTTCTTGTGAAAGTACTCACGCTAAATATCGAGGTAAAGGCTTGAGAGGTGTCAGATTCCTCCATAATGTAATTAAAAGCTCTCCAAAGAGCTATTCCAGCATCTTCATTTCCATCAATTTCTTCTTTTGTATTTAAAATTAAAACAAATCCAATTCTATTAAAAAAAAAAAAAAGTTCACACATTTTAAAACAATATCAGTTTCTGTTGTAGGTTCAGCAGTAGCAGTCATTTTTCCCCTTCTTGGTAGCTGGTGCAGTGCAGTGTTTTGACTTTCGGCCTGGGAACAGAGCTGATAGCGATGTTTTGGTTTGGCCAAGGACTTTGTGAGCCTCGTGCTCTGCCAGGGAGGAGGGGAAGTTGGGAAGAAGCAGAGACAGGACACCTGACCCAAACTGACCAAAGAGGTATTCCATACCACAGCACGTCATGCCCAGGATGTAACTGGGAGTTAGCCGGAAGGGCTGGGAGACTGCAGGGTTGGAGGAGGTATGGGCCGGTGCTTGGTCGGGCTGGGGGGCGAGTTATCGGTTGGCTGGTGGTGAGGTGTTGTATTCTCTTCCCTTGTTATTTACTTTATCATTGTTATTATTGGTGGTAGCAGTAGTGATTTGTGTTATACCTTAGTTACTAAACTGTTCTTATCTCTCAACCCTGGGAGTTGCATTCTTTTCTATTCTCCTCTCCGTCCCTCTGGGAGTAGGGGGAGGGAAAGAAGGGGGGGAGTGAGTGAACGAGTTACCTGACTGCTTTTAAACCACAACAGTTTCACACACATTCTAATACTGACAATAGAAGAATAAGACATTTGCTGTCAAGTAATCTGTCCAGTATGTAGGGATGAAGAAAACACCTGTACTTAGATGGTGGTGCCATGACTGTCTGCAGTGACACTGATGATACCAGCTATGCAGTCTGCATCAGGTCTCCCAGATTATGCTTAGGTTATCAACTATGTACTGATTTTGGATGTCTTTTCTCTCATTTAAAGCTGACCGTAATTAAGATTTCTATAAATCACTAGGATTTACTCACAGCCCTTTCTTTCCTTACCTGTCTGAAGGTTATGACATTCTTTACATTCCTGCCATCATCTCTTGCACGCTTAAGCCTTTGTTTTAGTCTGGCCACTGTCTGTGTTTTATTTTTCCTGAAATGAGTGTCCTGAGTAGCTACATGTAGACATGCAGGGGTCTTGATCTCCTGCCATCAATACATGCCATTTTTACTAGCCCTTCTTTTGCCTTTTCTACCCTCTGGGTTTTCCCCTACGCTCAAACTGCCATTAATTTCCCATTCACACCAATTTTAATACATCTACTGCAGTGTTCAAGGCCAGATTCAAGGCCAACCCCAAGAATGGGGCTTTGAGCAATCTGGTCTAGTGGAAGGTGTCACTACCCATGGCAGGAGGGCTGGAACTAGATGATCTTTAAGGTCCCTTCCAACCCAAACCATTCTATGATTCTATGATATAATCAGTTGTGCATCAGATCAAAGGAGAGAGGGAAGTAAGAAATACAGCAAGTTTTCTAAAAAGATATTAAGTAATAACGAATGCGTAAAGAAGTTCTACAATTAATTGCTTCTCCCATTTTTTACAGCTATTATTATTGCAAATTACTTGTCCTGAAGTTGTGTGTCATCTGGGTGCCGTAGGAATAGTCAGCAAAGCAAAATATTACACGAAACTATAGACTCCATGGCTTGTCCACATCTTGAATACTGTGTACATTGCGGTTGCTCTAATTTCGGAGAAGTCAGACCTTTAGTCTGATCCAGTTTGGCTTATCTTATGCTGTCATTTATTAGAAAAGGCAAATTAGGTTCTAGGCTATATTCTCCTCAAGGACTGAAGTAGTATTGTCTCACAGGTATTAACAACAGTGATAAAATGCACAGATTAATATCTGTCCTTCACTACTTTTTTTGTCATTAAAAAATATAACATGAAGAAAAAATAAATGATGATCGGAACTAGCATAGTTTTAAAGGAAATTAAAACCCTGTAACTTACTGAGGAAATAAAAAGCTGTTTCACAGGAAGATTTTAAATATTTAACATGGAATTAATCTTGCTGAACCTTAGATCTACTTTTGATGCCCTTCTTTCATTAGCTGTGTAAATAAAGAGGCACTTCCAAGAAAAGTTCATTTTTTCTTAAAGTACGCATCTCAGATCAACCATGTTCTTCCTCATAAGTCTTTCTCTCTCTCTCTCTCTCAAATGATGACCAGTTCAGCCTCAGGCAACTGATTTTCAGAAATTCAAAACTTGCTTTGTTTTTTAAGTATTTATATAAAACAAAACCAGGTAAAACAACTTCAGTTGAAAGAGCTAAATTCAAAATGCCCTTGAATCATGTTTTACTTACAGAACACTTTGCTTAAAATTCATTTTCACATGGGCATCCAGTGGGAGTATTCGACAAGGTAACTTTTTACCAGACTGCTGCAGCTCATTTTCCACACACTCAGGTATGCTATCCCTTGCAACCTATTTTCTTAAGAATACTTAATACCCAGGTAAGCTTAATACAAGTGGGTAACCAGTATGTCTGACTAGAATGCTGTTGCATTGGCCTTCATTTGAATTCATACCTTTGCCCAGCAGAACACAAGATGAAGAAGAAAAAAAGGAAATCAAACATCTTTTAAGACTTCTCTCCAAGCTTTTCAGTCTTCCTTACCTAAGTGGCACATTATGATGAAAGAATAATTCTGCCAGTTTCATATAATCCCCTGTATCTTCTTGGACAGGATCAATAAAAAGCACCTAATAAGAGAAAACATAATACACAGACAATACTTGTTCTTGATGTCGGGTTTGGGGTTTTTTTTCAGACATAAAATCTGAGATTTCCAAACCAGAAATTTCCAAAGAAGCTTTGTGCCTCAACTATTTTCAGTTTCCTAGGGCATTCCTTGTAAGAAAACATTAAGAGTATAATGAAAATAACTTCAGAATTAATGAATCTGGACCAAAGACTGAAAACAGGCTTTAACCATTTATTGACATTCAAACCAAGTGATATCACTACTCCTTTTAAAAAGACTCCATGCCAATACTTTGCTTTTATTAAGGGACTTGATATTTAATTAAAAAAGATCCAATGTTGGTTTTCGCATTACTTCTTTCAACTAACTCTTACACAGTGAAAACCAGACTAAAATAAACAGAATATATTGACTTAAAACTTTCTAATTAAGAAGTGGAGCACTGGGAAAGAATTCCCCCCCCCCCGTCTCACATAATTGGGATCTGTCTGCATAGGTAGATTATCCTTATGCAGATTTAATTATGACAACAATACCGTATTTGTTCAGCTTTGTGCTGCAACTCCCCTCAGAATTGATAATTTTGCTAAAGTAGCTGAAATGCAGCAGAATAATTTTAAAAAGTTTGAACACTCCCTCCCCCCCCAATTATAATTAAATGATACATTGTAGATTTCTATACTCTAGCTGTTATATTCAACAATATTTAACTTTGAATGCAACCTACTTCATATTAGACGTACACTTCACTATAAACATGCATTTCTTTATTACACATTGCTTGTACTATGGTTGTCTTTTTATATACTGAGCTTCATGTCACTTGGCATGACTACATCAATGGCCAAGGGAAAAACTATGGATGTTATCTCTCTGGACTTCTGCAGGGCCTTTGACACAGTCCCCCACAACATCCTTCTCTCTTAAGTTGCTGAGAGATGGATTTGATGGATGGACTATTTGATGGGTAAGGAATTGGCTGTATGGTCGCATTCAGAGAGTAGTGGTTAACAGGTCGATGTCTGAATGAAGATCAGTGGTGTCGTGTCCTTCAGGGGTCCATGCTGGGAAAAGGATTGCTTAACATATTCATCAATGACACAGACAGTGGGATCAAGTGTACCCTCAGCAAGTGTATGGATGACACCAAGGTGAGTGATGTAGTTGATATCCCTCAGGGATGTGTTGCCATTCAGAGAGACCTGGACAAGCCTGAGAAGTGGGCCCATGGGAACCTCATGGGGTTCAACTAGGTCAGGTGCAAGGTCCTGCACCTGGGTCTGGGCAACCCTTGGTATAAATACAGGCTGGGGAATGAAGAGACTGAGAGCAGCCTTGAGGAGAAGGACTTAAGGGTGCTGGTGGATGAAAAGCTGGATAAAAAGCTGGACAAAAAGCTGGAGGTGAACTGGCAGTGTGTGCTCGCAGCCCAGAAAACCAATTGTACCAACCAACTGACTCACCAAAAGAAACAGGGGGGTTGGAACTAGATGATCTTTAAGGTCCCTTCCAACCCAAGCCATTCTATGATTCTGACAATTATCTTTTGTTATTTAAATTCCAATTTAAATCAGCAATAGATGTTTCCTTAGCCTACTAAGTGATACAGAATACTATGTACAGAAGGAACATTAGGCTACAAGATATTCAGAATTAGTATGCTTTATACCTTAAATCTTTTTGTACCGCGTTTTACCATCTTTAAAACAAGGGCAGTTATCATTGTCTTCTCTAAGTAGTGTACTATGAAGAAAATTGATAGTAAGAAAAGCTCAAAACAAAACTGTGCCCAAGTCCACTTCTGGAAATCAGACTAATAATCAGATATGACTCACTACACAAAAAGATTTCCATTGCTATTAGCAGACCCACATAGAAAACATGAAATGCTAACCTTCACAATGAATAAAGCATGTGTATTTTTTCAATAAATTGCCTGTTCAAGTATTGGTACTTAAACTATGCAGAAAAATTGAGCTCTCCAAACTTACCAAATTATATAAATTGCGTCTGATCTGCTGTATAACTCCAGGAAATGCAGGTTTTAGCAGTTCCTGATAGCTTGCAGGCCATGTGCTATAGCTGTAGTCCTGTTCTATGTTATTAATCCACTAAAACAAACAAAGGCAGCCACTTAAAAAACATATCGGGATGTGAATAAAACAGTTTTTTCAAGTATAGAAACTACTTTCACAATACAAAGGTCATAATAACATATCACAGAGATATGTGTAACACAGTATAACCATCTTTGTAAGACAGTATGTATCTATAATCGACACCAGCAGCACTTTAGATATATCAAAAGAACTAATGAATATATGGCTAATTTGATCCTTTATTGTTTTCTGTGCAAGCCTTGAGAAACAGAAGAGTGAATATATGCTTCTTTCAAGTGAAGAAAATTAGTACTTGAGTGCTTTTTTCCACTGGCATATAACCTTTGTAATGAAAACTGTATACATTTTGAAGCAGAGTCATTGGACAATTAGAAAAAAACATTTAAGTTGTCCACAATTTATCATAATTATCAAATTATCCACTTATGAGAAACATGCATGGTACAAGGATACTATGTAGGTAGATTAATTGCTGTAGAATCAAATTCTATAGCTGTGAGTGTGCAAGTACTTAGATACATTTCTCTTCTCATTTAAATATCCTACATCTTAAAATTTTAATAAGGTATGGGCTAGAGAAAATTACTCCTAAAATATATTAAAGAGCTATCACCCTCTAAAATATTTTAAACTACTTATTCATATATGGGTTTATGCCTAGTATTTCAATTACACTGCAAAAAAGACAGACTCTCTCATACACAACATTATCAAATATGTAATATTTAAACAAGTAATTGTTAAATTACTTACTATTATTGAAGAGTGACAAATATCTAGTGCATAAGTGTCATCTGTAGGATGTATATGCAACCTCATGAATCTACTCAAGGTCTCCTCTTTTATTCCAAGTTCATGAAGTCCATGCATCACTTTTCCTTCCAGTTTAAGAGTCTCTAGGATACTTTTTCAGGAAGATAAAATGCTTAATATGTCTACACAGAACTCTTGTCATGACATCAAAATAAAAAAAAATACTTCAAAGTCTATTAATGTGAGGATTATTTTCAGCACTGAAAATAATTTTTATATTCTCTTGCAGTCAGATGTTTAAAACAAAATCAGTTAATAATTCTGCATGTCTCCAACTTATTTCAAAACAGAATTATAACAGATTATACAACTCTTGTTCATTCACGTTTATTTTATATGATGGAATGTCATTGATCTTTAGTAAGATGTAGCAGGACAGCAGAGTGAAAGGTTGCTCGCTGCATTGTTCTGGCTAAGGCAGAAACCCAAGCAGGGGTACCCAAAGAGGAAGCTTTGCATGTGTGTAGAGAAGCAGGCAGCAAGTGATGGCAACAAAGATGAGCAGCGAGTCTGCATCATGGCAGAACCCTGAAAACAGCACAAAGGAAACATAGCTCCAGCTCCAGAAGAAGTCTCTTCCCAAGAAGACACAACAGATTCTGGAACATTTGTGGCATCCTGAAAATTCAATGTGAGAATGGAAACAAACCTGAAGTACTCAATAGCAGAACACAGCAGCCAAGATTTTACAAATGCCTTTATTTCTATCCTGCTTCATTTTGAGTTTTCTCTATTCTGAAAGGTTTCTTCTAAAAATATGCTGAAATTAAACCTAGCACTATCATTAAAAAGCACTGTTAATATATGCATTGTTACTAAAAATGATGCAAGTAATTCCATCTCAAAACTCTGGCTGAGAAAAAAACTAAGTAAAAATTGCACATATAAATGCTAAAACCAAGAAAGTTTTATGAAAACTCCATGAAAGAAAAAAGACGACGAATTTGTGTTAAAAAGATAAAGAATTGTAGATTTTGACAGTTCATAGTAACATAAAAAAAACCCTTCAGTTTTAGCATCAGTAGATTTATTTACAGTTGGCAGGTCTCCAAACATGATTTTAAAGTAGTCAAGTCTATCATGCTGTTGTCAACATACAGAATGCTAGGGAAAATGTTTACAGTTTATGAATGCTTTCATAGAAGAGGCAAGCCACACCCAAAACACTTGTACTATAATTAGAGAACAAGAAACATTTATTTGTACAAAAAAGCATGTTAGTTCTGCATTAATAGAATTTACTGGTGGCAAGACAAAGACTGAAATTATGGAATAATAGAATAGCCTGGGTTGGAATCACAGAATCCTAAGGGTTGGAAGGGACCTCAAAAGATCATCTAGTCCAACCCTCCTGCAAGAGCAGGGTAACCTAGAGTACATCACACAGGAACTTATCCAGGCGGGCCTTGAATATCTCCAACACAGGAGACTCCACAACACCCCTGGGCAACCTGTTCCAGTGATCCGACACTCTCACAGTAAAGAAATTTTTCCTGATGTTCACATGAAACCTCCTATGCTCCAGTTTACACCCACTGCCCCTTGTCCTATCACTGGACATCACTGAAAAAAACCTAGCTCCATCATCCCGACACTCACCCTTTACATATTTGTAAACATTGATGAGGTCACCCCTCAGTCTCCTCTTCTCCAAGCTCAAGAATCCCAGCTCCCTCAGCCTCTCCTCATTAAGAGAGATGTTCCATTCCCTTAATCATCTTTGTAGCTCTGTGCTGGACTCTTTCAAGCAATTCCCTGTCCTTGAACTGTGGGGCCCAGAACTGGACACAATAATCCAGATGCGGCCTCACCAAGGCAGAGTAGAGGGGGAGGAGAACTTCTCTTGACCTACTAACCACACCCTTTCTAATGCACCCTAGGATGCCATTGGCCTTCTTGGTCACAAGGGCACATTGCTGGCTCATGGTCATCCTCCTATCCACCAGGACCCCCAGGTCCCTTTCCCCTTCACTACTGTCCAGCAGGTCAGCCCCCAACCTGTACTGGTACATGGGGTTGTTCTTCCCCAGATGCAAGACTCTACACTTGCCCTTGTTGAATTTCATCAAGTTCCTCTCCGCCCAACTCTCCAGCCTGTCCAGGTCTTGCTGAATGGCAACACAGCCCTCTGGTGTGTCAGCCACTCCTCCCAGTTCAGTATCATCAGCAAACTTGCTGAGGGTACATTCAGTTCCCTCATCCAGGTCGTTGATGAAAATATTAAACAGCACTGGTCCCAGCACCGACCCCTGAGGGACTCCGCTAGTCACAGACCTCCAGCTATATTCTGCCCCATTGACCACAACTCTCTGCCTTCTTCCTTCCAACCGGTTCTTGATCCACCTCACTACCTGATCATCAAGCCCATGCTTCCTTAGCTTATCTATGAGGATGCTGTGGGAGACAGTATCAAATGCCTTACTGAAATCAAGAAAAAACACATCTACCGCTCTACCATCATCCAGCCACCTAGTTACTTGCTCATAGAAGGCTATAAGGTTGGTCAAACATGACTTCCCCTTGGTAAAGCCATGTTGGCTGCTCTTAATGACCCCCTCATCCTTGATATGTCTAGAGATGGTGTCAAGAATAAGTTGTTCCATCACCTTTCCAGGGATGGAGGTAAGGCTGACCGGTCTATAATTACCCGGGTCCTCCTTCTTGCCCTTCTTATAGACCGGCGTGACATTTGCCATCCTCCAATCCTCAGGCACCTCACCTGTTTCCCACGACTTACCAAAGATGATGGAGAGTGGCTCAGCAATGACCTCCGCCAGCTCCCTCAGCACCCACGGTGTATTCCATCCGGACCCATCGATTTATAGATGTCCAGATTACTTAACTGATCCCTAACCCAATCCTCATCTACCAAAGCAAACTCCTCCTTTATCCTGACTCCTTCCGGGGCTATAGGAATCTGGGTCCCCTGGGGAGAGTCTGCAGGAGTAAAGACAGAGGCAAAGAAGGCATTCAACACCTCTGCCTTCTTTATATCCTCTGTCTCCAGGGCACCCACCTCATTCAGCAGTGGGCCTATACTGCTTCTTATGTTAGTTTTATTCGCTATGTATTTGAAGAAGCCCTTTCTATTGTCCTTGACCCGACTTGCCAGATTAAATTCCAAGGAGGCCTTAGCTGTCCTAATTGCTTCCCTACATCCTCTAACAGCTGTCCTATATTCCTCCCAAGTGGCCAGCCCCTCCTTCCATACTCCATAGATTCTCTTTTTCCATGAGTTTGCCCAGCAGTTCCTTGTTTAACCATGCTGGTCTCCTGGCTCCCCTACTTGACTTTCTACTCACTGGGACACTCTGATCCTGAGCTTTGAAGAATTGGTCCTTGAATGCTGACCAACTATCTTGAGCCCCTTTACCACCTAGTACCCTTTGCCATGATAGTTCCCTTAGCAATTGATTGAAGAGGCCAAAGTTTGCCCTTCGGAAATCCAGAAATGTGGCCTTGCTAGGTATTCTATTCCTCCCACACAAGATCCTAAACTCCACCATCTCATGGTCACTGCAGCCCAGGCTGCCATTGACTGTCACTACTTCAACCAGACCCTCCTTGTTGGTGAGTACCAGATCCAGCAGCGCTCCTCTCCTAGTTGGTTTGTCCACCATTTGCATTAAGAAGTTATCATCAATGCACTGGAGGAACCTCCTAGACTGTGAATGACTGGCTGCGTAAGTCTTCCAGCAAATATCGGGGTAGTTAAAATCCCCCATAAGGACCAAGGCATGTAGTCGTGAGGCTGCTTTCAATTGCCTGTAGAAAGCCTCATCAACTCCTTTGTCCTGATCAGGAGGTCTGTAATAGACCCCCACAACTGTGCCAACTGTACCAGCCTGTCCCTTAATTCACACCCACAGACTTTCCACTTGGTCCTCGTCTGCCCCTGGACAGAACTCAATACATTCTAGTCGCTCTTTCACATAAAGAGCAACTCCACCACCTCGCTTTGCTGATCTATCTTTCCTAAAAAGGACATAGCCATCCATAACCACATTCCAGTCATGTGAGCTGTCCCACCATGTAATTGCCACCAGGTCATAACCTTTAGACTGTACACAGACTTCTAACTCCTCCTGTTTATTCCCCATGCTCCATGCATTGGTGTACAGGCATTTCAGGGAGTGAGCTGAGCACGCTAGTGGCACCCTTGGAAGGCAGGAGGCCTTCTGGTCTTCATTCATACTAGAACATTGCCCCACTAGTTCAAACCCAGCTACAACCCACTTGCACTTCGAATCTAACCTAGAGCTCTGTGAGTGAGCACTACTAACTCTTGCCCAGGTACCCTTTTTCCCCTGCAGGACAGGGTTTGAACAACTACCCTTTCCCTCAAATGAAACAATAGATTGAGAGTTCTCCCTAGTCTGCCATTCTTCAAGCCCTAGCATGTTTCTCTTGGGCTTGTCCCCAACAGGCCCAGTTATCTCCCCTTCCCCCTTCCTACCTAAGTTTAAAGCCCTGTCAATGAGCCCTGCTAACTCCTGCCCCAGAAACCTTCTCCCCATCTGGGACTGATGTATCCCACCTGCCACCAGCAAACCAGGGGTCTCATATAGCAGCCTATGATTGAAAAACCCAAACCCCTGCCTTTGGCACCAGTCCCATAGCCATACATTAATCTGCAGTCTCTTCCTATTTATCTCTTCACCTTTAACAGGTATGGAGGCAAACGCCACTTGCGCTCCTGACCCTCTAACCAGCCATCCCAGGGCCCTGAAGTCTCTCTTCATTGCCCTTGCCCTGCTTGTAATAATTTCATCACTGAAAAACCAGCAGCGGATAGTAGTCAGAGAGCTGCACCAGATCAGAGGGTTTTCTGTTAACACCTCCAATCTGAGCCCCAGGTAGGCAGCAGACTTCTCTGTGGGATGGATCAGGTCGACAAATGGGCCCCTCTGCTCCCCTCAGAAGGGAGTCACCCACCACAATTACTCTTCTTTTCTTCTTCGTTGAGGAAGTTCTAAGGCATGGGGGTGAGTGACAAGCCCTAGGTGAATGGACCTTTAACAGTCATCTAGTCCAACCGCCCTGACACAAGCAGGGACACCTTCCACTCAAAGCCCTGTCCAACCCAGCCTTGAACGTTGCCAGGGATATGGCAGCCACAGCTTCTCTGGGCAACTTGTGCCGGTCTCTCACCACCCTCACAGTAAAGAATTTCTTCCTAATGTCTAATCTAAATCTATCTTCTTCCACTTTAAAGGCATTACCCCTTGTCCTACTGTTACAGTCCCTCTCCAGCTTTCTTACAAGTCCTTTTAGGTACTGGAAGGCTGTTATAAGGTCTCCCCAGAGCCTTTCCTTCTCCAGCCTGAAAAACCCCAACTCTCTCAGCATGTCTTCATAGGAGAGGTGCTCCAGCCCTTTGATGACCTTCCCTCCAGGGCTTTATCTCATGGTACTCTACCAAGCAGATCCCACAGGAGGCCAAAGTCTGCTGTCCTGCAATCCAAGGTAGTTAGCTTGTATCCAAGAGAAAAACCACCATTTTCAACTACTTATTCAATGTTCATGTTCAAAGAAACCTACTGTAAACCAGTACTCCCTCTATTGGAGCACTTCCTGGCCCCCAGATGAGATTAACTGTCACCATGAGCCCAACTTCCCCAGTATTATTAATAATTCTATAATCTTCAAACAAAATGTACCATCTTACCTAAAAGGATCATGAAAATCCATGTCAATATGAAGGCCATTTAGAAACAGACGTGCTTCTCCAGGTTGGATTCCAAGAATTTCATGAAAATGCTGAAAAGTAAAAAGTACCTTTAACTTAGTTATTTGACAATACTAACACACATATACAAATAAATATATATGTAAAAATAAATATACATATAAAAATAAGGCTTAAAGCAATTCTGCAAAACACACATCAAATCTCTTCCACATTTTTTTCTTTAGCTGAGTGTTGTTGGTAAAAAAAATTGACAACAAACTTCCATGAGCTCTATTTAACACACTTTCAATGTACAAATACAAATAAAAATAGCTGATGATCCCTCCCCCTCAACCTATACTGTCCCTACCTGTACAAGGTCGAGATAAGAAGACATTCCCAGTGTCCACCAACAGAAAGTGAAAACACATACACATACAGAAATAAGCCTTGTAAGTTTTACTTGTATTACTCCTACATATCCATTCAACAAAGGGAGATTTGTATGGGTCTTTCAGACCTCCACTTGAAACTAGCTTTAACATCTTTCACAGTTCCAAAAAATGTGTAGTTGGAACGGTTACAGGGAATTAGGAAAGACCGACTAGAAACATACAATCTCACCTAACAAAGGGACCTTGGGAAAAAACATAGATGAGGAAGGGATAACACAGCATATCCTTGCTTTGCAAAGGAGAAAATAAAATCCACAATAAATGAATACAAGAGGTGGTAAGTATTTAGGGAGTAAAGTATGCCTTATTTTATTTCAGAGAGCTGTGAGCCACCACACTGTTCGATCTATGGTGGCTGTAGCAAGATAAGTATCAGGAGCAACAGCAGTAGTTTATTCTAACTCACCCCATGAGGAGCAGTCAGATTTCCAGATCTGTTTTAATTCTGAACAGAGGAATGAAGAGCACAAAAAATATACAGGAAAAAAGCAAGATCAGAAAGATGTAATTTTTTCCCCATTTAGCTCCCAGTTGCTGAACAAAGTAAGTGTGAACAAAACCACACTTTGCTCAAAAGCACACTTAAGAGCAAGCAACTCAGGCTGCATGCATTATTCCACTTGTAAGACTGTTACTGAGCAAATGAGAGAAAAAAAAAAAATAAGGAAAACATTGAAAGTGTATTATTTCTTTACAGTGGTTACTCTCCCACAGCTAAATGTAATGTAAAGCCAAAGCTAAATGATTTGTGGCATTACAAGTGCATCCCCACATAAATGAGACAACAGTTTACTTGAAGCCTCTTGTAATCCAATATATGTGCATATTACTCATAAAAGGTACCATATTCCTCTAGTATAAACATTTTCACAATCCAAAGCCAAATGGGAATATGTAATGGCACCTAATACCAGCATATGAAAGGCAGGCCTCTCAATAAAGGAAAATTGCAGCTGTGATAAGCCTGAACCTAACAGAAAGAATTTTTATGAAAGTCCAAACATGTCCAAGACCTTGAAAAACAGCTTTTGAAATGTGTAAATTTAATTTATTCTAATGGTGTAACCTGAACTTTGTAGTGCTTTCACTGCTTTTTTTTGCATGTACATTTACAGAAGAGTAATATAATTGAATATGCTTGCTACAAAAGATCTAAACACATACATTCAAACTCAAATATAATGTGAAGAATGATGCGGCTTTGGGAGGGGTTGCATCCCACTAATGCTAAGAAATAACCAGAAAGACATTACTTTTTTAAGGTTTAATTATTATCTTTCATGAAAATTTCTGTAGGCATTTAAAAAATGGATGTCAGTGAGCTTTCAAAATGAGGAGCAGAAATGCATGGCAGTAAGTTTCCTGTGATCAGATAAGGAAAAAAAGAGATAACTGCTTTCCTAATTTATAAAACTCACTTTATTCCCTATCATATACTCTGTATCTGTCTATAAATGACAGATTTATTTATTTTTCCCCTATATCCCAAAGCAGGAAAGATGTTTACCTTCTTTACAATCAACTGCTGCTTTGGATTATTCTGGCAAAGTGCTCTTCATATTTATCTTTTTTAAACCTCACACATCCATTAAAAAGAAGTAACCTAGAAGTAGCAGCTGGTTTCTCACATTGAGATTTTTCCCATCAGAGCTTCACACAGAGTTACACACTCTCCCAAGTCTCACTCTACATATCCCTTCTAAGGAGCCAAAATTCATAGAATCCTGACAATGCCAAGTGACCTTGCAGCAGGTGAAATTTCTCATTTTACCTACATGGATCATGAGACACAATCAAAATGGGCAGATGGGACAAAATTAAGCACACAGTGATAAGACCCCTCTCCACTAGGCAGGGAAGCACTCAAAGCCCTATGTATACCTGGAATTTTTCTGTAGTTAGCAATTCCAATTTGGATTGCAATTTTAATTCCAGTGTTTTGCCATGAAGTACTGTGACCACAGAAAAATCCCCCTTAATGCCACTGGGCTCTAGGAGTGAATAATGACTGTAAACAGGATCACAGTCTCAAGAAATCTTATTAGGATTTTTCAGGACTCTTGAACAGATCTGAAAAGATACTGAAAGCTGACTACTCATTCCTATAAACCCAGATACTCATGTAAACACAGACACTGAAAAAGACTGCAACTGGCTGATGTAGGTCATAAAAATCTTCATATTAACTAAAATGAATGCAAGAACAATGAAAAAATTGCCAGCCACTGGGTATGGAAATGGGAGTCTAAAAGTTTTCCAAATCCTTCAGTACTGCCAGAGGAAAAGAACTGAGCTAAATCAGAGCTGAGATTGATACTGGTTTGAGGCAAGGCATTTGATTGTTCAGAAAAGCATCCATTTGCTGTAACAACTTTGATGGAAGGAGTATTTTGGCATCTGTCATGGTTTAAGCCCAGGCGGTAAATGAGAACCACGCAGCCCTCTCGCTCACTCCCCCCCTTTCTTCCCCCCACCCCCACTCCTGGAGGGACAGGGAGGAGAATCAAAAGAATGTAACTCCCACAAGCTAAGATAAGAACAGCCCAGTAACTAAGGTATAACACAAATCACTGCTGCTACCACTGATGATAATAAAGATAAGGGAAATAACAAGGGAAGAGAATACAATACCACCCATCGATACGCAGCCTGGTCAAGCAGTGAGCCAGCCCTTCTGGGTAACTCTCAGTTTACATCCTGGGCATGATGTGCTGTGGTATGGAATACCTCTTTGGCTAGTTTGGGTCAGGTGTCCTGTCTCTGCTTCCTCCTGGCTTCCCCTCCTCCCTGGCAGGGCATGAGACTCAGAAAGTCCTTGGTCAGACTAAACATATGAGCAGTAACTAAAAACATCGGTGTTATCAGCACTGTTCCCAGGCCGAAAGTCAAAACCACAACGCTGCACCAGCTACTAAGAAGGAGAAAAAATGACTGTTACTGCTGAACCCAGGACAGCATCCAAGACTAGAATTCAAAGTTGATAATACTTGTATTTTCTTGCTAAACTGTCAGCAAATTACTGCACTGGAAGTTGTGAGTTGTGTTTAATGAGATTTTTTTTTTCTTTTATCTATAGCAGTTCTCAGTCTATTTCTTAGTTATCGATTCATTACACCTAAATCATCACATGCCTTTCAACTTTTAATACCTTTATTTGCTCTCACTACTTTTCCTATTCAACTTTCATTATCTTGAGAGGGAATCATTCAGTTACACACAGCATGAGATCATACTTCTCCTGCTGCTAGATGGATGTAATGCAGTTCAAGAACGCACATGCCAATTTATAGCGCTCCAGCAACAGTTTTCAGGAAGCTTCCCTACTTTCAGTCAACATATTTCAGCTTTTAGCTAAGAGCCTGTAGCCTTTAGACTGCAGATAGGATGTCATATGAAATTTAAGCTTAGTGTGATAGGTGCCTAAGATCCTTATTACAGTCATGGAATCATACAAGTAATTCAGCTGACCAACTGTCCTGGGTTCTGCAGTAGCAGTTACTTTTCTCCTTCTTAGTAGCTGGTACAGCACTGCGGTTTTGACTTTCGGCTTGGGAACAGAGCTGATAACATCAAGGTTTCTAATTACTGCTCAAATGTTTAGTCTGACCAAGGACTTTCTAAGCCTCATGCTGCCAGGGATGAGGGGAAGGCGGGAGGAAGCAGAGACAGGACACCTGACCCAAACTGACCAAAGAGGTATTCCATACCACAGCACATCATGCCCAGGATGTAACTGAGAGTTACCTGGAAGGACTAGATCACTGCAGGGTTAGACTAGGTATTGGTCAGTGCTTGGGGGATTGGGGGGGGGAAGTTATCGGTCAGTGAGGGGCGAGGTGTTGCATTCTCGTCCCTTGTTATTTCCTTTATCATTACTATTATTGGTGGTAGCAGTAGTGATTTCTGTTATATCTTAGTTACTAAACTGTTCTTATCCCATGGGAGTTGCATTCTTTTGATTCTCCTCTCCGTCCCTCCGGGAGTAGGGGGAGGAAAACAAGGGGGGGAGTGAGTGAAAGAGCTGCGTGGCTGGGTTTAAACCATAACACCAACCAAACAGATACCCACCATCATCTGTTTCAGTACAAGGTATCTTGGACCAGAAAGCAGGGGTTAGGCAAAAGTGAATGGATGCCTCGGTGCACACATCTGCCAGACCTGTGTAGCTAACTTGGACAGCCTAAGGCATCTCAAATGACATCAGAAATTCAAGTTTAGGCAACTCAATAATGCCCACAAGACAACCACTGAGTGAGCTACATTGTTTTTGATGTTCACTGACTACACATTTCTTGTCATACCAGGAGTTTAGACATCCTATACATGTGCCTAAATGCAGACATCTTGATTTCAACCAAAATTTTTATAACTTTTCTTAATAGTTATATTTAGTAATAATTGTAATTCCTCATACACCTTTACTGTTTTGCATTTGGAGTACAAGAGTAGTTTTTCATTAAGCAGTTGGTTTTGATTTTTTGTGTTAACAGAGCTATAATTTGAGAAAGACATTGTAAAGACCTCATCAAGAAACAAAGTCCTGATACTTACTCTTACTCTGGTGACACCATGATTATCAGGGCTTTGATTTGCTTTATCCTGACCATAACCCTAACAACAAAGACATATAGGAAAACACATACTTCAGCTATATGCAGAAAGCAGTGAAGCACCATGCAGACACCGATTTGCTTCCTTGAGAGAAAAATATGAGACTTTTCACTAGTGCAAGAAACAAAAGGCCTGCCTAATGCTGAACAGTGGAGATGAAAAGCTCTTTATGAGAAGACTGCATCAGTGCAACAGGGACATTAAGCATTTTCACTGTTTTAAAAGGTAGAACTGGAAAAGCATTTCCCTAGAAATACTAGTCTTGGCAAGGCAAGAGGAAAGGGCCTGACTGAATACAAAGCAAAATAATACATGGAAACGTTGCAAAAGTAAAGGAGCACCATAAATAAGCAATACAACCCTTTCACTACAGTGCTGGTCAGTTTTAACACCATATGAAAACACATGTTCTGAAGAGCAAGATTAAGGACAGTGCTATGGATGTCATGGCATGTGACCAGTCCTCAAAGCATGCTGGCTAACATTTAATTTTAACACTCAACTTGAAAGAAAAAAATATTAACTCTATACTGAGACAGAAAATACAACAGATGTAATGAATCTGCCAAACACAACATAGAAACCCAGGATACATCTCAGAACACTCAAAATCACATGAACTGTGACTCCTCATGTGACACAAGGCACAAAAGATGCAGTGCATCAAAGATGAAAATAAAAACACCTATTATACATGACATTCAAAATACCTTGCAGAATAGTTGCATGTGTGATTCTGAGAATGTTGAGAGCTCAAAGCTACTATATGTTGACCATAGTATAAGCAGCAGGCCTAGATTTTCAAGACCAAAGCTTTAGAAAGCTAACACCTATTTTGCTGTCACAGCACACAATTTATGACTGAACAACACTGCAGAACTTATTTGTCCTTGCCTAACTCTGTAAAATCAAAAGAGGGAAGAGGAAAAGTACCAAGAACAGCAGGAAGTGAAAAATCTGAACTGAATATTTCAGTGTTATTTATTTAGCAAAAGATGTTCAAGACAATTAGCTCTTTGTCTGATAGAAACTACGTAAAAGTTGCTACGCTAATAAAAAACTCCAAAACCAGTAATACGGTAGCAACTCGAATGCCCATTTGACGAAATAAAACCAAACCTTCTGATTTTCTTCTATTTCATTTCGCATTTTCTTGTCTACAGGCACTCTGGTCAGTGATCTGTAAAAATAAAATATTTGCATTACTCAACCACTGTACTTAAAAAAATCCATTAAATAACGTGAAATACGTATTTTAATATCATACCCAATGCACTGCAACTGAAGAATGCTGTAATTAAGACTTTAGAAAGGAGTAATGCAGTTGTTTTTGCTTTTTTTTTTTTTTCTCCCAAAGCAACCATTTTCTTCTGTGTTACTCCACTAAACCCACGTTTCAAATTTAGGCCAGGTTTTGTTGAAATAATATTATCAGCATATTTTTTACCACTGTCTTTCCTCTTTTTTCTTCTAGAAAACAGCATGTATACAGTGAAAAAGTTGTTTGATAAGCTAAAATATTATCCAAGTACATGTAATATTTGTATATTTTAATTTAATGTTACTAACTCAATACCACTCAACATTAGAGCACAGACAGCCAAGGATATAACTTAATGTTTTGGTCAAAGGCAAGGAAAATACACAAAGAATGACTACTTTAAAATTAGATGTGATTAGAACACAGATTTGGAGATTGAAAGAGTTGAAAATGTTAATCTTTCATAGCCAGTCAACATTTTAGTTTCCTTAGTCATTTGACCTTTAGAAGATAATTCATTTATTTGTCTTTTTTACCTTTCAATAACATTGTGGAAGGCTATTTTAACTTCCTCTGTCACAACATATTGTATATGAGGTTTGTAATTACTAGGCTATCATAAAATACTCTCAGAGCAAATTATTCTCTTCATTAAGAGCCTCTAAACCATATTAACCTAAAGTCCCAATAAATGCCAGAATAAATATTCTAGTTGCATACATAAATATTTTTCTTAAAACAAGATTGTACATGTTTTAGCAAATCTGTATAGAGCTTTAAGAAAAACTGAAGTAATCTTAAATCTGGAAATTAACTAAACAAACAGAATGATCCTACTAAGCCAATTTCAATTATGGATAATAAAGCAGTTATTTAATAATACAAATTCTCACCTCTCCCCCAAAATAAACTGATTTAGAATGGATCTTGCTAGTAAACTCCACATTTTTTTGCAATAGGTCAGAAATAAGACATAGAATCAGTTTACCTTAAACAAATACTTAAGCTTTCCAGGCAACCAAAGAGACTACTTATTAAGTGAAAAACAATGATTTCCAAGATTTGTTTATAAATATTACATAATTCATCACAGTTAAATACCCTTTCCCTATTTATCCCCTCTAAATATTCTGCCAGCTTATTTTTGTGACTGTGAATGCCTTCTGGACCACATGATGAAAGGACAATAATGGATCAAGAAGGAGCTGTATTTATACTAAGCCATATTTGGTGGGATTTCCTTGGCTTAAAATGAGAAAGGTGCAACTCTGATGCAACAACTGTGATGCCAAAGACAGCACTAAAAAAAAAAGAACAGTCAACGTGGACTATATTATTATATAGTTACTGGAGTATGTGCTTAATAACTTGCTTATCATTGTCCAACTAAACTGAACTCTCCCATAAAGCTCTATAATCATGCTGCTAGCTACTCTATGCACATAAAGTAGTAAGTGTATTTAATACTAAGTAAATGTACCTTCTACTGTACTACTTTCTGTGTTCAATTGTTTTGAAATAAATGTTGTAGACAGGAAAGCAAGAAACTATAAACATTTCTGTTGAAAAAGAAACATTGCTGTTTAAGATTTTTAAAAAAATATGATAAAGAATAATTACAAAGAAAAGAATATCTGCAGCCAAATCTGTATTTGGAAAAACAGAGGAGAAGGATTAGGAGAAAATACTGTCAAGTCAGTTAGGTTTTAAGACCTATGTAGGACACTGCTTTAAGGGACCTTCTACCAGCAATAGGTATAATAATAATTCAGGAACACGACAGAACTTTTCTCATTAACAGCTACTTAACAGGGCTCCATAGCAAGGTGGAAATGTAATGTCTGGCAGTACTACAGCAACTATTATTCTAACTTCATCACAATCGTTTTAGAGAGTCCTGAAGTAAAAAAAAAATATTTTGGAGCTTAAAAGAAAAAAAAAAACGTATCTGATTTTTATCCTGCTAAACTTAATATAAACAGTAGTAGGGCCTGCAGCTCTCAGAATCAAGGCTGCATTCTGCATACACAGATGATAAAAACTGCACAGATAAAAAGAACAATCTAAATCTTTACAAATAGCTTAGAGTAGTAAGTCAGAAACATAAAAAATGAATGTGAAAAATAATAAAAAGGTGAAAAGGAGAAAACAAAGCTGGCCCAACATTAGCAAGGAATTAAGAGCAAAAGGTTAGTATCAGCAAAAGGTAAGGTTTAACTGATAGCTCTTTTGGTAATAAGAAAGCAATACATTAAAGAATTGTTAGCTAGCACCTCGTCTACGCACTACTCTCAACAATGAAAGATCCTAGCAAGACTTTAAAGTGTGATGACCCTTGAAAAAGACACCCCAGGAATTTGAGGTAGCAAGTGTAAACCTTGTCTAGGGGAAGGTGGCCCTGCCCATGGCAGGAGGGTGGAAAAAGATTATCTTTAAGGTCCCTTCCAACCAAAACCATTCTATGACTCTATGATTAAAGTACCCATGAAAGATATCTTTCCATTCTGAGTTCAGTTATTTGTTCAATGCTTCGGAGCTTCACAAAGTTTTACACGTTTTTCTAAATTTAAGCGCCAAGGACCCACTAAAAAGAAATACTTACTGCCTGAAAGTAAATGTATAGTATTTACCATCCTACATGATGTATGAATGTTCTTACATGACCGTAAGGTTGTAATATTTTCTATCACAGTTTCACGCATCTTGATTCTTACCTGGAAGAATATGTAGCTATGTAGTACTGCGTATCAGGTCAAAAAAAGGAAACTTTTAAGATGTTCACAATGTTAATTCATGAATGATAAATGAACAGAAAAAAACAGAGTATTGTCATTCTTATTATTGCTGTTTATGTATCAGATAATTATGGCATGTATATAAAAATATCCTATAAAATGAATTATCAAAATGTTGCCATGACATATCAGCTGTTACAGTGTCTACATCTGATAACCTTTTGTAAAAATCTACCTCAGATTAACCTTTTTAACTAGAAATAGTGAGCATCACCCCCAGCCCCCCCTCCAAAAAAAGTTATAAACTAGAAAATGAAAGAAACTTCCAGAGGAATGGGATATTCACTTTTTATGATCTAGAGGAACACCTCAATTTTAAGGGGTTCAATATTTAATTTTTAATATCATAGCTATAGTTCTAAAGTTTTTACACACTCTTCTCCAACCAAATTTGCAGAATTAAAAAATGGTCATTTTCTAAACTGTGTGAAATTAAAAAAAACACAACAACTACTATTATAATGATCAGATATCTTTAATTTCCCGGTTTTTCTATTTTTCTTCAGACCACTTTTTTTTTTGACTCAGCAGATTAAGCGTGACTAGAATACTAAGGAAATAAATTTTGTTTACTGTTTTTATGTAATGCCCCTTTGATTTAAGTGTGCTGTCAATGCAGGCCTACTACCTTTAAATTATTTAAATATTTGCATTCTGTCTTGTTAAAAATAACAAGCTAGAATAACTTGTTAGAATAAATCATACAGCAACTGCAATTCCCCTTTTAACAATTCTAGAGGCTTCTCATACTTTTACCCATAAAAATAAAATGTTTGAAGAGTAGGTAAATTAGGCTCTAATGCCACAAATAAACAGTGGGAGTTGGAGTGGGATGTAACAATTTAATGACCTTTTAAATTGGTGATTTAAATGTCATCTAGCATACTTCAAACTGACTTTTTCCTGTCCTTTGAAGAACAGGACTGGCCTTACAGTTCAACATTATATTTCTTCTAGCTTCTAACAGAAAGTGGCATATTCTGATTGCAAATCTAAGTGTAAACTTGAACCCCACTATTTCATAATAATTATGTTTCAGGCATTTAGAAAGTTATTTTTCTTCCTTGAAATGACAGGTTACAAAGGTAGTTTTTCCATTACAGTTTAGATTTTCCTTAAAAGAAAATCAGAGATGACAATGAAACACGTTGGTAATTAAACAACAGTTCTAAACTGCGAAAGCACACTGAGTTAAGAAGCCTGTTTAGCATCATATTTGAGTAATTTAAGCAAATATTGCTGATAGGATTACATGAAGATCTTATTAAATATAAAGAAAAGCATTTCTCAATTACAATACAATTAGATTAGAGGAAGAGCAATTTTTAATATTAGTACAGAGGAAAATGCTAATAATTTATTTAATAATGATCTTGATCTTTTATTAAGTAATCTGTTATGGGAGACAGGTCTTCCCCAGTAAGAACACTAGCCTACAGTAGCAGGGGCCCAATCTCATCAGCAGTGTTGTGCTTAGAACTAATTTGTGTGGATCCCCCATGAAATTTATTAACAGAATTTTGCCTCTCCCTGCTGGAAGTAGATCTGTTATTAATCAACAGAATTCTCCAGCTGGGACAATACCAATCCAGTAAAGCCAGAACTAGGCACGCAACCATACATGCCTGAAGGATTAGGATGCCTTCATCGCATCTTCTTCATTAGACAGGAAATATTTAAGAGACAAATCAGAAGCTCTCCCAGGAGTTCTTTTCTACACAATGGAATTGCCTGGAATCCATCTAGCAAGCTGTAAAACATGAACATACGACTGCAGGATTTGGGTATAAATCTGTACTGCCGTCATTAAATTCAAATGCAAACATAAAAATAGTATTTGGAAAACATGCTTAAGTGTCATACCTGGCTCTTATTGGGAAGTTCTGAGCTATGTCTTTCATGATCTTTAAGGCATCATAAACAGGGGTAGACATAATTCGAGCAGCTGCTTGAAAACTAAGATCTGGGGGAAAAAAAATAATAAAACACCATCACTGAAAATATCACTCTCAATCAATACTGCCTACAATCAGGAAACTGTTCCATATACACATTCTTGCTATTAACATCTTTATGCTTCAATTATATATTGTAAAATATTACGAAGTAACATTATTAAAGTCAAAAAGGCACTTAAAAGTTGGAAATACCAAATCCAGGCTTTCCCACAAGAAATCTGCTGGGCCATCTTGAGCATACACACTGCACATGTAATTTCTAAATTTACAATAACATAGTGAAAAAAAACAGACAATTCATCATCTGGTATTATGAGAGCATCATAAGGGTATCATGCTCAAACCTAGAGAGGCACCAACCCACCGACACCCATAACTGTAGTAAAGAGCAAGATCTTTCCAGCTCCAGGTTTTCAGAGAACAGATCTATTAAATGTAAAAGGCTGTACTGAGCATGTGAGGTGTACAATTTTCAAGAGTTGCAGCAATTTCACAGGAAGAAAATATGGAGACTCAGGAAATGAAGGCCAATCTACTGTCAAATTTCAGTTCTAAGCGTCTAGCAGCATTTTTAAAGTGATCTCATTTTTCTTTCTATGCTTCTTCTCAGAATGAAGTAATTTTCATATATCAGGACAGTATATAATCCATTTGCCTATCCACTGGAAAAAAGAATGATGGAATTCAGCTAGCCTTCCCTGTTGCCTAACTTGTGTGTGACAAATCTTGACATGTGAGACTAGGGAAAACCCAATTTTGCTACCAATAGGATAAGGCAATAATATACCAGGTGCTTCTGTGTACTTTAGATACCTCAGGGCAATGACGCTTTTTCCTCATAATCTGCTAGTTAAGACACTGGAGTAGCAACTGAAGGCCTTAGGTTATTCAGTTTGAGGAAAGCTGATACTACATATAGTAAAAACTGCTGGGCAGAAAGCAATAGAGGATGCTTCCTGGATTAACTTCACACCGTCTTTATGATTCAATTTGGAATTAAAAAAAAAAAAGAAAAAAGAAAAAAAAGGGGCTGAAGAAAAGTGAATAGTATGTTTTCCTAGTTCAGGCTGATAAGGTACACCTTGGCTGGAAGAAAAGGTGAGCCTGACATTTGGAATGTTAACTTGGTATTTCTTAATACTTTCAACAAAAAGTACAAAGAGATCACCACTTTCAAAAAGAGTATTTCAGATTCCTTTCAACAGCCACATGAGCTATGAACAGGTGAAGCAATACCCAATTGCTGCTGTTATTACACATAGTGATCTTTCACCAGCTAAACACCTAGGACGCTCACTTAAAATCTTTCATAAATTATTACTCATTTCTAATTTATGCTGACCATCTACAGTACAAATATTCAAATCCCACTGAGGGAAACTGACATGTCTTTTTACCTTTTTGCTTATCTCGGGTCAGGGACTGTCACTTACAGACCTCCCTTTGTGGCACCCTAACACAGCTGAGAGCAGCGCAGGGCACTTTGGTGAAAAGATGATCCTGAGCTTACAACAGATCACGAAGCACACTTTGAAAGCTAAGGAAGCACTAGAGATCAAGAGGCTGCTCACACACAAAAAAAGAGTTATTAAAGGGAATACCACATTGTACTCTGTGTATCATTTTTCACTATGAATAGTAAAACTAATTACCTACCTAAAACATAAAGGCTCTTGAAAGACAACTCCTGAATGGTATATATAAATAGGTATTTATAAATGGTCATTTATAAATAGAAGTATGCCTCATAGCTGAAGAAGTTTAGGATAAATTTAATTACATTTTTACTTGGAAGCTAATTAACAGAAATCAAAGAGTATCTGAGCCATTACTCAGCTGCTCTAATCAGCTCTTAAGAATGAATTAGAGAAAGCTACCAGTTATGTCAGGAATAAGACTAACAAAACAACTGCTCCATACAAAGAGGGGGCTGAAGACCCTCTGTCTGAAAAGGCCCTGAATGTACTTCTCACAAGCCAGTACCAGACTTTCTGGCACTGAACAAACAGCATCCCAACACTTAACTACTCTCAACACTGCTTGGGGAGCACCACCAATTTCACTTTTCATTTACACAGCCGTGACACCACAGAAAAGGCCATCACTACATAGAGCACTAAACCTTGTATAGGCTTTTGTGAAGATAGACACCAAAGGGATCAAAGTTTTACAGTCACTTCTGTTTGAATATCAAGAGAGTGATATTCAATCATGTAAAAAAAAAATTAAATAGACAAAAAGAGAATTTTCTTCTTATTTGCACAGTAAATTTCTTAGAAGTGAAATCAATTTTTTTTAAATACATTTTTTTTGGACCAAGATAAATCCTGCAGCTGAAGGGGATTTCATTGATAAAAGACTAAATAAACTACAATGATCTCAAATAGCTAGTTTCAGGCTGGACACTGCTAACAAGCTCTGTTATAGAGAGGATCCCAAAAAGAAACCCAAATTCAGATGACTGCTCTGTCTCCTTCACTGCACTGCTATTATAGTAGTATAGACAAATCAGTTTTAAACAGGTTGTCCCCTAAAACTGAAGAATGTAACAGGCAAAATTTAGTTGCCTAAACTTAAGTGTTATAACATTTTGACATTTTAGAGATGTATTTTAGAGTGATGCATAATTCCATTCAAGCTACAAAATGTCCTGCAGGTCATCACACAGAAGCTGTTTAGAAATCAACTTCTACATATTTGTTCTCCTTTTCCACAGGAAAGCTTTTAAAAGCATGTTTTTCCATTTGATGTTGTATTTAAAAAAATGTACCAACATGAACTCCAGTGCACTGATAAAGTTAGAATTTATAAAGGAAATAAACTGTCAACCTGTCTTGTCTTAACAGTCACGTCAAAATTATATTTTTCACCTGACCTCTCAAAAAAATATCTGGAACTAAATTTAACATCTGAGATAAAACATCAGGTAGAAAAACAACCAATATGTCTCCTGTCTTTAAAATCAGCAAAGCTAGTTATGATGCTCCATCTAATAAAAGTACTTCAATGCTCCTTTAATTTCTAGCACCTAGTAATATTAGGACAAGACAGCAACACATTCTTCTTCAATACTTGAGATAATGCTGCCTTTTTATGAAACTATATGTCTCTTTCTAAAAGAAGCTTTTATCAGAATGCTGAAACATCAACATAATACAGGACAATTAAACAAAGTACTGTGTTAAAAAAAAAAAAGCCATACATACCCTGTAGCTCCCAAACCTTCAGTGGTTCCATGTTGTCAGTAGTTTCAATTAGATGTTTTTTAAACTCTTTCAGATTATTTTTCAGATCAGGATGCATCTGTCTACAAGAAACCGTATTTTTTAAAAAAAAGACATCAGTGACATACATCAGCATCTGCTTTTATCCATAAGATTGCTCACAGCTAATACTGTATTCTTAGGGTAATAAGCAAGAATTAGAATTTTAATTCATTCTTAAGACAAAAATGAAGATTTGCGGTGAGAAGAGATGATTTCTGAGAACTAAAAGCCAGTTAATTCCAAGGATGAGTTCAGTGTTTTGTAGTGTTCTGTCTCAAACCCTGCCACAGATTTTGATGGAATAAATGAACTCAAAGATTAAGTAGTATTAACACACAGTAGAAGCGTGTCAATACTATTTATATAATCAATATAGTTGGTTTACTATAGAATAACATGTAACTAACTGCATACTAACTACTATAAACTGTAGCTGGACACAGTTTATTGTGTTACCTACAAAGGATATAGGCGAGACAATGCTGAGAACATCTTTCATAAACTACCATCATTGACAAAAATCCAGCTACTGAGTATACAAATCACTAGTCAGACCTGAAGAGCATGGTGCCTACAGAAAAGTAAAGTAATTTCCAACATAAATCTCTCATAATTCTACTAAATAAAAATATTTTTGGTTCAGGTTCCAGAAACAAATGTAGAAGTTTAGTTGTATCAACTCACTTTAATTTGCCAAAAAGAAATCCTTGAATATCACTTTCCTCCTCCGCCTCATCTTCTTCTTCCTTTGTTTCATTTGCTTCTGAACACATAGCACATGTAGACAATATAAACCAAGAAAGTTACTGATGTATTATGTTCTTATGAATTATAAAACGGTTAACAGAAACATACCATCAGAAAGTTGTCATTCTAAGATGTAATTTCAATTAAATTTATACTTATGCCTTCTTATTTTGGCATCAGAATGAATCACTTCACAGAACTTATCAACATTCAAATTAATGTTTAAATATAATTCATCCAATATTTACATTTTTTACATAAATGAAATTGATGTGGTTAAATAGTTCACTTCCCCAAAATAGCCACTCCTCAGTTTGATTAAGTGGTAAGGTATAACTCTTATCAGCCAACTACTACTAAATTCATGCTTGAAAAGCATGATGACTTTAGAGTGCTTGCATCTCCAGCTACCATTTGATATAAGTCAAGAGATCAGTTTCTTTACCTTAAAGAAAATAAACAATTTTTTACTTGATTCAAAGGGTATTAAACCTTAGACTTACCAAAGAGAGTTAACTAACCTTCTCTATATCCTGTAAATGTCCATGCAAAGTAATTTATCTGTATCAGAATTCTATAGCTACCATTTTCTGTGGTAAATGTCCCACTTCAACATGTAGTAACATACACTGGTACCAAATTCTATGATTCTGCACATCTTTCCAACAGAAGATTGTGAAAGTATTTCCACTTAAATTCACAGAAAAAACCCTCACCTCTGAAACAGTGATGTGTAGATGCTGTAGTAATTGGCAGATAAGAGATGCCAACAAACATACAGTAATTGAAGAACAAAGATTAAACAATCTTATTGAAAGTACGAAGAATGGATTACTTTTTGAAGAGCCGTAGAACACAACAACCAGAGGTCAGGTAATGAACTATACATTCTGAGCACAACTGTTTACAAATGCTTACATATATTTTGATGTCTTAGTTTCTAATACTTGCAATTTCCTTCTCTAAGAAAAAATTAAGTATTTTAAAACATTACTGACTTTATAACCAAAGACTGTAACATATTTCAATAGTATCTCCAATGAGAGATTATAAATAAAGCCCACCACATACCTTTGAGCTGTGTGTCATCCACCGCTTTATATTCTGTGCTCTTTATTGCAAGTTCTACACCATATCCAGATAAATACATTTTTCTGGAACTTGGTTTCTGTTTGACATTATTTTAACAGAACAAAAAAAGTAATTTAAAAAACTGTATTTATAGGAGATTAACAATACCTAATACTGTAAATTTAAACAATTATGGCAGTAAAAAAGTTTAATTCATCTTTCAGTTTAGGATTCAAAATACTAAATGCTACACAAAACAAATTACAAGAATCAAGTAAGACAAATTGAAAGTCCATTGAGAAGGTGTGTAACAGAGAGTAAAGGCCTCCTTTAACTCCCGCAGACCACAAAAAGGCTCTGTCGAAATTGTAGTCCCTTCACATAGTAAGTACTAGAACAGTCCTTCAGGACAAGGGGTAATGGCTTCAAACTGAAAGAAAGCAGATTTAGTTATTAGAAAAAAATTCTTCACTATAAGTGGCACAGGTTGCCCAGAGAAGCTGTGGCTGTCCCACCCCTGGCCGTGCTGGATGGTGCCTTGATCAACCTGGTCTAGTGGAAGGTGTCCCTGCCCATAGCAGGGAGGCTGGAACTAGATGATCATTAAGTTCCCTTCCAACCCAAACCATTCAATGATTAGAGGTAGATTTTGTAGCACCCTACATAATTATTGATGCCTTACAATTAATATTTTACATTGTTACTAATTTATTTGTAATTTTGACAGACTTTCAGGATGTCAGGAGGAAATTCTCTATTTCTGCATTAGAGCCATTATTTAAAAAGTTGTGATGAAAGAATTAATCACTTTCTGCAAGGGGGACTAAGAAAATGTGTTAAAGTATCACTATTAAAACCAGGTCGCTACTTATTAAAAACAAGTAACAAGTATTTCTAGCTGTGGAGTGGGAGTTTGACGTTCAATAGCATAATTACTCAGGGCATAGTTATTTCTGAAAATGTGCCCTAATTTGCCCAAAATGTATGAACATTCCCTTTCCAAAATGCAATTTGCACATGCATGGCAGAAATTTCTAGAAAGCCTTTCAGCTTTAGCTTGCAATTTGTTAGAATCCTTCTGTATTAAGAATCCTCCAACCCACAGGTGAAAAGCCAGCAGGGCTGGAGGTTTACCCAGTTGGTCCTCTAAGCAAATCTATGCAGAGAGAGCACTGCACTCAGTGATACTGGCAAAAATAAAACGAAACAGCAGAAAGACTGCACCTCTTCTGCTCTCAATGCTCCCTCTTCTGGTATATAATGAAAAAAAAAAAAGAGGAAGAGGAATCGTCTCAGTGGGAGCCAAGAATAAAAACATAGGTTGTGAGAAAGGTAGAAAAGAGAAGAGCAGTCTGAAGAGAGAGAGGAAAAAGCCCAGGAAGCAAGGTAACTTGCATTTCAGGTGGACCAGGGTGCATAAACTGGTCAGAACAAGAAGACTGTAGGTATTTGATTAAAGTGCATAAAGGAACAAAGTTCAATAAAAACCATACACACACAATTTAGAATTGAAGACTGGTTTCCTCAAATTCTATATATCCTTACTGTAAGCAAATATCTCAAAGTCATCTGCAAACTATGGATCTCATGTCCCTGAATTATCTGTATTAGCCACACTATTTAAGAGCTGTACTTTGAATACATATTACTAAAACCTTCCAATAACCAAAACCGGGGACCATGTAGTTCCATGTACTGGTATTTGTCTTGTTTTGTTTTAGGGAGAAAAGTAAGTTAAGAAAAGCATTCTGAAACAATATGTTTAAAATACTGACGTTGTGTAATGCAAGCATCAAAAAACTGGTCAGTGATGTTGACTGTGATAGCCCATGCTGCTGTACTACAATGAACACAGGATTATACACAGAACACAGAAAATTATAAGTACAATTAATTATTTTTAAACTTGATTTTCTAATATTAATACGTTCAGCCTCCTGCACCAAGAGTCATCCAAGATCTTTGTACAACATACAAAATCTAGACATAGAATGCAAAAAGACATATTTCAAGATCAATTAGTGATGCAAACAGTGCTTGCATACAGAATTAGGTAGTATTATAATGTTTTATTAGCTTCAAAGTTTATATTAAGTGAATCACTTCACCTGGGAAGCTTTAAAAAGAGAACATATATTGCATGCAATTTAGGCAAATGAAAAAGGAAATGTAGAAAACGTGTTCTGCCAAAAAAACAAGCAAAATAAAGAGAGAACACTAACAGCTTACTGAATCAACATTAATTTGAATAGCATACCTGAACATAATGCCGGAGAACATAAACAATTTCCTCCTTTTGCGCCTTCTCAGACAAAATCCGGTGGAATTTGACGAAGTCTTTCGTGCCCATTTCTGCATAAAGAATAACCACTGGGCCACCCTCTTTGAGAGTTGGGAATTTATGATCTCCCTTAAAAAGATATGGCCTGGGTCTGGTTTTAAAACAAAGAATCATGATACTATATATTCAGGAAACAAAAATAACAGCGGCAGTTTTCCTACGTCATAATTGAAAAATTTAATAATGCTAAAAATATACAAACCGTGTTAAAATCGGCACAAAATAATCATGATTACTCACAAACTAACTTAGAACACCAAATCTGCAAATCAAAGTCGAAAAAACTGAAAAATCAGAGTCAACTATAAATAATTTTATATAGCTTACCAAATCACAACATAAAGAGCAAATGAAAAGCATAGCACTTGGAGATTTGTGCAACAGTTACAGCTTGAAGCTTTTAATTTAAATGATTCATTACATCTATTAGAGATGTACAAAGCAATCAGTGAGTAACAGAGTAGCAGAAGGATAATCAGTGAAGTTTGAGACAGCTGCTTACACCCATGGAAACTAACTGAGGTTATCTTTCTCTAACACCATCAAGCTCTGTTAATTTAATTAATTTTGCAAATTTTGACTACCTACTTTCCCCACTGAAAGCCAGGACAAGAAAAGTTATGCCGTCTATACCTGCAGTGATTTTTTAGATGACTGCAAACATCTTTTGAATAAAACCTCATGCCATGGTTTAACAGCAACTAATTACCATGCAGCCACTTGCTCACTCACAACCCCAGCTGGGATGGTGAGAAGAATCAGAAAAAGGTAAAACCCATGGGTTGAGATAAGAGCAGCTTAGTAATTGAAATAAAGTAAAATAATAACTGTATCAATTATTATTAGTAAAAAAAAAAAAAAAAGAGAAAGGAATAAAGCCCAAGAAGGACAAGTGATGCACACTACAATTGCTCACCACCCACTGACCGATGCCCAGCCTGTGCTTGAGGAGAGATCAGCACCTCCCAGTCAATCCCCCCAAGTTTATACACTGGTCATGATGCGCTGTGGTATGAAATACCCCTTTGGCTAGTTTGGGTCAACTGTCCTGTCTCTGCTCCCTCCCAGCTTCTTGTACCGTTCCTCACTGGTGGAGTGTGGGAAACTGAAAAGTCCTTGGTCAGGGCAAGTGGCACTGAGCAACAACTAAAACATCCATATGTTAGCAGCATTGTTCTCAGACTAAAGCCAAAACACAGCACTGCACCAGCTATTAGGGAGAAGACTAACCCTATCCCAGCCAGAACCAGGACACTTAGGAAAGATGAAAAAGGAACAGAGGATATGGTTGAATAATTTACTCAAGGTGCTAATTTTTGATGAGTACACTTCTTTTTCAAAGTTGCCTTTGTATAGTCACACTTGAAAGACCAGTAAATTTCCTCCAAACCTCTCAGAGGCAAGTTCAGAAACTCTCATCCAACACACACTACAGAAATGTGTGTAGCAGATGCTCACTGAAAGTCATACTGGAAACGCATGAGCAGAACACAGTTTAGGAATATCTTCAATAAGATCATGGAATATAAAATCATGGAATAATTTACATTGCAAAGGACCTTTGGAGGCCATCTGCTCCAAACTTTCATTCAAAGCAAAACCAATTTGTATCAGGTTTCTCAGGGCCTTAACGTCAACATCCTATGTAGATTGGTAGATATGCAATTGAAGACCACATCTGTAAGGCAGAGACAAAAGAAGGGGCCTGGTTTGAGAACTAGCTTGGGTGCATGCAGCCACGCGTCACAGAAGTATCAGACAAGCTTTCCTTTTGTCATCGCAGAACAAGGCAAACCAGGTGACATCAGGGAGTGCGAAACAATACTTGAATGAGTAAGCTCTGTTCAAGAACTGGTCCAGATTTGCCACAGTGAAAGCATAATATGGGATGCGATTTTTGCAATTTCCTTCTCATATGCAGAGAGACTGCCACAGTCACTTTTAGACAGCTGAAAACCCAAATCAAGGAAGCTTCTCTTTCCCTAACTAGTCACCTAGGTATAGCAGAAAAAATTACTCCTGTTCTCAGAAGATGGGTACAAAGTGCTGCCAGGATTTTCTTGAACACTGACAGCCTCAAAGGAAGCATTTTTTACCATCATGAACAGACTTCACCGACAATAAGCGCTGCAGTAAAATAACACTCCATAAGGCTACCATAATGACCTTGGATTGGAGAATTAAAGTATTCAGCTCTTGTAAGTCCAAGATAAGCCTCTGTTCTCTGTTTCTCATCAACAGCGAAGAGTAGTGAGAAGAAACTGATAGTGCTGAAAGCTAGTTTCCTGCTATAAGAGATGCATTCTCATGAGAAGGCTGCCTGAAAGGGACAGAAGTGCAGCTGGGCAGCCAAAAAAAATTTAATAAAACCAACCCTAAACATGTAAGTGGAGCTCAGCACTCACTAACCAGTTACTAGGGTAGTACAGGTGACTATACACTTTCCTAGATAGCTGCCAACATGGGATGCAGAAGGAATATGATGGACAGAAGACAGCAGACATGCATACTGACAAGCCGTCTGAGGCACTGACTGTTTTGAGCAAAATGTGACTCCTATCAATGCTTTTGCTCTTGGCAGCAAAAGCCCTGTAAATCTTAGTGTTGTATTTTGGACTGTTAGAGAGATAAGTAATCTCAACCATTTAATAGCAGATTCTCCTTTGGCAAATATAAAGCCCACTGCACCCCCACACAAAACACAATCACAGCCATGCAATCCATTGCAACAAAATCACAGTAGCTGCTGCATAAAGGACTGAATGAAGCAAAACCTTGATCTTCACATACAAACTCTTAGGGCACTCCTGAGTCCAAAGTACCTGAGACTTCCTCGATCTCGGGTTGAGCTGATGGATCTGCACAAAATAATGCTGTAAGCCTTTTCTTTCTCTTTCAGTGAGATTTGAAACTGCTATCCCTAAAAATAGAACACTTCTAGTGTCCTCTTCTGATATGGAACTTTCGGACACAACTGAAAGCCTAGCTTAAGTTGGCCTGGCTTAAGTGGAAGTCATGACAGAGAGAAGACATTAAAACAAAGTGAAACACGAAGGAAAACTTTCAAATAAAAAAGGGAATCAATAAAACAAAAATATCTCTTTTCATAAAAGCCACAGAGGGAATGAATGACTGGCTTAGAGGACTGAACAGCGAGATGGCACACTGTCTCATGTATCAACTGTTCACCACACTGAAAAGGAAGAACAGGAGCAGAGCCCTATCTATATCACCTAGGCTAAACATCTCCAGCACAAGTGAAACACATCTACTACTCAGAGTATCACTGGAAATAATAATGGAAACAATTACCTGAAGGTGAACATGTTTTTCTCAAAGTCTAGCTCCAGGAATTGTAACTATTTGAGTGACACAACTACTTTTGGGGTGGGGAGGAGAAGAAATTGATCAAGATTTTGCCCCTGCAGCTCTGAAGGTTGGAATGAGTGGTGCACACAAAACTACCCAAACCACCAGAGCAATTTAAGAGAAAGAACTTCAGTTCTGTTGTGATTTCTTGAAGTTAATGATTTCTAGAAGTGTTAACTCTTTCAATTCTGAATACTTCAAGGTTCTATTGTTTAGTCCTGTGATTTTCCAGAATCTTGTAAATGTGCGGGCTGTATCTCCAGAAAGGAAAATGTGCTGAATCCAGTTAATGGCTTTAGAATATTGATAAAATGTTAAGGTCTCATGATGCCTTAATATATGACCAGAAGAATTCAATGTAATTTTAAAGGCAAAAATATAGTACAAATAATTTATGTTAGAATATAAGAGAGGCAGAATGTAATAGTCAAAAATAGGACATTGCAAACTAGAACTGAAGTGTTTTTGCAAAAAACATGGCTATTGAATAAGTAAAAGACAATGCTTTAGTAGGTTGTAATTCTGTCAGTGGACTCAGAAAATACCACAAATAACACCTGAACATAAAACCGTTTTCAGAAGCAACCATCCCCAAAGAGAAAAATTCATAAGTTTTCACTTTTTTTCCCCAGTTTGTATTTGATAGAAAGGAAAATCCAAGAAATATGCCCTACTAAATAATCTTTCCATTCCACATAACTGCATGAAGTGGTATGGACACTAACGGTGACTTTGACCACTGCAGGAAAAAAAAAACCCTAACTAACCAATCAAAAAAATGTTACATACAGGTCTTGAAAAAATACAAATTATTAAGTTTTTAAAATAGAAATTAAACATTTTGCTTTCATTATCTTAAGATTTGTTATTTTAATAGGTTCTACATATTTTACTTCATGATACAGATTCATGCTGGACTGACGCTTGTTTCCACAGGACAAAGCCTGCAAAAATACTTGACAGGTGCAAAGTCAAGCACAAGGTGAGGAAAGGTTATGCCAGCTGAGACAGGCTCCTCTACCAAGTCCTTATAACCCAGTGGCACCGACTACGTAGAAAGGTCTGTCAGCAGAAGTACTGTCTGAGATGCATTAAATGGTTAAGTTTGTATAGAAAGTACACTAGCTCAAACATGACTATGTCATACCAGGGAAAAGAAATATGAAAATATCCATGTAGTTAGAGAAACAAAGCTCTATAATTTTAAAACTGTACTTTGATTCAGAGAAGGAGGCTCAGAGGAGACCTTATCGCTCTCTACACTAAAGGAGGTTGTAGTGAGGTGGGTGTCAGTCTCTTTTCCCTAGTAACAATTACAGGATGAGAGGAAGCAGCCTCAAGCTGCACTAGGTGAGGTTTAGATTGGGTATTAGGAAAAATCTCTTCACCAAAAGAGTTGTCAAGCATTGAACAGGGTGCCCAGGGAAGTGGTTCAGTCACTGTCCCTGGAGGTGTCTGGGGGATGTGGATGTGGCACTCAGGGACATGGTTGACTTGGCAGTGCTAGGTTAACAGTCAGACTCCATATTACAAATCTTTTCCAAACTAAATGATTCTATGGCGACTGATGAATACTCATGAGTGTTTAAAGTATTTCAAAACCAAAAGTAACTCTTAAAATAACACATACCCTAAATGGGTAAGTCTTTAAATATCCAGTAAACTGGTATTTATGGGCTTGGCATTATCAAGTAAGTAGAACATGAAATTTCAAAATACTACAAGTATATATGCAATAACACATTTTCCACTTCAGTAATCTATTTTTCCTCTTAAAACAAATCATTCAATTTACCTCTTAGTAGCCTTCTTCAGCAGCTTTTTTATTTCATTAGTCTTACAGGTGTGCTTCTCATGGATAACCACAAATGCACTACAGCCTTCTGGTGGATGTTCATCAGCTGCAATCTAATATGTCAACAATTATACTCAACCAGAATGCTCTGATTGCACTTCAGCTTAAACTCACATCCCTTTGATTAAAATAACTGATCAGCTGTCATTGAGTTGTACTTCTAATTAAGCTCATTCAAAATTGGGTACATGTGAAAAATATTACAAGATTAAGACCTTATAACCTTTGTGAGATGTGGTCTATCAAATGCAGTCACACTCCAGAAAATCTAAGTCTATTTATGTTCTGTAAAGACAGGGCTGAGAAACCTCCAAAGCTGAAATGACATGCTGTACTCAGAGGTATTTTTCATTTTAGTCACTATCAGCAATCATGTTGATGTACAAAGGTTTGAGTGCTAACCAGTAAATCCCAAACAATTAATCTCAGCTTTGGTTCTCTCTCCCCTTCCTACTCCACCCTCCTGCCTTCTTTTTTTTTTAAACTTTATTCAGCTATTCCCATGTAAAGTGGGAATCGTATGCATTATCAATGACTCTGGATTCACAAGCTGAAAGATAAAAATGGAAAGACACGAGTCTGAGATGATGATATTGCTCCAGAGAACACTTGCAAACCCTCCTAACTTTATTACAGCTTACAACCTTTTAGAAATATGGATTTCTCACTTTATCTTGAAGGTGGCATTGCTAAAAGGAGGAGAAGCAATTTTAGGCTAGAGGCACAGTGAAATTACGTCCTCACACTTTTTCACAAACAAACCAGGTATTTGACTAGTCTTTCAACACTTCAAATACTAAAATAATGAGAGATGAGATGTCCACTAAAGAACAAATATAAATCACTTGAAGCTATAGGAAATTTCCTAATTTGAAAATGTCTGAATTCCCACAGGCTTATTCAAAGCAATGCAAAAATTCCCCACGATCTGAGTTTCAACAATGCACAGTTCCAAAAATCCTACCTTGAAAATAATGCTATCCATACAATTAAACATGGATATTTGCATCAATATAACCAGCTTATTAGGCATCACTTTTATAAACGGATCATGTTTGATTGCAAATACTGTTGGCATATATTTTACAGAACTGTAATAATAAACATTCTCTACTCTGCAGCCAAAATACCACATAAAATCATGAACCAAATATATCAGATAATATAATCACCTGCTGAAACATCTGAACAGTTGGAGAATATGCCCGTATCGAAAGTGCAAACTTCAGTAGATTGATTTGCGAATTGGATAAAAATTGTCCTGCTTTTTTCAGGATTAAATTGTAATAGGAATGTTCTGAATCTGTTGAATTAAAAAAAATAAAAAGACATACTTTTAATATTTAGCCATAAATAATGTGTCATATCTATCTGTGATACATGACAGAAAATATTATGTTAGCACTGCTTGACAGTTAAGTATCTTGAATGTTGTTCACTGATAATCGTTTCCTTTGCTACCAATGTGAAAGGCCAAATGCAACACAAATACAACAACAGTAAACACAAAAGCACTAGTTAGCATGTAAATCATTTTTAGCAATATAAAAATCCATGCAAGACAACAAAGTATCTCTGCAGACCCATACAGAAAATCTTGAATTTTCTTACCGATTTATTTTTGTCAAGCTTATGCTACCCTTTTAATGCATATTCTGAAGGTTACTTACATTCAAACATTATCTTACAAATTATTTCCTCACACTTAGTCTTGGAACACTCCTGCTATGCAACTTACATAAATAAAAATCTTGCAAAGGTGACATTCTTTAGGCTACTCTCACACAGCCTATTTCTTCCTTAAGGATACATGATAAACAAGAATTTGAGAGTGGATGTAACGTGAAGTGGCTTCCCTCCTCCATACATATCTCGCATTCTTAAGGACAAAATTAGGACTCCAAGCAACAAGGAAGGTGGATGGTGTTTGGGAATGACAGAAGTGATAATAAAGAACATTAGTTAAATATATGAGAAATAATTAGCGTTCATTTCTTTTTTTAGAGGCAAATTCAAGTGAATATTCTCATGTAGCCTTTGGCGGGTGAGGCAAAGAAGTGAATTAGAAAGAGGCTGCAATGCAGTTTCATCAGGTTGTGAAAAAGACCTGGATCTGTTTAAGGAATAATGCTCACCAAAACTTTAAATCAAGCTGTATACACTGTATGATATGATATTCTTGAAAGCAAATTCGAGTCAGAGAACCAAAGCTGTGACCATATCAAGCATTGTGCACCATCCCTGTTCCAGAGGTTGCTCTCCCATAGGAGGAACAGTTGAAACAGGCATGAAGCACTCCACAACTGCCAATTTATGCCTCCCCAAATATAGGTAGTCAGCATGTATTTTACTTGGTAGATGCTACCAGGAAACTTGTGATTCAAGTGATTCAAAATCTTTTTCACACGTAATTCAAATGTTCTCCTATAAAGGTGGAAATTTGTAGCAAAGGGAAAGTAAGCTGTGGGAATGAACCATTCTGGCTGTCCAGCTTGAATTTATCCGTGTCCTTAGGTCAACACCTTACTCTAAGATGCTCCTGTTGTGAAAGGGAAATGATCATATGAGTAGGAAACCCCTTCAGGGGTCCAAAGTGGCACAAAATTTTTACACAGTGTGAAAATAATCTCATATGATTTAACCTGTCAGAATTTACCTGCCTTGGATGCTGGAGATCCCAGAAGTACTCGTATCAAATGACGAGTGCAGCAATTAAAATTTCCAGCAAAATACGAGACCGCATACAATAGCTATGCAGGCCATAGTTCTGGAAATACCCATTAAGTGCTCCCAGCAGTCCTATATATGATTTTCACAATTAAGCATTTCCTATCCTGTCACTTTCCTCTTTGCAATCCCTAACTTGCATTTGTTCTTAAAGTCTCTAGGATCCCCTTTCAACCTTTTCTTCCTTCTTTGGAAAGGCTGAGTTTGTTGTAATTCACTAGAAAAATAAAAAAAATCTACAATCACAAAAGGGTATGATCTGCATTGCCAGAAAGCTGCCTTTCCATAAATTATATATGATCATCACTGTCTAACATTACACTCAACGGATGAAAACCCCATCTCTTTTATGTTTTCTAAACCTACATACAGCCCTGGCAGAACTAAAATAAGATAAATTTGTCTTCACACATTCCAAGCGGTGAATGTAAAAAGATCTGGGAGGGGCAAATACTTCCAGAATGAAACACCTTTCCAGTAACTATACTTTCAAGTTTTCTTCAAGTTATCTCCACAAAAATAATCACAGAATCATAGAGTACCAGGTTAGAAGGGACCTCAAGGATCATCTTGGTCCAGCCTTTCCAGGCAAGCATGACCTAGACTACATGTCCCAGCACCCTGTCTAGTTGAATCTTAAGTGTCTGACATTGGAGAATAAAAACCGGATCTGAAATTTCTATCTCTCCACTCAGCCCCAAATAACATCCTATTGAACACAATGAACAGCTATTAAACATACAACTCTAAAATACCCCCTCAATAAAATATTTTTACCGCAAGTCTTTAAATTCTTTGGCTTACAAATTCCAGCTCTACTTTCACTGTTGTAGAGATGATATTTTTGCTCTACAAGACGATTAAGACGATGACTTTAATATGAAAAAGATAATTCATCACATGCCTTCAAAAATGATGGTATAACATATTGACAATGTCACATTTACCAAATCATGCATCTACCCCTTCTACTTCAACTTACATTAACATTGCTGGCTTCTTTCAGGCTACAACTGTATTTTAAACTTCAGTAAGGTAAATTAATAGATATCAAATGCTAAGCAATACACCTAATGCAAAACAAATTTTTTAAAGTTACATACAGAACTATTGTTTCAGTTTTGCAAATTATTTTACAGAGTATTTGCTCCTTGAAACTTGGTAACTACTTGCCCTCCAGGTACATTCTAATATTGCACTCTATGCCAAAAAGCAGAAGTCACAGTAAATTTCTTTGGCTGTTACAGAGAATTACAGAAACAAACGTTTCTGGTCATAAAATGCTGCATGTAGCATATTATCACTAAATTCGTTAACAAAGTTGATTTAAAAATAGACAACATTACTAGGATACAACTCCAGACATATAAACATGTTTATGAGCTACGTATCTGTAAACTTCCCTTCTAGCCAACAGAGATATAGCCTAGCAGCCAACAAAACCTGAACAGCTATATAGCTCATTCTAAAGCAGCCTAAATTTGTCAGCTGAATAGCTCTCTCAACTCCTGTAGTGAAATTAGTGAGATTGACTACAAGAAATGAACAGCTAGCTCAACAGACTCATACTTAAATATCAATATTTACTATCTGTGATACAGATCTTTACTTTCCTTTTATGACCATCCTCACCACTATTTTTAATCTACCTGTGATGTGAGATACTGCTGTAGAGATGTGTATCTATAGATCAGCTAGAGAACTGGAGATTCCAGGTAACAGCAGTTCAAGCAATCAGTGGCCAGTCAAATCCCTATGACATTTAAGCAAGATGCCAGCAGAGAGGCAATACTTCATTTTATTGTATGATTATTATGGAAGTTCCATGCTTGTGAAATAAATTACTCTTGAACCTTTAAGGTTGATACGTACATAAAAAATACATAATTTGGTTATGAATAATGCATAATCTTCTAGCCTATAACAAATAATTTGCATTATTTTTGCATGTATGTAATATACTGTTAGATTTTCTTCAGAGAAACTGGTTTCCCTATTAATATGTCTGTATTGGGGTTTTTTTTTTGTGGGGTTTTTTTTTGAGGATTTTTAAAAATGTATTTAAGAGGCTGCTGAAAATTCAATATGGAAAATGAACCACTTGGAAAGACTGTGAACACTCATAATTAGTTGGCAGGAAACTGGCTATTTACCTTCACTCTGTGTTCCTAAATTAACCTTCTGAAATACAAAAGCAGTAGCACATTTAAAATACAATCTCCTGCATTTTGTAACTGTACTGGTTTATAATATGAAGTTTTTGTGGTTTTGATTTCTTTATAACATACATCAAAATACCATCATCTGCATTTCCAAATCTTCCATGAGCCTGGCAGAAAGTATACTGCATATTAAGCATAGATACACAATGCTGTCCATGCTACCCGAATACCGCATTCTAATTTAATAGCATATCCCATAATTAACTTTCTGATGTTTTCCATATTGTATAATCTCAATGATTTCCAAGTTGATTTGAGTTCATATGAAAGAAAATGCTGAAACAACCAAACACATCACACGACTAAATGCTTTACAAAATTCCATGTCCACATTTCCTACCAAATCCATTAAACTGTTACAAGTATCATAGCTAACCAGACCATTACTAGACCTAATTCGCTAAGGCCAAATATTTTAAATGAGCAAGTAAACAACAGATGTTGATTTGACTATTTTAAATTTAAAATAACAAGTTCTGAAAACTGATAAGCAACAGATTAGAAATCATCAAAGGATGATTTAAAAGAATAAAAAAAGACACCGTATCTGATTTTTTAAGTTGCCTTTTGGCTTTAATACTTTGTGACTCTTCTGAAATATTCAATAGTGGGTTGGGATACAAATCCATAATCCAATTCACCTATAAACTCAGTTTTTCAGCTTCAAATCTAGTAATTCTTTTCCTTCTATTAAAATGTTTCTATTTAAAAACAACAATGCTTTTATTTCTCAGTTATCTATCCTATCTACTCTTGATATGATCCAGAAGTGAGAAGGCAATGGGCCCAACCAATTTAATTTGCTCAAGTGTTACTCCAGCCCTAATGCACCATGAACATCCCTCTACATCAGTGTGTCTCGACATGCATCATCAAAGACAGAACCCATTCCATACCATCCAGAGAACCAACTTCTTCCCAGAAGTATAGTGTTACACACCTTTCATCAACTGCACCACTCCGGTATTTGAGGATCACTATTCTTCACTCTAGCTGACCATTTTATTTCAAATGTCTAATGCAGGTTTCCCACTGAAAGTAACTTAACTATTGCTAGGTAAGTATGATGCTATTTTATATTTAGTACATTGACTTCAGTAAGATACTCTTCAGTTGGAAGAATCAAATTGATCTGATTTTTGTCATTGAATAACCACTTTCTTTTCCTGTAAAACAGAATCTTTCCTTCTCATCCTGTTCATAAAAAGCATCGGTCCGCCTGCATAATCCTACCCCAGCTATGAATTTGACTTTTAGGAAAACAGCTTGGTCACAGACTTTTTTAAGTTTTCCTGCGTTATAAATATACGAGTCTTTTGGCCATAATGATAAAAATACACACCAATTGCTTCATATGCTTAATTAAAGTACTATTTTAGTACATTCTCAAGGCTCTCCCCTACCAGCATCTAATACTTCATTGGCAAGATGGGCCATGCAAATCATCCTGCTGGTAATTTATTTATTCTCAGTCACACAGAGTTTATCCAAATGAAGTAGGTAAAGCATGTAGCTAACAGCTAATTTTAACAGACATCTCTGTCACCAATAATAAATGTCACTAAGCTTCACATTCCTTGGAAAGCACGATCCAAGCAGGCAGACAAGAGATGGATGCTGATAAAAAAAACCCTGACACATCACCTAATACATCAGCCTTGTCTCAAGGGCTATACCAACTGCATCTACACCATTCAAAGAAAAAAAACAAAACAAAACAAAATAGTAATTCAAGCCAAAAGTCACTTATGGAGATCACCTCATCCAAACTTTTACTTGGAGGACATCTAATTTCAAAGCTAGATAAGGCTGCTCAGGGCCTTGTGCAGCAGTTTTGAGCGTCTCCAGGAAGAGATTCCACACCCTCCTTTCACAGGGGCAGCCTGTTCCGGTGTTTACTCAACTCCATGGCAGAAACATTTTCCATAGTATCTAACCAAAATCTCCATGTTTCAACTTGTGCACATGGCTTTTTTTCATATCACTTTGTACCTTCATGAAGGGTCTGTTTTAATCTTCTCTATACCTTTCTATCAGGAAGTCAAAGATAGAGGGAGTACGGACAGACCTTGTTCATAACATACTCCTGTGTTCACAACAAGGATTCAGTTCTGCAATCTCACTGCCATTTCCCACAGAATCTTTCTACAATTTGTTAGCTTCTGGCTATTAACGTAACATTCAACTTACCTAAGTCTCTTCTAGTAGTAGTGTTAGGTCTTCCCACTCATGCCTAAGGAGCTGTACAGTTCTGAAGTAAAGAGCAAAATGAAATAGCCTTACCTTGTTTAGAAGCTCTTTTCGCCTTGTTTATCTATTGACCTACCAAGTAGGTCTAATATTCACCAACCTCTTGTAAAGCCTGGTAGGTTTCCAAGTTTCTGATTACCACAGGCATTTCCAGTAAACTGCTTTCCAAGGCATCTTCTGAGGTGGCTCACTTATGTTTTGTTTGCTGCATTTTGTGCTTTTTTCTTCTCTGCAAACTTAATATTCTTCTGTCTAATCAGGCAGGGTGTTTTTAATCTTACTTTGACAGTGATAAATATTTATTCTGAAACACCAATATTGACGACAGAAAACACTCTCTATGCCACCTACAAGTACAAAACCTTTTTTCGGCCATTCTTTTCATTTTTTCCTTTAGCTAGCATTCTCATTTTAGTTATTTGTGGGATTCTCTCCCCCTACAAACATCCACCTTACACAAAACATGAAGTCTGTATATCCTATAAGCTCTTGCCGAGTCCTGTAAGAAAGTAAGTAT